GTCTACGGCGCCGGCGTGGCCTTCCTGCTGTGGAGGCTGCAGGTTGGTTCACTTCTGAATGAATAAAACAGGCTGAGTTCATTCAAATATGTGAATGAATGTAACTTAAAAACACTCCTCCTGTCTGTGTGTTGCAGGGATCAGCGGGGAAGCAGAACAACTGAGAGCTGAGGCCGGAGAAAATAGATCCAGGGCATCAGTAATGCTTCTGTAAATCAAAAAGTGTGAGAACATTGAAGTTATATAACCACAGGTCTGTCTGTCTGTCTGTCTGCCTTTCTTCCCATTAAATCCATATTCCTGTTAAAGCTATATATGACATTTGAATACTTCAACATTATAAATTGTTCTTATACTGATTCTGTGTTTGTGTATCGCTTGTTCGCTTAATTTTTTACTCAATAAAACTCTTTCATCCCATCAATCATGTGCTTTCATTTCTCTACAAGACTGTTATTACATGATTCTCATTAAGGTGCACAATGAAGTGACATGTTGCTGAAATCACAATATGGACCAGTGCAATATACAAATGGCAGGTAGCACAATGTACACACATATTGTAGGAGCACAGACACAGTGTTCAAATTCTGCTTTTACAGACTTATTTTGGTTGAGCGTACCTTGCAAAGTAATGTTAGAAGTGTCAAAGGAATGTTTTAATGTAAATACATTAGCACAATAAAAGCTAAATATGTATTTAATAAAAATTTTAATTAAGTAATTTGAAGCTACAGACTTAAAAAACCATCACACCGTAATAATTGTTTATATTTATCAATAATAATGAGTTATAATTAAATAATTATCAATCCCTCCACTATTATGTCTCGTATTGCAATAAAAACAATTGCAATACATACTTTTTTCCAGTGTTCATGATGTTTCCAGAGGATAAACGTTATTTATATTCAATGTGTTAATGTCATAACGGTGGATTTAAATACACAAAATAACACAGATACTTTCGGCAGTTGACCTAAATGATTGATTTGATATAAACTTCTCTCAATGATCGTCACTTTTTCCACAGAAGTATTTTTAGCTGCTCACCTCTTTTCTGAGAAGTCACTCGTCTCTCACCGACATCAGGTGGAAACATCTCATCTGGTCTGAGAGGTGACTAACTCCAGTGACATTTGATTATATGTCATTGTTTGTTTTATTTATACATTTTAAGGAGTTCATTTGACATTATTCAAGTTGATGAAGTGAAGTTGGTGAAACTTTACAGACATAGAAGATAGTTTATTTGTGCAAGGGTCAATTTTAAGATTCATTCGAAGGTTGAAATAATATAATAAGTATATTTCTGACAAAATGTTCACCAAACAAATTGCTTCCATATACAGATACAAGTAATACTGCATGTACAAGCTGATATTTTGGGCTATTTCTCTATTAACTTCTCCTAAATTCACCAAAAGTTAGCATCACATAATGCCTCATTAGCATATTTAAACATAACATGTCAGAAAACTTGTAACATATCAAATAATGGTGGTAATGCAGTAATGAAGTGGGGAAGGTTCATGGTGATGATATCTAAAGCGGCTTACATTCTCTCGATAAACAATACGTTTTTCCTTCAGTTCAAACAGTGTCAGTATGACAGGAAGTGTGTGTGCAGGAAGTGTGTGTGCGGTGCAGCAGGTGGAGGTGTTGTTGTGCAGAGAGCAGAGACAGGAAGTGGTCACAGAGCAGCAGATCTGAAACCTCCGTCTGCAGGAACACACAGCTGCACTTCCTGTGTAACTGATCACACACAGCTCCATCAGGCTGCTTTAGAAAACAGCTGTTCATGTCCTCTGCTGCACACACAATGTAGGTTATTATATAGAGCACGTTTAAAAACAACCAAAGCACAAGTTAAAGTGAGCAGCACGACATCCTGTAGGGCACGTGTCAAACTCAAGGCCCGGGGGCCAAATCAGGCCCTTGGTGGATTTAATTTCGGCCCGCAGGATAATTTTTAATTACTATTAGATCTGGCCCGCCGGTATATTGCACGCACACCTTCACTCAATCCTGAGGGTTTCCTCAGCTCAGAGCCTGACCCCAAACATTGATGACCTTGCACCCAAGATGAGATGCCAAGTATCTGGCTTGAACTAGCATCACAGAGCAGCACACTGAGTTTACATGGATGTTTCCTTCTGCACTTTTTCTCTCACGACAACAGGGCATGTTTGTTTTTTTCTTTGAGGGAAATAGTTTTTTTGAAGCTGTTGTTGGCCTGTGGGAAAATGTAATCATAAGAAATGACTGAGGAAAAGCTGCAGATAGAGCCATAAGAAATGAATGCAACTGATTATTTAATGTTTAATGTTGTTTTCATAGGCAATCATTTAAGCGTTGTTAGTTCCAGGTTTAATATGTGCAATAAGTTCATTTCAATAAGTTCTGCAATAAACATTGAACCAGTCCGGCCCTCGACTAGTACCCATTTTTTCATTTTGGCCCACTGTGTATTTGAGTTTGATACCCCTGCTCAAAGGAGTCAAATGAAATAAAAAATGGCAATGGAAAAAGATAAGACATTATATCATAAGAACACATCAGAACAGAAACATGTTGGATAAATGTATGAATAATTAAATCATAATAAAATATAAAATACTAGAATGTTAAAAGCACTAAGAGGAAAACATATCCCCAAATATATAGATTTTAATTTAAATTTCCAATAATTTATTTGGTAGAGAATGAGAAGATGCAGATTAAACTTTAAAATGTGAGCCTGATATATAATATTGAATATATTTGAAGTATGACTAAATGCGTCTGTCTGAACCGTCTCTAATCAATAGTGGTGGAAGAAGTATTAACGTTTTTTACTTGAGTAAAAGGTAGTATAATTACTCTGCTACAAATTGAAGTGTGCAAGTAACTCAAGTTATATAAATGAAGAGTAGTGTTGTAGGTCTCGGTGAAGGTGGTCTTGACTACAACACTAGTAAAAAGTACCATGTTTGCCTCTGATATTAGTAGTGTACAAGTATAAAGTAGCAGAAGGAGTGAACTGTGTGAAGTATACCCGACTAAATACTTAGTTACTTTTCAACCTGTAAATATAGACTTTGTCAGTTAAAACCACAACACACAAACGTTCTATTTTCACGGTGTGTGTGTGTGTGTGTGTGTGTGTGTGTGTTAGACCTCAACAGAAACTGGTCCAACATCTGTCAGCTGATCATCCTCTCGCTGCTGCAGACACTCATCTTGAGAGTCCTTTATAATCTGCTTTCATCATCCAAGTTCACTTTATAATCCCTCTCATCACATAAACAAGATAGCCTCCAACAATACCAAACTTATCTATATATATATATATTTATATATAAAGCTAATGTGGGCCATTGTACTATTAGCTTCTTACAGTTAAGTGATATAAAGTGTTCTTCAAACTTGTCCTAAAACCTTGGTACGAGATGCGTTTTTGAAAGTGTCTTTTGATATTTTACGAATAAAATATCTGCAAACAAATATTATCAAAAACATGCTCAAGTCATGCCATGTGTAAGTATGAACGTATATGAACTGTCTTTTTTGTTATTTGATCTGTGGTAACATGTGGAAGTAAAGTCTTACCTTACCAAAGCTTCTGTTGGTTGATAGATCCTCAAACTATGAGCTTTTTAATGAATGAAAAACAGCCTGAAAGCTCGGTGGGAAATTCATTTGTCCATTTAATTATCAGTGTGCCTCACCAGCTGCCTGATGGTCCTGACACACCTGGAGTTGGTGAAACACACCTGAGCTGCTGATGATCTGAGGAGAGGACTCCCATGTTTAACAAGTACAAATACTCTGCTACAAGTAAAAGTACTGCATTTAAATATCTTACTTGTGAAATGTGCAAAGGTTTTAGCTTCAGAATAAATGTAATGTACCAAGTGTGCTAATTACCGAATAACATATATGATTTTTTATATTTAAAGGATTTATTTACTACCTTAAGTATAGCCTATAACAGGGGTGTCAAACTCAAATACACAGTGGGCCAACATTTAAAAATGGGTACTAGTCGAGGGCCGGACTGGTTCAATGTTTATAGCAAAACGTATTGAAATGAACTTATTGCACATATTAAACCTAGAACTAACTAAGCTTAAATGATTGCCTATAAAAACAACATTAAACATTAAATAATCAGTTGCATTCATTCCTTATGGCTCTTTCTGCAGCTTTTCCAGGGTCATTTCTTATGATTACATTTCTCCACAGGCCAACAACAGCTTCAAAAAAACTATTTCCCTCAAAGAAAAAACCAAACATGCTCTGTTGTCGTGAGAGAAAAAGTGCAGAAGGAAACATCCATGTAAACTCAGTGTGCTGCTCTGTGATGCTAGTTCAAGCCAGATACTTGGCATCTCATCTTGGGTGCAAGGTCATCAATGTTTGGGCTCAGGCTCTGAGCTGAGGAGACCCTCAGGATTGAGTGAAGGTATGCGTGCAATATACCGGCGGGCCAGATCTAATAGTAATTAGAAATGATCCTGCGGGCCGAAATTAAATCCACCACGGGCCTGATTTGGCCCCCGGGCCTTGAGTTTGACACATGTGGCCTATAACATCATTCATTAGTTGACTTTTAGATTTGTTATGAATCAACATTTTAAACAATTGTCTTGTAGTGGAGCAGAATTACGAAGTAGCAGGAATTGGAGAATACTCAAGTACCTCAAAAGTGTACTTAAGTTCAGTACCTAATAAAGTAAAAATACTCTCCACCATGGCTGATATTTAAGTAAAAAGGAGAACATCATGCAAGAGAAAAACATGGCATAAAAACATATAATACATTAAAATACCAGCATACATCAGTACAAATACACTTGAAATATATTAAGGTAAGTCATGTAATGTAACAAGCAACTATAACTTACTTTGTCACGTTGAGCGCCCCCTTGTGTTGCCAACAGGAACATCACGCCACACATGAACACAAACCAGCAGGAGTTTTTATCAAAATATTATTTTATTATCAAATAATTACATAAAAATAAAACATCACAAAGAGAAAATACAACCCGATATCAGTGAAACTTAAAAAAAGAGCAGTGGTCAAAACAACAGACAGCTGGGAGGGAATAAATGTAATCATTCTCTAGAAAACAGAGAACATGTGGAGTGAATAACTTATTTCAGAGAGGAGGAAAGTTTCAACAGACTTTCCATTTCATTTAAAGCCACATTTTTTTATTTAATCAGTAAAAATGTATGTCCTGCCGAGGGGTTTGCACCTACGTTTTTGAGACTCCACCAAATATAATACCAGATTTATGAATGGAACGGTATATTTGGCAAGGAAAAAACCAAGAGTGATGATGATTGTGCAAACTGTGATATAAATACTATGTGACTTTTTTTATATTCAGTGTTTTTGCAGCAGTGTACGAACAGACTCCCTGAACTTTAAAAACAGTAATCCGTCCCTTCTTCTCCTCTCATGTGATTCTGCGTTAGCTGCAGAAAGCAGTGTTTCGTTAAGTCCCTTTTGGCAGAAGTTCAGTGTTTTTAAAAAGCAGTCCTCCCCTCCACTTCATCCCTCAGTGTCTCTCTACCAGAGCCTGCCCCCCCTCCTCCTCCTCAGAGAGTGGCGGGTGCAGCTGGCGCAGCAGAAGCTGGAGTAATACGAGTTGGAGCAGAGCCGGGCGTAGACGATCAGATCGCAGTTAGCGAGATCCGGCTGGTCCACACACTCCGGAGGGACGTCCTCATCTGCAGCAGAGACAGAGACGTTTAGCACAATGAACATCTCTGATATACTCATTGTGTGTCAAAGTCAAAGTCAACTTTATTGTCAATCTCAAAATATGTTTGTACACACAGAAAGATCGAAATACTGTTTCCCACAGTCCCGAGGTAGACTGTAAAGACTGACACCGATTTTACAAGAGGGTTTTTCTTCATATGGTGCAGACAACTATAACAACTGGAGGATAGCCAGTTATGGAAAGTGTATTTTGGGTTTTCCCATCCTTACATGATGTCAAAAATATTGAACAATCAAACTACACAAACACTTAAGGCCCTCCACAAAAAAAATCTGCATCGTCATGAAAAACGGTACATTTTCAGTCAAATTCACATCATTCATATCCTCTGTTCTTAGTGATTATATTGTCTGGTTTTTCTGCTGGTGTTTTTGCTAGTTTTTTGTCAATCTTGTACGGCGACCTTGAGAGCCTTGATTGAATTACTGAAAAGTAAGTAAGTAGAGTATTTTTTCTACAATTTCTTTCGCCATGTTTGGTGTTTAGGGCATACAGTTTCACCGTATCATCCGCATCTTCACGTTTATATGTATAAAGAACATAGCCTCCAACATTACAAAATGATCTTTATCTACATACAAAGTTTCATAAATCCCAGCAGACAGAACGTCGTGTGGTGTTCTGCAAAGTCAATTAGGAATCTAAGCCAGACAAGATCAGTGTTTGGCGCAGTGGGCTGTGCGTTTGATCATCAGATCAAGGGGGCGTTGGGGAACTCCAATTCGAAACCCGCTTCCGCCGCCACTGCGTCAGGCCGTTGTGTCCTTGGGCAAGACACTTCACCCGGATTTGCTCCTGTGGGTATTGTCCACAGTACATGTATGATATCAATGTGTACTTGTAAAGCGCCTCGATGACTTTGAGGTGTGAAGATGGGCGGTGTGGCGCAGTGCGCTGTGCATTGATCAAGGGGGCGAAACCCGCCACTGCTGCGTCTGTAAAGCCGTTGTGTCTTTGGGCAAGACACTTCACCTGAATTTGCTACATGACCATTACATGTATGTCTGATATGTATGTGTATCTGTAAAGCGCTTTGGGTCATGGAAAAAGCGCTATAAGGAATTATTATTATCCAGGAAGTCTTGTTTAGTATGAAGTGGTGGAGAGAAACCAAGACGAAATATAAATATATTCATATATTCTCTCTGAGCATGAATGCAATCTAACCGAGCCACACGTACTGACTTCCTTTTAGACCTGAGTATAATTTCACCTGAAAGAAAATGGTTTTGTGCATCTTCTAATATTAAGCAAGACTTCATCAACACTTCATATATTTGTCTCTTGCACTGTATTCATTATTTCCATGTCTTAGTTTGATTGTATGTTGCATTGTTGGAGGAGCTTTAGTGCACATAACAATAAACCCTGAACCTTGAACAAAGCTGTGTTTTGTAAACGTATATCATGCCCATATAAACGGGTCGCGTCCTGACCTTGCTGCGTGTGTTTGGTGACCTTGACCTCGGCCGTGGCGCTCACAGAGTAGATGCCGGTGTAGGCGTTGCAGGTGTAGGTTCCCTCGTCTGCAGGCGTCACGCTGTTCAGGATCAAACTGCCGTCAGACGACTTCAGGACGAGACGGCCGTCCGGACGCACCGGGATGCCGTTTCTGCGGGAGAGAGGAGAGGAAGGAGAAGAGGAGGAGTTATTTCTGGGTTCCCAGCTAAAAAAACAAAAGTTTATCTCACATTTCACCGCTTTATAAAAGATTATGAGGGTTAATGTGGGAACAGCAAATTTAACTTGGATCATAATTTCACACACAAAAAACGTCTACCTCATTAAAGTCATATTTGTATTTGTTGAAACACTTGTCTTGCAATAGTCGTATCGAGCATTTTATGTATTTTTAGTACCCTCACAGAAGACAACATAACCTCCTGCAGGATAAAGCTTCTCCTTTCTTGGGTGTTTATAACTGGATTTATAATTAATGAACTGTCTGATCATTTAAATATTCAATAAACTAAGTCAATAACACATTTGAGGAAAATGAAAGACACAGTTAGATTTTGGAGAACAAAATAAGGTCACATGAATATCTTTCAAACAAAGTCTCCTAGGTTTCCAGCTTCTATTGTTGGGGCCACACATTGAACTTATAGGATCATTATTATAAATAATTCTAACAGGAGTTCTCACCGGGACCAGCCGATGTTCACGTTGTCCCCGGAGACGACGCAGGGCAGCAGAGCCGTGCTGCCTTCAGGGACCTGGATGTTGTTCGGAGCCGTGGTGATCTTCAGGTCCGCTGGACAGAAAAACACAACGAAGAAATCAAATACACATTTTTATGATGGTTGTTTTCCCCCAAACCAGAGTCTGTGTTCATGAGACACCGGTGTACTGCCCTCTGCTGGGGATTGAGTGGAATTATAACAATAATAAACACCTGAACATAGGAGATAATATCATCTGAATTTAGTTTATTTAAGTAGGTTTTCACAAACAAGGAATTTTCTTTGGTGCATAATACAAACATAATTTAAAAAATAGGAAAGAACAAATATAAAATAAAAAAACAATTGTATGACATATACTAAATAAATACGATTAAATTAATAGAAAATAAATAATAAAAGTGCAAAAAGAACGTACATATAAAAAAATTGACTTGTGCACGAAGAATATAAATATACAAAATAAAATATTATAAAAATGTAAAAAATGACTGCAAAGAACCTACAGAGTATATCTGACTAATGAAAGGGCCGTGCAGATCTAGAGTCGTAGTATTTTGTAGAAACGTGCAGAGTTTTGAGTTTAATGGAGTTCACAAAGACTTGTATTTCTGATCTGACCCTAAGGCTGATCTTATCTAATCCTCTGCATGTTAAACCTGATGGTGTGTGGTGGTGTCTGATGGTGTCTGATGGTGTCTGATGGTGTCTGATGGTCTCTGATGGTCTCTGATGGTGTCTGATGGTGTCTATATGATGGTGTGTGATGGTGTCTGATGGTGTGTGATGGTTTCTGTTAAGGAATAATTCTTCTAGATATCTAACCTTTTACTCTGACATATGTTATCTCCTCTAAGGAAAGGCCTTGGTGCCATATGTGTTGTTGTCACCAGTGTGAGACCGGTCAACTTGACTGGCACGTAGGGTAATTGTTGTGAGAACACTGAAGCATTTCTTTATCGGTGTTTGTGGGCTCTCGGATGTGAAATCCTTGAGGCCATGAGCGTTGGACGCAGATGATTCAGTGTTTAGTCTACTCCTTCAGAGATGTTGATTTCTCTCTGTGAACCTGTTAAAAGGGCTAGCATAGAGAGAGGTTCTTCAGAATTGACGTGGCAACTCTACCGTGTGGTCAGAACCTCTGACTCTTTGATTTGTGATGTGAATCCTCCGGCCGAATACTCTGAATAAACCCATCAGTGTTTGACATCAAAGCTCCAACTCTCACCGTGTCTCCTTCCTGAGTCGGTGACTCCATGCATTACTACACAGAAGTTTCCTCCACAGTTTCTGGTGGTGTCTGGTGGTGTGTGATGGTGTCTGATGGTGTCTGATGGTGTCTGGTGGTGTCTGATGGTGTCTATGTGATGGTGTGTGATGGTGTCTGGTGGTGTCTATGTGATGGTGTGTGATGGTGTCTGGTGGTGTGTGATGGTGTGTGATGGTGTGTGATGGTGTGTGATGGTGTCTGATGGTGTCTGATGGTGTGTGGTGGTGTCTGATGGCGTCTGATGGTGTGTGATGGTGTCTGATGGTGTGTGATGGTGTCTGATGGTGTTGGATGGTGTGTGATGGTGTGTGATGGTGTGTGATGGTGTCTGATGGTGTGTGATGGTGTCTGATGGTGTCTGATGGCGTCTAATCTGATGTTCTCACCTTGCACCTTCAGCTGCAGCGTCCTCTGCTCCAGCTGCTGCTCAGAGGAGGCGGTGCAGGTGTAGAACGCTGAGTCAGCAGCCTGCAGAGAGACGATGCTCAGAGAGCCGTCCGAGTGCTGCGTCAACCTGAGACACAGGAAGTCACATCACTTATTTACTGTCAGCTAGTCTTACACTTTACAGAAAGTCCTGATGCAGAGTACCGATAAATAAAATATATAACAAATAAATACATAGATATGCAGTACTAAAGCAACTTGGTAACACTTTATACAATGATCTTATCTGGTACAGGACTTTGAATACTCCCTGCTGTGTTTTCTTCCCTTAAAATAAAAAACACCCCTTGACCATTTTTATTTGAATTCTTTTTTTCATATGTTTTGTTTATGCTCTGGTTGTGTGTATTTTTTTGAAAAAAACTAAAAGGATTGATCACTGAACGGACGATGTGCAAACTGAAACTTTGAATTGCCTCGTGTTGAAAGGTGCTATATAAATAAACTTGCCTTGCCTAAAAGAAGAAATTAAAACAGAGTGAAATATCCTCTACATAATGTACAAGGAATATGAACATAGAATTGATGCATACGGAGTTGCCCTCTCAGCCTGTTTGCTTCAGTGTTGGCCTGGTATCGGTTTCTGTGCTTCCCTAACATGATTTAATGTATCAGTGTGCTGCTGACCGGGGGTCGCTGAGCGTCTGCCCGTCTTTGGTCCACTGGATGCTGACGGCCTGCAGGGCGGAGGGGGGGGCGATGGTGCAGGAGAGCCGGGCCGTCTGTCCTGAACGCATCTCCAGCTGAGAGGAGCCCGAGCGGTCGATACTGAACCTGAGAGGAACAACAAAATATAACTCAATCAGAGGCTGTTTTAATATTCTGAACTTCCCAGACTTTACATACAACATATTATTTCATTTGGGCTCTTTAATCTGTCATTTCTCCTCTGGATATTGTCTCAATGTTTCCAAAACGTATCTTTAAAAAGCATTTTTGTGTATGTAAAGAAACAGATGTTATTCTCACCGAGGGACAGGACCATCTCTGGGCATCAGCGAAGAACCCACTGTGACACACACACACACACACACACACACACACACACACACACACACACACACACACACACACACACACACACACACACACACACACACACACACACACACACACACACACACACACACACACACACACACACACACACACACCACACACACACACACACACACACACACACACACACACACACACACACACACACACACACACACACACACACACACACACACACACACACACACACACACACACACACACACACACACACACACACACACACACACACACACACACACACACACACACACACACACACACACACACACACACACACACACACACACACAGGTATGTAATCATGCGTAAAGGCAGCTAACTTTCCAGGGTCAGCTTGTTCTGACACAACCTCTGACATCACGATGACATCAGCGTCAATGGCACGATCAGAGGCACGTTTTCACCGAGTCCGGCCTCAATCACCCGATCAAACACCGGGTGAGAGGTTCTTCTCAGACGCTCTCATATCATGAAACATGTGAAGTACTGGACTTTTAACACTGTTTTTGTTGTGTGTAAATAAATAAAAATGAATATTTCTTAACAAGAACAAATAAGAAATTAGATCGTTTGGCTGTTTTTGCTTCCTTAGCATGTTTTCTTTCAAACTTGTACAAAAAAACCATTCAAAATCCACATTCAGGAGTTTATTTGACTAACTTTGTCTGTTTGTGCAGATTTCTACTGAATCCACCAAAAGTTAGCATTACATAACGCCTCAATTGCATATTTAAATATCATATTTCTGAAAACTTGTAATATAAAAAGTAATTGTGTTAATGTCAGTAATGAAGTGGGGAAGTTTCATGATGATATCTGTTAGTTACATGTTTTACCCTGTTCACCTGTAGTGTGTACAACATGAATGAAATCTAGATTCCTCTCTCAGCAGAAACCTCTCTTCAGCAGCTCTTACACAAACCATTCATCCCTCTGTTTATCTGTAATGAGTGTGTGTGTGTGTTACCTGAGACGGACAGGTCGATGTAGCGGTGGTCTCTCTTCTGCTCTCGAGTCGCCACACACAGAAACCATCCAGAGTCCAGCAGAGAGAGAGGGCCGACCAGCAGGGAGCCGTTGGGCTGCTGGTGGTGCCTGGAGAACACAAAGGAGTGAGTGAGTGAGTGAGTGAGTGAGTGAGTGAGTGAGTGAGTGAGTGAGTGTGTGTGTGTGTGTATACAATCTTATTTGTTATTTTAAATGTGACTTTAACTGTGGTAACTTGTGGAAGTACAGTACAAAGTTTACGTTGTTTGATCATCCTCAAAGTAGGAGCTTGTGTGTGTGTGTGTGTGTGTGTGTGTGTGTGTGTGTGTGTGTGTGTGTGTGTGTGTGTGTGTGTGTGTGTGTTTCTAACCTGCGTGTGGACAGGGGCACTCCGTCTCGTCTCCACTCCACCTTCACAGTGGAGGATGGGGGGGGGCTGACTCTGCAGGGCAGCACCACCGTCTGTCCCACCAACGCCTCCACCGAGGAGGGGTCCGTCTGATCGATGCTCACCCCCCCCAGAGTCAGGCTGAGGAGAGAGAGAGGAGGGAACAAGGACAGAAGGAAGGAAGGAAGGAAAGGAAAAAGGATGGGGGTAAAGGAAGAGTCACTTTATGCTCCACTGTTGGTTCTTCTCTCACCAAAGCAAACATAAAGAGCGCCCACAACCGGCTGCAGGTCATCAGAGAGGGACAGAGACAGATCTGGGACACGTGCAACAGGAAAAGAGACAAAACGATGAACCCCTCCCCCACAAAGAGCTGCAGCGATGAGACCGAACAATAACCACCAAGCATTTTGATAATCGATTAAATATTTCTGACTCTAAAGTGATTTTATACTTTATATTTACTGCTTCACTGTTTCATCTCATATTTTGTATTAAAGTGGACCTATCATGCTATATTTGAATAATATAGTGTAGGACCATACCTATATAAGGCATATTTATACTTTTTTTTTTTCAAAATACCAAACAGATCATGCATTTTAGCCATGCCTCATTTTGCTCAATTTGAAAATGTTTAGATCTGTTTTAGCAAGGGCTGATTCAGTGAGAACAGCACCATCTACAGGCCTGGCATATGTACTACAGCGTCTCCAGCGCTTTCGAACGGCAATGGCCGTGGCTGTCTCCTCCTGATTGGTGGAGTTGGCCCAATAGCCGTAGCGCCACCGTCCTGACGTCAGGACAGTGTTCAAATCTGGATCAGTTTTTATCAGATCCGTTGCAGCCCCTTTTTTAGAGATTTGGGTATGGAGGAAAATGAGAGGGTTGTGTTTTCTGACACTTGGTGAGTTCCCTGGAACACCGGGGACACATGTTCATGTATAAAAGACGTAAACAAGTGCATTTAGCATGATAGGTCCCCTTTAAAGTAATTATCTTTAAAGGTCACCTATTATGCAAAACCCACTTCTTCATGTCTCTTCTACATCAACATGTGTCCCCTCTTCTTCATGTCTCTTCTACATCAACATGTGTCCCCTCTTCTTCATGTCTCTTCTACATCAACATGTGTCCCCTCTTCTTCATGTCTCTTCTACATCAACATGTGTCCCCTCTTCTTCATGTCTCTTCTACATCAACATGTGTCCCCTCTTCTTCATGTCTCTTCTACATCAACATGTGTCCCCTCTTCTTCATGTCTCTTCTACATCATCATGTGTCCCCTCTTCTTCATGTCTCTTCTACATCAACATGTGTCCCCTCTTCTTCATGTCTCTTCTACATCAACATGTGTCCCCCTCTTCTTCATGTCTCTTCTACATCAACATGTGTCCCCTCTTCTTCATGTCTCTTCTACATCAACATGTGTCCCCTCTTCTTCATGTCTCTTCTTCATCAACATGTGTCCCCTCTGTGTAAAGAGACTCTGAAAGTTTCAGGAACAAAGATTCTCTCTCTTTTTGTCCTGATCCATTTCTATAAAAACCTGTCTGAAAATGAGCTGATCAGATTTTGGCCACTTTGTGATGTCATAACGATGTTTGGCTTGTGTAACCATTAGCCAATCAGCAACCCCCCCCCCCCCCTATAAAGTCAGGCAACACTAACCAGGCTTCGTGTGATTCTGTTTATTTGTACCTTACTTTGACCATCCGTTCGCTATTGATCATTGTGGAGAGCAGGCAGACGTTTTGTTTGTTATTATAGCAGCTATCGGATGGAATCAATACATGGGCTGCACAGGTTGTCATGTCCGACTATCAGAAGTAGAATCATAATGAAAAATACGTCGGTAAAAAGTGCCTGTAGAAAACGGCTTAGCAAGTAGTCAGTTTAGCTTCGGTTGCTATGCTAACATCACCCATGTTATACCAGAGAAACTTTCATAACAGCGTTGTGATGCCAAACAGCGTCAATTCAGACTGACACACATTCACTTAAGGGGAACTGGGGATATGTAACAGCTGCTTGTGTGACAGTCAGACAGTGAATACTTTAGAGCCGTGTGAGCTAACCCGGAGCTAACGGGAGAATAAACTCCCGTGGAAGAGCAGCCAGCACTGCAGCGGTCGGTAAATGCCGCTGAAACACATTAATAAACAATGAACCACGGCACTCTGGAGAAAAGTATAAGGTTGGAGAAGTCGTTATTTAATTTAATCTGGCTTCGTATGATTAAAAGCAACACGATCATCGACCCGACGCAGTCCCCCCCCCCGTTGTTGTTGTTGTTGTTGTGAGCTCCGTTGGGGAGAAAATCAGCGATGTAAACAGTGACGTCATGACGCAGCAGCGGCAGCTCTGGGCGGTGTGAACAGAGCGGGAGCTGAAAAGGGAAACCGGAGCTGAACCAGAAAAGCTCTAGCTAGGAGCTAGAAAGGGAAAAGCGCTGGTGTGAAAGCCGCAAGAGGGGCATGGGGAGGGGCTCCTTATTTTCATCTAAAGTAACAGACCCAGAATCAGCACTTTGGAAACAGGGCTGAAACAGAGGGGATTATGGGATGCTGCAATGATCTGTTTGGTGTTTCAGCCAATCAGAGACAGGCTCTGTATATATCTGAGACCTATAATATATTGATGAAAAACAGTATAATATGCGGCTTTCACACGAGCGCTTTTCCCTTTCTAGCTCCTAGCTAGAGCTTTTCAGCTCCCGCTCTGTTCACACCGCCCAGCTGCCGCTGCTGCGTCATGACGTCACAGTTTACGTCGCTGATTTTCTCCCACAACAACAACGGGCCGGGGACTGCATCGGGTCGATGATCGTGTTGCTTTTAATCATACGAAGCCAGATTAAATTAAATAACGACTTCTCCAACCTTATACTTTTCTCCAGAGTGCCGTGGTTCATTGTTTATTAATGTGTTTCAGCGGCATTTACCGACCGCTGCAGTGCTGGCTGCTCTTCCACGGGAGTTTATTCTCCCGTTAGCTCCGGGTTAGCTCACACGGCTCTAAAGTATTCACTGTCTGACTGTCACACAAGCAGCTGATACATATCCCCAGTTCCCCTTAAGTGAATGTGTGTCAGTCTGAATTGACGCTGTTTGGTGTCAGTCTGAATTGACGCTGTTTGGCATCACAACGCTGTTATGAAAGTTTCTCTGGTATAACATGGGTGATGTTAGCATAGCAACCGAAGCTAAACTGACTACTTGCTAAGCCGTTTTCTATAGGCACATTTTACCGGCGTATTTTTCATTATGATTCTACTTGTGATAGTCGGACATGACAACCTGTACAGCCCATGTATCTCCACAATGATCAATAACAGCGAACGGATGGTCAAAGTAAGGTTTCCTGCACGCCTCGACGTAAGAGACGTAAGCGACGCCGCGTCATAGCTCCGAAGCTCTTGCCTCTGGACCGACAATTTTTTGGAGCTGGAAGTGAACCGCATTCCGGAGCTATGACGCGCCGCCGCTGCGGTGTGAACAGGAAAAACCGGCGCTTTTCCAGCTCCAGCTCCGAGCAGGAGCTGGAAAAGCGCCGGTGTGAAAGGGGCAATAGGGGACCTTTAAACCGATAAAACAAGACATTTAAAAACATCATCTTAGATTTCTCTGTATTTTTTTCTACCCTAAAGGATGTTTCTAGATAAAATGTATTAGACCTTTTTTACTTACCCATGCAACATGAAAAGTTGAATATAGAAGAAAATTAATATAATTACCAACTATTTTGATAATCAAATAGTTATTTTTCAGGAAATAGTCTTTTTAAGCTCTCAAATACAGATATTAAAGTACCTCTTATCTTATATTAGTAGTTTTCTATTTTGTATTTCATATGAAAGAGGCTATCTTTAAAACAAGACATTTGAAGACTTCCCCTGGGAAGGATATGTTTGGACTACTCTTCTGATATTTTATGCACCAAATCAAAAACGATATATGATGGAAATAATGGAGTGATGCAACTCTTTTATAATTATGACATTTCTCTAAATAACAAAAAAAAAGTGTTGTTAATTTTGACTTTTTGTGACATTTTGTATACCCAGAAATAAATAGGACATGTATGAATAATGAATACAAAGGTTAGTTGACCCACAAAACATCAAGTGATATGAGCTATTAACACAAAGGAGACTTTTCCCTCCACCAGAAGAAACCCAGAGTTCCCAGCACGCAAAGAGATGAAACTAAAACACCAGACTCCACAGATGTCAGGTGGAGAAAGACAACGTTTAGAGACACAAAGACAACAACATGTAGCATCACAGCAGAACCTTTATTAGTTTATCTAAAGACAACAGAGAGACAACACAAAGCACAGAGGCGGTGACAGGAAGCACGAGACGACTAACAGGAACTCCACACACACACAAACACACACACAGTGAAAAGTCCCAGAAGCAAAAATATGGATCGCTGTGAGGTGAAGAACTTCTCCAGACATTTTGTCGAGTTTAAAAAGAACAAACGAGGTGATGCAAGCGTGAGAGCGAGAGTCTTTTGGAGCTGAAGCTGCAGAGCGGAGGATCCACTTTATGCCGCGTTACAGTCAGGGTCAGATGTCTGAACATTTCCACTAAAAATGACGTGCGTTTCAGGTGTGTAATGCTGTATATGTACCTACCTCATAAAGGGTTACAATGATGGTCAGAACTGAAGATGGTAAAAAGTTTAAAATCAGTGAATTACAATTAATTTGTTAAATAATAATAATAATACAAATATTATTCATTGTTCAAATAATTAATAATAAAATATTTTTAAAGCAGTTTTTAGATAATGAGAATTCACTGACTTTTCCCATACTGCAAAACAATACAAATACAATTCCCCCTAGTATTCAGTATACAGAAAAGAGTGTATTATTTATATTTAGTACAGCAAAATATACCTTGCAATGCCTTTTAGTCATTATAGTTTTACAATGTTCAGATTTCATGAAGTCAGACTCAATGGATTTTATTTTACAAGCAGGATCTCCGACTTTAAGACGCTTTCATTTGACTTTTGTTGGAAGGAGCCTCGGACATTTTTGAGCTATGACATGACTGTAACGCAGCATTACAAAGCAAGAATGAGCTTATATTAGCATCACATGAAAGAGCAAGTTGCATACAATAAAGCACACACACATATATATAATATAAGAGTAACACCCTGAAGTACACTTCTACATGACTGCTGCAAAAACAGACCTTCCTGCAGAGTTAATTTACTCTTTAAGTTCACTTTCATTTAAAACATTACACACTCCATCAGTAATTCATACATAATACTGAAGACATTCAGTATTATGTCAACTTTTTAAATCATCTTGTCATAATATTGAAAATGTTTTTGCACAATTCTAAAGCTGATATTTAAAATTCACCGCTATCTGGATCCATACTCATTAGGATATTTGACTGTGCAACGTCACACATTCAATACCAATTAATGAAGGCTTTATTGTAATTTGAAATAAATAAATGCCTTTTACGATCTTCTCTGGATCTACAGGAACCCTGATATGTTTTTCTGTCATGCATACAGGCCGGGAACATGTAAACATGACAATAAGATTTAACATCTTTTTTTAGGATGCAGGTGATTTCTCTCTTTGGGGGGGGGGGGCACTTCCTTCATCCTCAGATTGGGGCTCCTTCAGCAGGACGGCTGTAATCAGCCTTAAGACACCAGTGGAGGTAGTGGGGGGGGGGTGAGGATCTTCTCCAGGTGGGTCTTACCTGGCTGCGGGGCCGGTGTGCTGAGTGGCAGTGGAGGGGGGGGGTCTGCGGGTGCGGAGGATCCTCGCTCTGTGGGCCTGCGTGGCGGCGCTGGTGGCCTGTCTGGAGCCGCCCTGGACCGTGAAGACCCTCCCCATGTCACGAGACCCTGCACCTGTGGACCCTCCAGACGTGGAGCCTGCACCTGTGATAGAAATGTATTTATTAGGATAAACCCCTTGAGATGCACCATCTCGTTTTCAAGGGGGTCCCGACAAAAGCAACGTCTTACAGACATACATGAACAAAATAACAGAAAGCAAAGCATGACAAACCACCTCCCGTCTGTTCAGTACAATTCATGAAGTAATACACAATGTACGTAATATTTCATTCCATATTTTATTCCTTTTATTCCATTCCATTGCAATGTAAATACTGTTATATTTTACTATATTATTTTATTATTTTTTATATTTTTCTAGTTCTCTACCTGTGTATTTAATTCTTGTTTTACTTTTATGTACAACAAGTCAAATTCCTCGTACGTGTCAACCTACCAGGTAATAAACCTGTTTCTGATTCTGATTCTGATTCTGATTACAATATCATTACAATTTGATAGACCGAAGACATACCCGATGATGCAGTTCCAGTTCCAGCTGTTCTCCCCCCGCTGGGCTCCCTCCTTGGGGTGGCCGGTGCAGCGGGGGCTGGGGGGGGTGCGGGGCCCGTGTGGCTCGGTGCCGGTACCGTGCAGGCCCGTTGGCACTCGGCCCGGGTCATGAAGTTGTTGCTGTTGCCGTGGCAGCTGCCGAACCAGAAGTGAAGGCACTTGGATGTGAGCACGTCGAAGTGGTATCGAGGCGTCCAGCTGGAGCAGGAGCCGGCGGCACGAGGGAGGGAGCAGAAGGAGCGCTCGACTGCAGGAGGAGGAGAAGAAGAAGAAGACATAAGTTATTGTGCATAGGACAAATAAAGCCTTTAGCAGATGGAGCACATGGAGAGAGAGGGGTGGGGGGGTAAAGGTGGAGTCAGGGCTTCATTTATTATATATTACTTTTATGCTAAGTATTGCATATGTTGCATTGTTGGAGGAGCCTGAAAATCAACATTTCTATTGTCAAATCTACGCTAAGTTATTGTGGACATGACAAATAAAGCCTTTGAGTCCTTTGCTAGAATTTGGGAATTGACAAACTAAACTTTTAACAATAAAAAAAATACTTTGATAGCTTCTTAAAAAAGCTAAGGGACCTGACTCTGGACTGTTTTGATCTACTTCTATCCTTTTCTGTTCTTTAATTGAATTTGTTTTGAAATAAAATGATGTTACATGTTAACTTATCATATCAAAAATAACATGGGGTATTCAAACCGTCACTCACTCAGCAAAACATGTAATGATTGAGTTAGTAGTCTTACTGTGGTTGGGGGGGTTGGGGCAGCTCTCTCCGTTGGGACCCCCTGCTGGCGTGGTGCGGTCGTAGCAGCACCCGTAGGTGGTGAGTTTGCACTGAGCGGCGTTCTCAGAGGGGAGAGAGGAAGCCGTCTGAGGAGACAGGAAACATCAGAAATAAAGCATTTATCGTCAGTGTCTGATATATAAACATCCATTTTAAAATCCTTACATTGGCTCCCCACCGGTTTCAGCATTTATTTGAAGGTTCTGGTTTTTACCGATAGAGCCCTGCATGTGACCTTCTCCATCCTTACATCGCCCGTAGGTCACTTAGGTCTTTAGACCAGGGCCTACTGGCTGTCCCACGGTCACGTTTAAAAAGGTGACCGTGCCTTTCATGTGGAGCTCCAACACTATGGACCCAATAGGCATCCGCTCTGCAGTCTCTGGAGAAGCTTTTAGAAAACTACTGAAGACCCATCTTTTTACATTGGCTTTTATTTCTATTTGAGATGTGTGTGATGTGTTCTGTTCTTATGTCTGTTCCTTTCTGGACTCCACGTCGCCTGTGTTTTCTTTTTATGTTGACCTTACATGTCTGCCTCATGTGGTTATTATATTCATGTTCAAGGTTCAAGGTTCAAGGTTCTTTATTGTCAATCTGACATAGCTACAGAGTAATTATGTAGTTGAAAATCTTATGTCACAGGCTTCTCCAACAATGCAACATAATAACATAATAACAATAAGAGCAAGAGCAATACAAAAAGAAAAAATAGTTATAAAATAAAGTTATGATGTGGAATAGTGCAGTACAAGTCTATATACAAGTTATTGGAATGATATATATATATTAGGTATTAGATACATATTATTGAGTAGCTGAAGAATGTTTTGAAGTTGTTTCAACAGTTCAATTTTTTAAAAGTCTCACTGCCCGCGAGAAGCAACTGTCTCCGAATCTTCTTGTCCTTGCCAGGATGCTGCTGGATGTTTCTGTGGTCTTCATTTTTACTTTTGTTCTTACTTGTGAAGCACTTTGGGAATTGTATTTCTGTGAAAGGTGCTATACTAAATAAACGTATTATTATGATATTATTATTATGAATATCTCCTGTGTGTTTCTTACCGTGGGAGCAGGAGCTGAGTACTCTGCACAGCCCTCTCTGCTGGGACCCTGAGCCGGCGTCACTCCGTCCTGACAGCAGCTGTAACTGAAACAAGAAGAAGAAGGAACAATAAAACACTCTGTACTGAACACTGGGGCCAGAAATAACAGCAGCAGGGACGTTTCTAAGAAAACCTTGGACTGTTCTGTCGCTCTGTGGTCAGTGCAGAACTCTGTGGTCAGTGCAGAGCTGAAGCCAGACCATAAGAGGTCAGAGGGGCGTTAGAGTGACACTGAGGAGGTGAAACAGACCGTGTGTGACCGCAGAGAAATGACAGGCTGCAGCTGGACACCACAGCTAGTATAGTTGTTTAAAGTTATTTTGAGTGTGTTTCCTATTTTCAGAAAGGTTTAGTTTGTCTGTGGGTTTATTGTTTAAGAGGTATACGACCACATAAACACACAGAGGACGTGATTGGATGATTGGATGACTGTGTGGGAATTGCATAATGTTTAAATCTTTATATTTTTCAATCAACGTGAGTCTTCTTTCACTCCCACACTCAGACGATATGAGTCCAGTGCTTTAACATTACACCTGAGCTGAAGAGCTTGGTTGAATGGTATTTGGTATAATATTTAAATAACGTACTATTTATTTAATTTAAGAAGACTAAACTACATGTGACAAACAAACAGGGATTTATTGTGTAGCATCGCAGCATAGCTCCAACCTCCTGGAAGTTTCTGTGGTTTAGTGTCACAAGAGTTGACAGAAATTCATACTCTATACCAGGGGAGTCAAACTCAATTTCATCGCGGGCCACATCAGCATTATGGCTGCACTCAAAGGGCCGGTTGTAACTTTAAGACTATATAAAAATACATATATAAATATATCATATATATATAAAATAATATATTATATTACATTATTTTCCTCTGCATTGGATCATTATCGGATAGGGTAATAACTTCATAATTAACTACGTCTGAAAGCAGAAGTCTAGGGCAAATAATTGCAAGTCTCTTCAGTGAGAATGTCACAAAATGATTTTAAAAGAAAAGCCAAATTCTGGAAAAAAAGTCAAAATAAAAAAAAAGAAGTGAAATTTAAAAAGAAATAAGTGCATTTTGTTTTTTAAAGAAGTGACATTTTGAAAAAAAAGTAACATTTACAAAAACAATTCTAAGAACAAATGAATATTTAGAAGAAAAATAGTCAAATTCTGAGAAAAAAGTCAAATTTGGATGCATTGTGGGACATGTAGTTTATGGGCAACGTGCTTCTGTAAATCGGCATGTAACCGTATAATAAACGTATTATTCTTTGCAAGCTCTTGTGGGGCCACAGAAAATGAAGTCACGGGCCGGATTTGGCCCCCGGGCCTTGAGTTTGACACCCCTGCTCTATACTATTTTCTGTGAAAAATCTTATTGCTTAAATAAAATAAAATAAAATAATTTTGATTTCAGATTTTTAACCAGGCAATTTTCTTTTGGTTTAGACCTATGAAACTGGACCTCTCATGCTAGATTGTTGTTTACATGATGCTGTTAATTTAATTTAAAAATAAAAACTGTAAGACCTAGAATGTGCGCACAGCATGAAGTTATTCCAACATTCCTACTTTCACACTTTTCATACTATCCTGAATGTGTCTCCACACGGTTGATCTCACCTACTGTAAGTCGCTCTGGAGTGTGAGCTAGGTGAATTATAGTTGAATGTTTAGAGTAAACCTACCTGCTCTGGCTGCAGTGCGGCTGCACGGCGGTGGGGGGGGGGGGGCCGGGGGCAGCCCAGCCCCTGGTGGCCCCCGGCTGCAGTGCGTCCGTCGGGGCAGCAGCCGTACGGGCCCTGGCTGCAGTGCAGAGCGGGGGCCGAGCCTTGGGGGTCCTGCACCACTGGGGTCTGAGGGCGGCGGGCTGCTGCAAAACCACACAGAGAGGGGGGGGGGATAAACACATTGTATATATACCACAGTCGTGAACCGTCAGGGCCTTCAAGGTATTCAGAGAATACCCTGGAACAATCAAATGAATTATTTAAATAACATTTAATAAAATGTAAATAAAATGAATAAATGAGAATTGTATCTGTGTTGTTGATCTGTAATATTAGAGTTACGTTGATTTGTTTGTCCTTCTCGGTCCATGCACTACGCATTTCAGTGGTTTTGTGTTAGAAAAGAAATGCAACCAATCAGATATGTTTCTGGGTCTCTGGGTAGAATATCCTTCAACAAGGTATTCTATATCCTTGATAGAAAGCCCTGGCCCTCACACTGAATGAGAGCGAACGTTTGGACTGACAGTTTGATCAACCAATCATATATTGATTTGTAGCCAATGGGCGTATTCTTTCAGTTTCCCTCGGTTCCAGGTGCTCTAGAAGGCCCGTTAGTTCACTGGCTCGAGACAGAGGATCCAGCGTAAGTGCTACGTAGCAATTCATTTTAAGTTTTCTTGTGTTTTTACGTCGAAATGGCAACAGGTCAAGATGATGTTGTTGCAGAATTGTTGTTAGTACCGTTTCAAGACGACCATTCAGTGAAAAGATGGACATTATAAAAAAAAGGCGGTCCAACGCAAAGTGACTGCCTCCGTGACGTCTGTCTGACTAGAACACCCGCATTTTCTACAGAAGGTCCAGTGGTGGTAGACAAGGTTCGCCACTGATATACCAGACCCCCCCCCACCCACAGTTAATGGTGTTTATATAGACAACAGCACACAAAGAGATGGAGACGTTCACACATACTTGCACTTCACTTGAGTATTACTATTATACTTCACTACAGGGTCTGGGTACTTCTTCCACCTCTGTAATAAACCGAGTGGTGTAATGTGTCAAAGTACATATACTCGAGTATGTTATTATTTAAGTACTTTTTTGACTTGCTTGTACTTTACTTGAGTGTAGTAATCTTTGGTCCACTGCATTTATTGAACCCTCATAGCTGCTTGATGATATGCTTATACAATTTGATGTATTACTGTATAACTAATCTTCTCAGAATTGTAAAAAGTAACTACAAATGTAAAACTACAACAAAAATTCACATCACAGGTAAGAGAATAAAAAGATTCCATAATACTGTAAAAAGAGCACTTTTGCAGTTGCTTTTGATACGTGACGAACGTTCCCTGCAAATACTTCTGTACTTCAACCTAAGTAACAAATCAGGACTTTAACTTGTATTGGAGTATTTTAAGACCATAGTATTGTACCACCTCTGAATACTCTCATATTTCACACATAAGCACGCACACACACACACACACACACACACACACCACACACACACACACACACACACACACACACACACACACACACACACACACACACACACACACACACACACACACACACACACCACACACACACACACAGACACACACACACACCACACACAGCGATCACCACACACCACACACACACCACACACACACACACACAACACACACACACACACACACACACACACACACACCACACACACACACACACACACACCACACACACACACACACACCACACACACACACACACACACACACACACACACACACACACACACACACACACACACACACACACACACACACACACACACCATGGACCTCTAACAATGAATTCCTGAGGTCTCTCCACTGCTGCAGAACGTCACAACATGCCACAAACTCCTGCACACTTCACTGCTCCAGAAATATTTTAATCAGGCCAACGATGCCCATGGACCCTGAAAACATGTCCGTCAGGCTTCATCATTAGTGCTGGGACTCATGGGGGGTGGGGGTTATATGAGCAGAGAGGCTGCAGAGGAACTGAGAGAAACAGATACTAGGATAGAGAAACTATCAAGGTATTAATATAGTATGTTACAGGAATACTTCACCTGAAAACATTATCATTCGTGGATCAATTACACTGGAATCTTGGACACAGATCAATTCAAATGTCTCCAGAGAGTGAGAGGTACAAGTGTCATCAGAGGGATTTATTTGAAAGAGTCTCACCTGTGGACTGGTCCGGTGAGTAGGGCTGGAAAACAGTCTGAGTGTTGTCGTGTCCTCGTGAGTCCTGGATGCTGGGAACCACTACACACACACACACACACACACACACACACACACACACACACACACACACACACACACACACACACACACACACACACACACACCACACACACACACACACACACACACACACACACACACACACACACACACACACACACACACACACACACCACACACACACACACACACACACACAACACACACACACACACACACACACACACACACACACACACACACACACACACACACACACACACACACACACACACACACACACACACACACACACACACACACACACACACACACACACACACACACACACACACACACACACACACACACACACACACAGAACAACAAGAGTCAGTATACTGTTGATTATTCTTCACTCCTGAAATCAGGGTTTTTCTAAAGTTATGTAGAGAGCAGGGAAAAATTGTGGAACTAATGTGGAAAACAAATTCCTAGGTGATCTTATTTTAGTATTTGCATCTGTTGTTGTAATAAACATTTTGGCCACACAAGACCGAAGTGTATAACAACTAATATTCTATTAAACTCATTTCAATTTAATTTACATATGAAAAAAGTAGGATTCTGGGAAAAGCTCTGTCTCTCAAGGTTTTCGTACACAGTATAAAATACAGCGTGACAGAGTGTGCTTCAGTCTGTCTCTGAGCAGCGTGCCTCACCCTGCGGGCTGTAGCAGGACTGGGTGTTGCAGCGCTCCATGGTGGAGGGTTTGGGGTGAGCGTTGCATTCGCTCACAGGGTACAGGTTCCTCTCGCGGTCCGAGCAGATCACCTGACGCTCCCGAGAGCCGGATCCACAGCTCCTGGAGCACTGCGGGACGAAAAAACAAACTCCTGAATCAAACAACGTGAATTACATTCGTTCCAAAAAAGTACACACTTGATTCTCAAGATCCACTTTGTTTGAGCCACCTGTATACATTCAATTGAAGGACATAACCCCGAAAAACATGATGCTACTGAGACAAAGTTTGAAGAAAATTATGCCAAGGATTATTTCATTCTTGTACAAAAACAAGGTAGTGTTCAACAATTTAGTATGACCTGTTAAGGACTTGCCGGTCTTGAGTTCATTCAAGATGTGCTGTCTTTGAGAAAAAGGATAATGAGAAAACTTCTGTCATGATGTGGCACTAAATAAATAAAAACTAACATGACTTGGGACTTGATTGCAAAGACTTAATTTACCTCGGACTATAGGTCGATTTTAGATTGACTCTAATTAGATTATCATCTGAGATCATTTATAGCTTTGGATTTACATTTTAGATTTACTACAGACTTCAGATTTAGTTGTTTAATGCAAAAACATCAACTTAACCCCCGTCTGTTGAGCCCCAGTGACGTCACATGTGTGCAGTGTGTGTTGTCCTGTGTTTCTCATGTTCTCCACTCACCAGTCCCCAGTCTCCGAGGTGCCAGCTGATTGGACGGGTGCTGATCGGGGGGGTGCTGATGCAGGGCGGCTGGGTGCAGGTCCGGGCGGCGGTGGGGCGACTCAGAGCGCTGCAGGCGGTCTCCTCCAGTCTCATCCCTCCTGATCCAACACAGCTCACATCCCGGGTCTGTTCTCCTGAACCACAGCTCACTGAGCACTGCAACACAATGATGAGGCGGGTTGAAGTTATGTTGTTTGATTTGTAGTGCAAGAAGTGAGGAAGCTCAATTTAAAACCATAGTTTGTGTCGGACAAATAAAGACAAATCTGGAGTAAAATCAGAAGCTGTTGTTTTGCCCAATGCACTCGCTAATAAATGCAAATATGCTGCATATACCGCCTTTAGGTGTTTAATTATGTATTATTGGTTTCAATCTAAGACTTCGGGTCTGTTCTCCTGAACCACAGCTCACTGAGCACTGCAACACAACACACAGCACTCTTTAGTGTTGAGGCTGGTTGAAGTTATACTGTTTGATATGAGTAGAGTTTTCTTGATTTGTGGTGCAAGAAAAATTCAAAGTGATCAGGCTACATTTTAAACCATAGTTTGTGTCGGACAAATAAAGGCGATTCTGCACTAAAATCAGCAGTCAAAGATCTGCACATCTGTTCTTTCTCACAGAAAAATACAGGTAAAAAGAAACTAGAAAAAAGTCTATACTAACATTTGGAAGACATTTTCCAATACTTATGTCCGGCTGAAGTAAACAAAGAATATTCAGTCTGTTGTTCAACTCAGATTTTGGGTCCTGTTTTTCAATATTTTTGAATCCATGCAAAGCTAAATATCTATATTTAGTCTTTTATGTGTTATTTTCAAAGGTTATCAACCCAAAAACTCTTTGGATCCAACGGTCTCATTAAAAGTCAAGAGCTTGTGAAAAGACTTAAATAACAACAGAAGATTATTAATGTTGTCCAATGTCTCCGCTGTTGTCTTTTCATGTGCAGACAGACTTTGAGAGATGCTAACTTGACAATATGCTAATAAATATAGTATTGTTGTATAAGGTATAAACAATCTCAATGATGTTGTTTTTGTTTGTTTATGTCTGTTGTTTCCCTCACCGCGCTCCAGCGGGTCGCTCTGAACTCGGCACACTTCTGCATGTTGCAGGTCTGCAGGGCGAGGGGGGCCTCGGCGTACGCGGCACACACAGCGTCCTCCACCACACGGGGCCCCGCTGCATCATGGGAAACGCACTGCACGCTGCGCACCTGAGAGCCTCCGCCACAGGTCACAGAGCAGGCGTTCCACTCTCCACTCTGCCAGCTGGGAGCATCCAATGTGAGGAAGAGGAGGGACAGGAAACAGACGTTCAGTCAGACAACTCACGTGTTTCTTAATATGTTTATTAGAAGCAGCATATAGTTTGAGTTTGGCGTCTAGGCTCGGGCCTCATCACTCCACAGATTTACAAAGAACATTGAGTGATGATTAGATAACTATCCCCCGAGCCTACAGGTGGAAGCTGGGGTGGAAGCTGGGGTGGAAGCTGGGGTGGAAGCTGGGGTGGAAGCTGGGGTGGAAGCTGGGGGGGAAGCTGGGGTGGAAGCTGGGGTGGAAGCTGGGGTGGAAGCTGGGGTGGAAGCTGGGGTGGTGATGGGGTGGAAGCTGGGGTGGAAGCTGGGGTGGAAGCTGGGGTGGTGGGGGGGCAGGCAAGCAGCAGCAACATGAAACACAGCAGCAGGAACATGAACGTAGCAATAGCAAGTGAACACAGCAGTGCAGCAGCAGCATAGCGAGGCAGAGGCAGGAAGACCTGGCAGCTTAAATAGAGCGGCATGTTTAGGAGATTGTGTTTGGTTGGTTGTCAGAGGGACGAGGTGCGTCACATGTTAATGTATGATTGGTGCTCGAGTTGACTGCCTGAACTAGCTCGCAGGCTTCGCCCCATTCAGGACAGGAAGTGATGTTGAGATTCATTACGAAATTTAAGAGGCTTTTATTTTCTCAGAGACGCACATTTTTTATGTGTTATAAATGTTTTTAAAATATGGAAAATAGTCAATTTCTACAACTTACAAATTAGGGACAAATCATGGAATATTTTTTAATATCTTTTACATTTCTAAAGTCTATCAGAAAGACATGTTTTATAAAATGTGCTAATTCTAAAAGGTGTGTTGTATAAGAACGTAATTGAGGAACAATTGTAGATATACAAAATTAATATTACGAAGCCTTTTGTACAAAAAATAATATCCTTTTTTCTCCTCTTGTCTCTTTCCCTTCCTAATTTCTTCGTTCTCTTTGTCTTTTAGCGTATTTATTTTAAAATCTTCATTACATTTAGGCATTACATGTTTGTTTTAAGTACCTTTTTGTAAATTCCTTTTCATCCACTGTCATAAATGATAAAAAGAAAATGCAAAGAAAACCCCAAACAAAGAATAAGGATACAGTAAGACACAAAGAGACTAGGCACGACTATGAAAAGGGCAGTGGGTTATGAGACGAGCTCTAAGCTCGTCTCATAATCCACGCTGGATTATGAGACAATGAAGCAGCTTTAAAACTAAAACTACAACCAGCAAGCTCAGATTTGATCTCTTCCCAAACTCTAGGACACACACACGGCTGCGTTTCTGCTCCATTTCTTTAAATTGAGACATTATGAGTGTGCGGTTAGCGTCACCCGAGCCCCTCAAACATCTCAGGTTTCTGGGTGTCAAAGAAAAGGAGCAGGAAATACCAGAGAGGCAGCGACGGCAGCCCCGGATATTTACTAAACCAACCCTGCATGACAACCTTTGACCTCTAGCACTAACACACAGGGAAGGAGAGTTTTACAGTTTGTTAAAGACAGCAGGATCACGGAGGAGGAGGAGGAGGAGGAGGAGGAGGAGGAGGTTTTGAGGGAAATCTGGGAGAAAATCAGCGCCAAAAAACGTTTGAATCCGATCTCTGGGGAAGAGAGTTTGTGCTAAACACAGAGGCTACTGAGTCAAACACATCGGGGGGGAGAGCGTGATGGAGGTTTTAATTACTTCTATATAATATTTGTTTCCAAGGTGTCACTGTAAAGGACAGAAGAAGAATAGGGCCACGTGAAAAACATTTGAGACAATGATCTGACCAAAAGTGATTTTTTTGTACTGAGAATTTGGTCAGAATTACAACAAAAATCTGATTTAAAAATGTTTTTCTTCCTTTAGTCTCAGAACTAAAAAGAAATGTTCACTTTTCGTTAGGTCTCAGAAAAAATTTCACAAGTTGCCCTAATCCTCTCCCGTAGGACAGTGTATCAGGAGCATCGGAGAGCAGGATGAGGGCGGTAATATTCAGAGAGAAATATCAACATATATCAGTAAAAAACTAGGATATCGTCTTCTCGATTTAACTGATAAATATTTTTAGCAAAATACATTTGAATCTCAGAGAATATGTGAGTTCCTTTCTTCTAAATTTGTTATGTTAATCTCAGAAAATATTAAAATGTTGTTTTTGTAAATTCACCACTTTAATCTCAGTGGTCTTTTCCTGTAAATGTGCATCTTACATTTTGGAAGATGCTGGAAGATGACCTCCCCATGATGGTCCATGCTCAGGTCATCAGATAAATATCGCCTGTATGGTTTAGCTCTCCCCCTGTGTTTGCTGTCTACGTTAACACTACCTCTATCAGAGCCTGGGTACCTGAACACAAAGGCTCTGGGTCTGAGAGAGGAGCTCCACAACTGAGGAGGGTACAGGTACGCCATCCTTCAGACATCATAAACACCAACAACAACAACAACAGTCAGAAACTGCTCTGAGGGTTATTGCTTGCACCAAACTAACACAACAATCAGAGATGGAAGAAGAACTTAGACTATATTTGGTATTATTAAGATGACTATGGTGTCAGATAAATGCTATGCAGTAAAATGAATAATAAGTTGTAGTCAAGTAGACGTATAATAAAATGGAAATACTCAAGTAAAGTAACACAAAATTGTACTTAAGTGCAGTACAGTAGTAAATGTACTTTTCACCACTAAACACTGGACTAAAAAATGTGATTTTCTTAAGAAGATTCTGCCCAAAATCTACAGAAATGTCCCGTGCTTCCGGTGTAATGTGAGTGTGTACCTGCGGGTCTGGGGGCAGGTGTGGGGGTTGCAGGTGCGGTTGTTCTGCGGCCTCGGCAGAGACGCACACAGGTAATCTGGGTACGACTCGTTATCGATGGTGCAGAACACCAGACGAGACTGGTAGCCTGATGGAGGGCGAGAGAGAGGAATGACTTTGAGTTAGTAAGTACGTTATAATTATACGACACGATAAGATAATAGTTTATCGTCAGATCAAGTCTGAAATGTTTCTTGCATCACGGCAGCTCCATTAGCAACATCAACAAGGACAAATCCCAAGATAGTAAACAGACATTTAAAATTAATATCAAGTCCATATGTTCAAAACCCTTTAACGTACATTTAGGATTGACTTCACTCGTGGGACCCTGCATCTCCAGTTTGATGGCAACAATTAATATTCATGTTAATATGTTATTATGTTAGGCTTAGTCATAGAGTTCCTCAAAGGGTTGGACTTTAAAGTAGTAGAGAAACACTTGTAATATTGCAATACTGTAAAACACAAATTATCACTAATGTTTTGTCCATTTGCAGAACAATTCAATATGTTTTTTCCAAGATAGCACATGTTCTATCAATAAAAGTATTTCCAAGAATTGACCTGCTTGTTAATTTAAATTATGCAAAACAATATGATGGTGAACTAAAGGCAATTTCTCTTCAATATTAACAGTTTCAGTCTCTGAGCGTCTGACCTGATCCACACTCCCTGCTGCAGGTCGACCAGGACCCAAAGCTCCAGTAGTATCCCTGTCTGGAGCGTCCGTTGGGGAGGTAGAACTCGTACTCCACGCCCTGGTTCGGCTCCTGGCTGATCAGCTGAGAGGAGAAGACATTCACATTAAACTCCTTTAACAAAGATAAGTCTTTCTAAAGGAAACTGGTGAGAGGTTTCTACGCTTTGCTGAGGTATAAAGGTTGGTGTATGGATAAAAGCAAACGGAAAAGAGCAAAAGAAACAGATTGATCAAAATAATGGATAAAGTATGTGTAAGAGCCATTTAGGCACATTATTTTATGGTAATTAATTATGGTTTGGTGAGCCAATTGAATATTCTTTTAAGTTAAAGGTGGGGTATGTAATTTTGGAGAAACCAGCTCGAGTGCGCTAGAATTTGAAAGTACACAACCGGAAAAAATCTGCCCCTTCCTCCAGACTTCCTTACAGAGCCCCTCCTCCAACACACACGCACGCACACATGACCAATGAGGGCACGAGATAAGTTTGTGCACGAGATGGAAGGCTCAGGTATAAATGACGCTGCCAGCGTGACACAGCAGGAAGTCTAGAGAGGAAGTTGGAAAACGTTTTTGACCGCACACATCCGTACGCCTGTTGGATTTGTTTGTTTATTTATTTAAATAACGTGCAAATGTTGCAAGTCGGCAGTGGGCCGCCTGCTGATCCATTGAACCTCCTAATAAAGCACTTGAATGGAACGAGCAAGGTATTTGGATTTCTTGAACGTACGCGAGTCAATACTCGAATTCGAGTCAATACTCGAATTCGAGTATTGACTCGAATTCGCCGCATAGACTAAGTGGCCTTTGAACATTCCTTTTTGCATAATCAGCCACTACAGTACGTAAAGCATGTGACAACTATTCTCTACAGCCTACACACTGTTGAGGAGAGATGTGGAGTTGAATATATGACACACAAGTTAGATGAATATATAAATTATAATGTATAACTATATGAAATCTCACCTCCACCACGAGAGGTTCGGTGGTGGGTCCGCGGCCGATGAGGGTCTCGGGGACGTTGTCTCCCTCGGCTCCTCTCTGGTAGTAAAGCATCGTCCCGGCAACAGGGGTCGCTCTGGAAAACTCAATTACCCAGTGTCCATTGAGGTAGTACTCCCCGCGCAGGTTCTTGATAGCTGCACAGAGGAAGCAGTCAGGATGTGCAGGATGCAAACAGAATGATGTACAACCTGCAGACTGTTTAAATCAGGGGGGTCCAAACTTTTCTCACCGAGGGCCACATACAGAAAAATATACGAAGGGCTGGGCCGCTCACTAGAGGTTTATCGCCTCATAAGCTCAGTTATAAGTTAGCAAAATCAATCAAATGTGAATGATGCTTGTGAGTGTTGGCAGCTCATGCCTTAAAACAGAAGCCTCAGATTGATTATAATAAGAGGAAATATGAAGGGTGTATTTCAAGCTTGTAAATAAGTCATTGGGCTTTTTTCTTATCAACTAAGATATGTGAGAAAATGTTTCCAACTTTAATTGACTGAATTTATTTGAAAAATGGTCTTATTAACACATGAATACTACTGTGTAATATATTTTGACATTTATATTTATGAACTACAATACAAGACAAGCACAAGTTTCATCTGTGGGCCATACTCCATTGTACTTTTTTAATTTGCTGAGGGCCGATTCAAAATGGTCCGCGGGCCGCATTTGGCCCCCGGGCCGTAGTTTGGACACCCCTGGTTTAAATACTGATCTTTGATAAATGTGTTTCTGAGTCTCACCGATGTAGTTGCGTGTGGCCACGGTTTCTCTGATGCTGATGGTGGTCGCTCCGACAGGGATGATGAACATCTGGTTGTAGCCTGAAATAAAAATACGATTTAAGCCCAACTTTTTTAACACAAACTACAAAATGCTTTAAACTCAGACTAAAGAGATCAACGGTTGCCTTTCAGAGTCAAGAAAGGATCATGTGCTTTGTGAATTTTGCTCAATTTCAAAGATGCTACATCATTCAATCTTAAAGAAAGACTGATCTAATGTCAGAGATCCTTCAAAATCTAAAGAGTCCTTCATTCAGAGGATTTTTAAGGATGCATGTATGTATCCTTCATGCTCATAACACCCACAATCCATTGTTCTTTGCATTTGACTGATATTGGATCTAAAAGGTCAAATGTAAGTTTCCTTTCTCTAGGTTTTTCCCTGATTTCATCATTTAGTTGGCTATGTTGGATAGAAAAACAGTGTGTAGTGCAGTCATACTTTCACATATACCTCTGTGGATTAAGGGTTTGTATTTTAAGTGATTGTTTAAAGGGACACATTCTGATTTCTAATGTCTAAAAGGAAGTTAAAAACAGCGTACCTGTGGGCAGGTCTTGTACAGTGAAGCTGTTCTTCACCTGGGAGCAGGACTGTCCGTTGCCCCCGCACTGCAGGCAGGGGTCCTCCTGCTGGGCCGACTCCAGCATGTTGTCACAGCCCAGACGCTGACCAGGGAAACATCACACATCGGCATCAAAACATACTCAAAGGTCCCCTATCATACTGTTTTTCATCAATATATTACAGGTCTCAGATAAAAACATGTCTCTGAAGTGTTTGGCTCCAAACACCAAACAGATCATTGCAGCATTACCCATAATCCCCTCTGTTTCAGCCCTGTTTCCAAAGTGCTGATCCTCTGTCTAGATGAAAATAAGGAGCCCCTCCCCACGCCCCTCTGAGAGATATTTGGTTAAAAAGAACTCAATGGTGCTCTAGGAGGAGATTCAGGTGATAAGGTGGGGGGGGGGGGGGGTTACCTTGGTTGCTGATTGGCTAATGGTTACACAAGCCAAAACATCGTTATGACATCATAAAGTGGCCAAAATCTGATCAGCTCATTTTCAGACAGGTTTTTATAGAAATGGATCAGGACAAAAAGAGAGAGAATCTTTGTTCCTGAAACTTTCAGAGTCTCTTTCCACAGAGGGGACACATGTTGATGTAGAAGAGACATGAAGAAGAGGGGACACATGTTGATGTAGAAGAGACATGAAGAAGAGGGGACACATGTTGATGTAGAAGAGACATGAAGAAGAGGGGACACATGTTGATGTAGAAGAGACATGAAGAAGAGGGGACACATGTTGATGTAGAAGAGACATGAAGAAGAGGGGACACATGTTGATGTAGAAGAGACATGAAGAAGAGGGGACACATGTTGATGTAGAAAAGACATGAAGAAGAGGGGACACATGTTGATGTAGAAAAGACATGAAGAAGAGGGGACACATGTTGATGTAGAAGAGACATGGAGAAGAGGGGACACATGTTGATGTAGAAGAGACATGAAGAAGAGGGGACACATGGTGATGTAGAAAAGACATGAAGAAGAGGGGACACATGTTGATGTAGAAAAGACATGAAGAAGAGGGGACACATGTTGATGTAGAAGAGACATGAAGAAGAGGGGACACATGTTGATGTAGAAGAGACATGAAGAAGAGGGGACACATGTTGATGTAGAAGAGACATGAAGAAGAGGGGACACATGTTGATGTAGAAGAGACATGAAGAAGAGGGGACACATGTTGATGTAGAAGAGACATGAAGAAGAGGGGACACATGTTGATGTAGAAGAGACATGAAGAAGAGGGGACACATGTTGATGTAGAAGAGACATGAAGAAGAGGGGACACATGTTGATGTAGAAGAGACATGAAGAAGAGGGGACACATGGTGATGTAGAAGAGACATGAAGAAGAGGGGACACATGTTGATGTAGAAGAGACATGAAGAAGAGGGGACACATGTTGATGTAGAAGAGACATGAAGAAGAGGGGACACATGTTGATGTAGAAGAGACATGAAGAAGAGGGGACACATGTTGATGTAGAAGAGACATGAAGAAGAGGGGACACATGTTGATGTAGAAGAGACATGAAGAAGAGGAGACACATGTTGATGTAGAAGAGACATGAAGAAGAGGGGACACATGGTGATGTAGAAAAGACATGAAGAAGAGGGGACACATGTTGATGTAGAAAAGACATGAAGAAGAGGGGACACATGTTGATGTAGAAGAGACATGAAGAAGAGGGGACACATGTTGATGTAGAAGAGACATGAAGAAGAGGGGACACATGTTGATGTAGAAGAGACATGAAGAAGAGGGGACACGTGTTGATGTAGAAGAGACATGAAGAAGAGGGGACACATGTTGATGTAGAAGAGACATGAAGAAGAGGGGACACATGTTGATGTAGAAGAGACATGAAGAAGAGGGGACACATGTTGATGTAGAAGAGACATGAAGAAGAGGGGACACATGTTGATGTAGAAGAGACATGAAGAAGAGGGGACACATGTTGATGTAGAAGAGACATGAAGAAGAGGGGACACATGTTGATGAAGAAGAGACATGAAGAAGAGGGGACACATGTTGATGTAGAAGAGACATGAAGAAGAGGGGACACATGGTGATGTAGAGGAGACATGAAGAAGAGGGGACACATGTTGATGTAGAAGAGACATGAAGAAGAGGGGACACGTGTTGATGTAGAAGAGACATGAACAAGTGGATTTTTCACAATAGGTGACCTTTAAAGAACCAAAAGCAAAAGTACTCGTAGTCGCTCATTTCAGAATCATGAAATTACTGGATTATGATTTCTGAAGGCATTAATGAGTTCATCACAGCTGATAAAGATGAATTTAGCATCCAAAAAGTATTGAATCAGAAGTGTATAAAGTAGCATAAAATGAAAATACAAAAATGTGACCTTTAAGGACAGTACATGTGCTTCATCCACCACTCCATGTGTGTGTGTTTCCTACCTTGCAGACTCCCTCCACACACACATCTTTGCGGCCGGGGTGGCACGGCGTCCCGTCCACCACGGAGCTGCGGTGGCGGTAGAAGAAGTTTTCTCCTCTGGGGATGCAGTTCATCTCGCAGGGGTTCTCCGCTGTCAGGATCAGATTCATTTTAGAATTTAATTTAATTGAATTTGTATTTGTTCCGTTCATGGTATGCACAACTTAATGTATAACAATTATTTACAAACATATCTCTATAAACACACCGTACCCGAAAAGGAGCAGGGAGAAGATAACAATCTTATATGACCTGCCCCTTTCTCTAAATAAATAAATAAACAGAAATAGATGGTCTGTCCTCCATATTTTCTTATTCACAGCCAATCATAACAGCATCGTAGGAAAATAAGAGAAACACAAAAACGTACAAAAAAATACTTAGTTCCCACTTGACAGTTAATGACATCACATGAACAAGGAAGAGTGCAACATCCTCATCTGAGTCCTGACCCTAAGCATCCTTATATGTCATATCGCAGGGTTTTTAAGCACGTTCAATGCAAAACTACCACTTGATTTTTCCTCTGACCTCCGTAATAAGGCAGCCACTTGTAGAGTTTCCCCTGGAAGTCGGTCCCGTCGAACTGGGAGCATTGCTCCTCGCGGAAATCCTTCGATCCCTCGGGACAGTCCTGAGGTGTAAAAGAGACATTGGAAAAATCCTTAGAAAAGCAGTAGATTGTGCAGGAGGGGCAGCAGTATGACAATATGATATCTTTGGATGGCCTCGCCACTGATGTTATGATAATATAACAGCATATTAATGCGTGTACACCGTTTCAAAGAGCAATGAACGATAAGAAAAACACCAAAATGAAATGAAACTGATTTTATTCAGGTGTGTTTGTTTACCTGGATGTTGCAGGTGCGGTGAGACTTCTCTGGTCCCACACAGTTGTGTCCTCCATCGGTCCTGAAGGTAGAAAACAAACATTAATAGGAGTCATTTTTTACAAATACGATATATATAAATCAACTCAGTTTTAAAGGGTTATTCCTGAAATTAAGTATTGCATTTTAAATAAAGTAGAGAGACAATTCAAACATATATTTCAATATAGTAATGCAGAGATATCCGAGGCATTAAGCCCATCGAGTATCCGCCTGTCAAATGGAATATTTAAAAAAACGAACTTGACTTATTGATGTGTAAAATTCCCCTTTCTGTATTTCTCTGACTGTTCTTCCATTTCATCTTTATGGGTCATCACAGTGAATGAGTAGGCGAGGCTGCAGCAAGCTGACATTACCCAAATAACGCTGAAATTACAAGTTCCCGCTCTGACATTCAGAGACATTCCTCTTTAATTCCTGCCTGTAATAACACAAAAACAAGTTCTCAGCAACTGCAACACACACACACACACACACACACACACACACACACACACACACACACACACACACACACACACACACACACACACACACACACACACACACACACACACACACACACACACACACACACACACACACACACACACACACACACACACACACCACACACACACACACACACCACACACACACACACACACACACACACACACACACACACACACACACACACACACACACACACACACACACACACACACACACACACACACACACACACACCACACACACACACACACACACACACACACACACACACACACACACACACACACACACACACACACACACACACACACACACACACACACACACACACACACCCTCACACACACATCCTCACACACAGAAACTCACACACACATCCTCACACACACACACTTACTCACACATCCCTCACACACACACACACTCACACACACATCCTCACACACACACACTCACTCACACATCCTCACACACACAAACTCCACACACACACATCCTCACACACACATCCTCACACACACAAATCCTCACACACACACACTCACACACACACATCCTCACACTCACACACACATCCTCACACACACAAATCTTCACACAGCTCTGAAGGCGCAGACAGCAGGCTGATAACTCATGATTTAGTCACCTCTAAAGTACCTGCCCTGAAGCTCTGAAAACAAGACACGCCAGAACTGAAACTAAAACATGTCCGAACACTCAGAGACAACAGCAGGCCTCACCCCTTCACCTGGGAGTGCAACACACAACATTAAACACTGCTTTTCATTGAAGATGATGCATCAAAGAAAGGGAAATTATTGATCACAGAGAATTCAAACAGATTAGAGCGTGAGCTGGAAGAAGTACTGAGATTGTTTACTTAGAAGTAGTAACAACACAGTGTGGAAATACTCTGTTACAAGTAGAAGTACTGAGTTTAAATTCTTAAGTAAGTAAAAGTTCAAAAGTATTAGCATCAAAATGTACATTAAGTGCCAAATAAAAGTACCAATTGTGCAAAATGGCTTGTTTTAGAAAAATGTAATTATAGTATTGGATTATTGTTTTTATGAAGCGGGAAATATTGATAAAAAAATATATATAATAATAATAAAATCAAATAATTAAATAATAATAGAAATAATAAGTCGGAATCATTTATTCTAAAATATAAAAAATACCAAAAATAATAATAATGAAAATATGAAAAAATGAATTTATTTATTAAATGAATATGTATAAAAATAACAACTAATATTTTAACTAGTGATGCATTAATATGTACATTATTTAAATGTTGCATCTGGTAACTTTAGTGACTTAGCATACTTCCAGGTATTTAAATCCATTCTAATACATCATAATGTATCAGTTATTTTGTATTAACTATAAAAACCAGTTGTCAAAAAAAAAATAGGGGAGTAGTAACGGCTTCCAAATTGTATTGACTTGAAGTATAAGAAAGCACAAATGGAAAAACTCAGGTGAAGTAAAATCTGATTATAGCTCAGGTGCTTTTACGCTGAATTAAATGTTGTGCAAAAGGGGAGTTCCTGTGCAGCAGCTGATGAGTCAACAGCTGAGTAATCACTGTGTTTAAAGGTGAGATTCTGGCAGACAACATATCACCAGGTTCATCCAACTAGGTTTCTGCCCCTTCCCTGTAATTCATCATTCAGTAAAAACCCTGACTGCAGGGACATGTTGGGAATAAAGCTGCAACTATGAGTAATTTCACAGAAAAACATTTTGATAATCGAGTTAATTTACATGCAAAAAAAATCCATAATATTGTGTTTTTTGTCTCTGATTTTCTCTATTTTGTATTAAATTAAAGTGAAAATCTTTTGGTGTTGGACCTCAAACAAGAAATGAAAAGTATCCCCTTCAATATCCCTGAGAAACTTGGAAAATAATCATTATTTGCGGCCCTAAACAAGCTTTAAAGACAGATCAATAACAGCAGTTCTTCGCACTATCTGTAAAGGATGTATTCTGCCTTCACAGCTGATTATCTGCTCCACTAGAATCAGAAACAACTTCAACACAATCACTGCTACGTCAATCTATCAGGACAAAACTGCATTTTCCTACACTTTGCCGTGTCATGAATGCAACTAAAAATTAAACTAATTGGACAACTGTTTGGACACGTTAGCAGCTCAATATGTTCTCCCTGGCGAGCAAAAATAATAACATTTGTCCTCTTTTTATTCATTATTAAATTCCATCAGAGTTAGTGCCCAATAAGAGGCACACCTACATTCTGCAGAGTGTGTTACAGCCAGGAAGACTGTAAACAACCTGTCTCACACTACACACTGATACACACCTGAACATCAGCAGGAGGGGACTCTTTAAAGTAGAGACACTACATACTGATATACACCTGAACATCAGCAGGAGAGGACTCTTTAAAGTAGAGACACTACACACTGATATACACCTGAACATCAGCAGGAGAGGACTCTTTAAAGTAGAGACACTAGACACTGATATACACCTGAACATCAGCAGGAGAGGACTCTTTAAAGTAGAGACACTAGACACTGATATACACCTGAACATCAGCAGGAGAGGACTCTTTAAAGTAGAGACACTACATACTGATATACACCTGAACATCAGCAGGAGAGGACTCTTTAAAGTAGAGACACTACACACTGATATACACCTGAACATCAGCAGGAGAGGACTCTTTAAAGTAGAGACACTAGACACTGATATACACCTGAACATCAGCAGGAGAGGACTCTTTAAAGTAGAGACACTACATACTGATATACACCTGAACATCAGCAGGAGAGGACTCTTTAAAGTAGAGACACTACATACTGATATACACCTGAACATCAGCAGGAGAGGACTCTTTAAAGTAGAGACACTACACACTGATATACACCTGAACATCAGCAGGAGAGGACTCTTTAAAGTAGAGACACTACATACTGATATACACCTGAACATCAGCAGGAGAGGACTCTTTAAAGTAGAGACACTACATACTGATATACACCTGAACATCAGCAGGAGAGGACTCTTTAAAGTAGAGACACTACATACTGATATACACCTGAACATCAGCAGGAGAGGACTCTTTAAAGTAGAGACACTACATACTGATATACACCTGAACATCAGCAGGAGAGGACTCTTTAAAGTAGAGACACTACATACTGATATACACCTGAACATCAGCAGGAGAGGACTCTTTAAAGTAGAGACACTACACACTGATATACACCTGAACATCAGCAGGAGAGGACTCTTTAAAGTAGAGACACTACATACTGATATACACCTGAACATCAGCAGGAGAGGACTCTTTAAAGTAGAGACACTAGATACTGATATACACCTGAACATCAGCAGGAGAGGACTCTTTAAAGTAGAGACACTACATACTGATATACACCTGAACATCAGCAGGAGAGGACTCTTTAAAGTAGAGACACTACATACTGATATACACCTGAACATCAGCAGGAGAGGACTCTTTAAAGTAGAGACACTACATACTGATATACACCTGAACATCAGCAGGAGAGGACTCTTTAAAGTAGAGACACTACATACTGATATACACCTGAACATCAGCAGGAGAGGACTCTTTAAAGTAGAGACACTAGATACTGATATACACCTGAACATCAGCAGGAGAGGACTCTTTAAAGTAGAGACACTACATACTGATATACACCTGAACATCAGCAGGAGAGGACTCTTTAAAGTAGAGACACTACATACTGATATACACCTGAACATCAGCAGGAGAGGACTCTTTAAAGTAGAGACACTACACACTGATATACACCTGAACATCAGCAGGAGAGGACTCTTTAAAGTAGAGACACTACATACTGATATACACCTGAACATCAGCAGGAGAGGACTCTTTAAAGTAGAGACACTACATACTGATATACACCTGAACATCAGCAGGAGAGGACTCTTTAAAGTAGAGACACTACATACTGATATACACCTGAACATCAGCAGGAGAGGACTCTTTAAAGTAGAGACACTACACACTGATATACACCTGAACATCAGCAGGAGAGGACTCTTTAAAGTAGAGACACTACATACTGATATACACCTGAACATCAGCAGGAGAGGACTCTTTAAAGTAGAGACACTACATACTGATATACACCTGAACATCATCAGGAGAGGACTCTTTAAAGTAGAGACACTACATACTGATATACACCTGGACATCAGCAGGAGAGGACTCTTTAAAGTAGAGGCACTACATACTGATATACACCTGAACATCAGCAGGAGAGGACTCTTTAAAGTAGAGACACTACATACTGATATACACCTGAACATCAGCAGCCTCCCTTAAGCCAATAGTACTTTGTTGTGATCTATGGATAAGTACATCATTCAACCCCACTTCAAACATCCAAACTATCCCTTAAGGTTGGATGTAAATCACTTGAACACACGACTTCTCCTCGTGAATAGGAATCACTTTAACATGAGGCAACACGCAGGCCGGATTCCAGCTTTTGAAGCTCTGAACACAACATTTACAACGTTAGCGGACAACCCTCCTCACCCTGTGCTGTTTCATAGTCAGATCTCACAAACAGGCCTATAAATGGACAGAACTACATTCAAACACATGCAGATAAGTCAACTGATGCTGATTTTTTAAACCACTTTTTAGGCAGAAATAAAGGTCCAGGTATAAAGGTTGATTTTCCATCCACTCCTCTTTAGCAGCCAACACCCAGAGAAGAAGAGTCTTGTTTGAGTTGAATGCCCCTCCCTGCAGACTGTTCTCGATGTGAGACAAGCCCACGTGATCTTAAAGGTCCCCTATTATACTGTTTTTCATCAATATGTTACAGGTCTCAGATATATACAGAACCTGTCTCTGATTGGCTGAAACACCAAACAGATCATTGCAGCATCCCATAATCCCCTCTGTTTCAGCCCTGTTTCAAAAGTGCTGATTCTCTGTCTGTTACTTTAGATGAAAATAAGGAGCCCCTCCCCACGCCCCTCTGAGAGACATTTGGTTAAAAATAACTCAATGGTGCTCTAGGAGGAGATTCAGGTGATAAGGGGGGGGGGGGGGGGGGGGGGGGGGGTTACCTTGGTTGCTGATTGGCTAATGGTTACACAAGCCAAACAATCGCTATGACATCATAAAGTGGCCAAAATCTGATCAGCTCATTTTCAGACAGGTTTTTATATAAATGGATCAGGACAAAAAGAGAGAGAATCTTTGTTCCTGAAACTTTCAGAGTCTCTTTACACAGAGGGGACACATGTTGATGTAGAAGAGACATGAAGAAGAGGGGACACATGATGATGTAGAAGAGACATGAAGAAGAGGGGACACATGTTGATGTAGAAGAGACATGAAGAAGAGGGGACACATGATGATGTAGAAGAGACATGAAGAAGAGGGGACACATGTTGATGTAGAAGAGACATGAAGAAGAGGGGACACATGTTGATGTAGAAGAGACATAAAGAAGAGGGGACACATGTTGATGTAGAAGAGACATGAAGAAGAGGGGACACATGTTGATGTAGAAGAGACATGAAGAAGAGGGGACACATGTTGATGTAGAAGAGACATGAAGAAGAGGGGACACATGTTGATGTAGAAGAGACATGAAGAAGAGGGGACACATGTTGATGTAGAAGAGACATGAAGAAGAGGGGACACATGTTGATGTAGAAGAGACGTGAAGAAGAGGGGACACATGTTGATGTAGAAGAGACATGAAGAAGTGGGGACACATGTTGATGTAGAAGAGACATGAAGAAGAGGGGACACGTGTTGATGTAGAAGAGACATGAAGAAGAGGGGACACATGTTGATGTAGAAGAGACATGAAGAAGAGGGGACACATGTTGATGTAGAAGAGACGTGAAGAAGAGGGGACACATGTTGATGTAGAAGAGACGTGAAGAAGAGGGGACACATGTTGATGTAGAAGAGACATGAAGAAGTGGGGACACATGTTGATGTAGAAGAGACATGAAGAAGAGGGGACACATGTTGATGTAGAAGAGACGTGAAGAAGAGGGGACACATGTTGATGTAGAAGAGACATGAAGAAGAGGGGACACATGTTGATGTAGAAGAGACATGAAGAAGAGGGGACACATGTTGATGTAGAAGAGACATGAAGAAGAGGGGACACATGTTGATGTAGAAGAGACATGAAGAAGAGGGGACACATGTTGATGTAGAAGAGACATGAAGAAGAGGGGACACATGTTGATGTAGAAGAGACATGAAGAAGTGGATTTAGCATAATAGGTGACCTTTAAGGCTTTCCTTCACTATGGAGACACAGATACAGGTTTGTTGATGTTTACTAGATGTATATATGGAGGACGGTTACCTGAGGGTGAGGCAGCGTCGGCTCCTCATGGTCAGCCCTCCACCACAGCTCCGACTACATTCTCCATACGGACCCCAGGTGTCCCAGTGATCCACGCTGGGCAACTGAACACAACACAGCAGGGAATAAATCATCACAAAGTTAAAAAAAAACAACAACAATTATCTATGTTAAATTCTTTGCTTTCAAGCTTATGACCAAGGTCTGGATTCTGTCAGCCTTTTGTTTTACCGAGGTTACAAATAAACTGGTTGGTTTTTACATATAGAGCTGTCCATGGCCCAGCCTACATTAACGACCTGATCCACCCTCACAGCACAACCCGGGCCCTGAGGTCCTCTGAGCAAGGCCTCCTAAGGGTGCCCCGAACCAGGCTAAAGACTAAGGGGGACCGTGCCTTTGAGGCGGTGGCTCCAAGGCTTTGGAACAAACTCCCCCAGAAATGAAGAGCCTCTGCCTCAGTAGAGATTTTTAAGGGGTAGCTAAAGACTCACCTTTTCCGACAGGCCTTTGGGGCGGCGGAGGAGGTGAGTTAGTAGCTGTTTTTCATTGGTGTTTTATCCTATGTTTTACTTGCTGTGTTTTATGCTTTTTTCTACATTTTATAGTTGTACTTTGAATTGTGTATTGTGTACTGTATACTGTAAAGCACTTTGTACATTCGTGTTGTGAAGGGTGCTATATAAATAAAGTTTGACTTACTTCAACTTTGAAACATGCGTAAAAAAAGACGGAAGAGTATTATTTCCATGAAAAAGGAATAAAAAGGTGGAAAATGTAAAGAAGAATATATACATTTGTAGGGAAGTGTAGGGAATAATGTCCAACTATCAAATTAGTCCTAGACATAAGGAATAGACGATTAGAGAAGGGACAAAAGTTCAATTTTTGTATTCAATTATAATATCAAAATGTTGAGACTTATCTACAAATATTGCAAATAAAGTGGACATTTTTAAGAATAAATCAGCACTTTCAGTATGAGAGCCAGGAATAAGGATAAGTGACAACTCCTGCACTGATTTTCCAAAAACATGTCTCAGGTTTTCAGCTTTCATTATCTCTTATGTAGAAGGATTAGTTTCAGTTTTAGTCACTGGGAATTTACCGTGAGCGCTGGAGCGATGAGCAGCTGGAGGAGGACCAGCAGAGGCAGGAGAGTCTTCATGGTTCCTGGAACAAGAAAATGAAGAGGATGCATCAAGAGTTAGTCACTGTGATGGAGACTTTTACACATTGAGCAACAAGCCGGGGCAACAAGTGGAAACACGAGTTATAAAAACACACATGATGAACGAGGGCAGAGGAAAACATCTTCCGATGCAAAGACATTTAACACAACACAAATAAAAGATAAATTATCCGCCTCAGTCTTGGCTCACAGTGTGTTGACGTTATGGTTGTCGCCCTGCAGCGTTTTCTGAAATATTCCCAAACTAAGATATAAATCAGTGTAGTAATGATTGAGTGTAAGTAGATCATCAGACTGAATGTACACGTGCGCAGCAGCATGTTCTGTGGTTTGGTCTGCAGCCACTAAACTCTGATACACACATGCATCTGGTAAATAATAGTTATGCATGGTGAGGAAAATATATTATAGCATTATTGGTTTTTCCATATTTTAATGTATAAAAGTGACATGTTGATGTATAAATATATTCATGCAACTCTTTTGCCTCTATTCAGTAGCTCCCTGTGGCTTTCACATGCAAATGATATCAACATGAATATTGTTTCAGGCTTAAAATTATTCTTTATTTAGCCAACATTTTATACAACTTAAGTGTGTGTCATAACATAAGGAAATCAACGGCCTCTGTCGCTGTAAAAAAATGAAGCAATTGTTTATCTTAAATGTCAGAGCGTTTATTTTTAGATACAAAAACAAAACACAGATCCTTCAAAATAAATCCCTCTCTCTCCAAAGACTGCCAAAAACAGGCCCATAAGATTATTGATTAAAGAGGCCCGATTATACTTTTTGGGGTTTTCTCCACCCAACACATTGTACACGATAGACTAAGGGGCGGGACATCTCTAAGTGGTTGACCAATCACAACAAAGCCGGCCAGCTAACCAATCAGAGCAGACTGGGCTCTGGTTTCAGACAGAGGGTGAAAAGAGGTGCTGCAGCACAGGCAGTATGAGAAAAATAAAGAGCTTTTTGAACATTAAAGCAAGGAGACATGTCCCAGTAGAGACACTACATACTGATATACACCTGAACATCAGCAGGAGAGGACTCTTTAAAGTAGAGACACTACATACTGATATACACCTGAACATCAGCAGGAGAGGACTCTTTAAAGTAGAGACACTACATACTGATATACACCTGAACATCAGTAGGAGAGGACTCTTTAAAGTAGAGACACTACATACTGATATACACCTGAACATCAGCAGGAGAGAACTCTTTAAAGTAGAGGCACTACATACTGATATACACCTGAACATCAGCAGGAGAGGACTCTTTAAAGTAGAGACACTACATACTGATATACACCTGAACATCAGCAGGAGAGGACTCTTTAAAGTAGAGACACTACATACTGATATACACCTGAACATCAGCAGGAGAGGACTCTTTAAAGCAGAGACACTACATACTGATATACACCTGAACATCAGCAGGAGAGGACTCTTTAAAGTAGAGACACTACATACTGATATACACCTGAACATCAGCAGGAGAGGACTCTTTAAAGTAGAGACACTAAATATGAATATGAACATAATATGTGCGCCAGAGAGATTCTTTCCCAGCTTTATTTGATAGTAAAGGTTAGTTTCAGAACTACAATTCTGAATTCACATTCATTGAAAGAGATAACAGCATGTATTTAAAGTCCTAATAACATGCTGAAATGTATTCTTATAAACTACTTAAAGTCACACATTCTTAAGTAAAATCTTTCTATGAACTCTCGAACAGCAGCTTCATCATCTCCCTCCTCTGTCTCCTCATGTAATTGCTTAACTGAGCTAAAAGTGTTTCCTTTGTTGCATGTGGAGAGGCTGTTTGTTTGTTTGTTTGTTTGTTTGTTCCGGAGCAAACGGGGGGTTTCCTGCCCCCCTGAGGGATTAAATCACCTCTGACCCCGTCTGCAGGGACAGAAATATCCTGCAGCCCTGAACGCCCCATAGGCAGGAAGACAGGTCAGAGGGAGAGGAGAAAGACAGACAGTCAGCAGGTCTGAAGTGTCTGCAGAAAAAACGCCCAAAATTGAGCAACTTAATTGAGTCATCTTTCCTGAGAGGTGGTAATCTTCTCTCTGTGCCAACAACTTTAAACAAACAATATGATAACCATAGATGTCATAATCATTATTCTACGAGTTGTTTAGTCAGTAAAATGTCATCAAATTGTGATATATGCAGACTCAGGCTTTAAAAATCCAAGGTATAACATCTTCAAATGCATCTTGTGAAAGACCTTAACTGAAAAATATATGGTACGAACGGATATCAAACAGAGAAAATAAGAAACTCTGTACATTCGAGAAACTGGAAATGATGAATGTCTGACATTTTTGCTTGACAAGTGACTTTAAATCATAAATCGAATGACAAAATAGTTCATGTCCATGGGCAAATCCATTACTTATCTGATAAAATCCATAAAATGTCAGAAAAAAGTGAGAAATGTCCCACCCCCGGTTTCTCAAATTTCAAGATGAGGTACTTAAATCGCTTGTTTTGTCAGTCAAAAACCCAAAATAATCACTTAATACGATATAACATTTATTAAAGCAGCAAATATCCAAGTTTTAGTGGCTGAAAACAGCAATTATTGGCATATTTTGCATGAAAACTTACTTTAAAGATTAATTTATTATCACACTAGTTGGAGATTTTTGTTCTGTCGTTCAATTTATCGTTGGTGTTTTAAAATGTGTACTGTGAAACATTGAATATGAGTAATAGACATGAGGTGATTATGAATGGTGAATATAATGAAACTCTTTAAAATAAAGTGCATTTAAGAAGACACTCAAAAGACTTCTAATCATATGTTATAGAAAAAGTAATCACATACTTTAAATACTTAAGGAATACATTAAAGCAAGTCATACAAAGCATTAAAACCCAATTAAAGCCAACAAATCATCACTAGTTATAAGGGTTAAAACTGCATACGTTGACTTTAATTCCTAATCATCCATAAAAGTCCTTGTCAGTGAACTCTCGAACAGATTAATTGACTTTAATCCGACTCATTATCCTCTCGGTACACATGTTGTGATTCATGCTGAGAGCAATCCACTCCTGAGTCATTAGAAAATCCTTTGTGGGTTCCCAGCTTCCTCTCTTTTTATTGTACCAATACAGGCTGCAAAGCTTTATCCAACAAAGTAAAGAAATATTACTCAGTGAGATGGAGGGCAGGCCGTGTCTTGTTTATTATTTACTGGCATCTACGGTCACTATGCAAAATCATCAATGGATACAACATCTTTGTATTTTAAAGCTGCTCCGATTAGTGGACTCATTTAATAATCATTACAGTCAAATTTCATGCAATAATAATGGCAGAAAATCCAGCTGTCTTATTTTCTCAAATGTGAAGATTTACAGGTTTCTTTTTGTTATATATCTGTATACACTGATATATTTGGGTTTAAACTGAAACAAGACATTTAAATACAAAACCATTGGTACATAATGAACTTGGATGAACATGTTTTACTATTTGCTGACATTGTATGGACTTAAAGCAGATGAATTGACAATGAAAATAATCGTTAGTTGCAGGACAAGTAAATGTATGATATTTCTTTAAAAATGTATATTATAAATGGACTATATTGTTAGATTTGTGTCCCCTAAAGTGTTAGTGTTGGCTTCACGATGTGGTCCATTCTAACTTTATTAAAACATATATTATCTTCTAAAGTATCTCTATATTATATGTAATCTTTAAAGTTAGCTTTCTGGCATGATATTCATTTTTTATACGAGTTATTTCTCGATAAGCCTTTGAAGAAATGCAAATCTTTAAAAACAAACTCTCGCAAACTATAATTTCCTCTAATGACCCATCATCCAAAGTGCACAAAAGTAGTGTTTCTCCCTAAAAAACAAAAGTAATTTCAAGCAAACCTGACACGAGAAGGAACCACCATGAAATCGTTGGAAAACTCACCGGGTGCAGAGCCTCTAAAGTCGGATTGATTGAGTCCCAAAGCTCGGTGTGTTTCTCCGGAGCTCCGAGCAGCTTTGAGGGGAAAGGTGCGTCTGAAAGGAGAGGCAGCTTCTCCTGGATATAAGAGCGGGGTTATCCCTCTCCTGTCTGTCTCTCTGAATCTGTCTTGCGTGCAGCAGGAAACCAATAGGAAGAGGAGAAGAGGAGAAAGTCTGTTGTTGCACCTCCTCCTGCAGCAGCCTGTAATTTCAGCCTGTAAAAATAACAGTTTATCAACATGTTCGCTGGTCGCAGGGTCCCTCTGTATCCCCGCTGTGCTACATGTCATTATAATGTTCTGTACATCTAATTCCAGGGTGAGCTTCCAAAGGACTCAATGCTTTGGGTCTAATGTGAATGAAAGTTATTTTTAAACTGGGCTCCAGAAGAGAAGTTTGCATTGGCGCTGGTTTAAGGAGGGGGGAGCTGGGGACACGCCCCCTTCAATATTTAGACTACTTGTATTTGTCAGTCAACTCCAATAAAAACATGGCTTTAAAAGATGGATTGCATCTGCTGCATTTGGAAAACAAGTGGAGACACACATCCAACCAGATCTGGAAACAGCTTTGATGTCAGTGATTTCATCTTTACCACAAATTAGCCAGGGTTAAACACCATTGACAAAAACATGAGATGATTTATTCGACACCCACTTTATTTCTCTCACTCTGATCTTTTAATTTACGTATTTTTTTACGTAAATATATTTTTCCTGTTATTGATTTCAACTGTACTTGCAAAGAATTATTTTATTTGTACATTTGCAATATCGCTTTTTATCTGTTTCACCTGTAAATCATTTCAATTAATTAATTTGTTATCGTTTATTGCAGTTATAAAATGACACCCATATCTGTTTCATAAATTGATGCAGGAGAAGTACAATTCAGAGCACAAGGCCCGGGGGCCAAATCAGGCCCTTGGTGGATTTAATTTCGGCCCGCAGGATAATTTTAAATTACTATTAGATCTGGCCCACCGGTATATTGCACGCACACCTTCACTCAATCCTGAGGATTTCCTCAGCTCAGAGTCTGAGCCCAAACATTGATGAACTTGCACCCAAGATGAGATGCCAAGTATCTGGCTTGAACTAGCATCACAGAGCAGCACACTGAGTTTACATGGATGTTTCCTTCTGCACTTTCTTTCTTGAGACAACAGGGCATGTTTGTTTTTTTCTTTGAGGGGAATAGTTTTTTTGAAGCTGTTGTTGGCCTGTGGGAAAATGTAATCATAAGAAATGACTCTGGAAAAGCTGCAGATAGAGCCATAAGAAATGAATGCAACTGATTATTTAATGTTTAATGTTGTTTTTATAGGCAATAATTTAAGCTTTGTTAGTTCCAGGTTTAATATGTGCAATAACTTCATTTCAATAAGTTTTGCAATAAACATTGAACCAGTCCGGCCCTCGACTAGTTGGCCTACCGATTTTTTTATTTTGGCCCACTTTGTATTTGAGTTTGACACCCCTGCTGTAGAGTATAAGACATCACCAGAATGCAGGTATTAAGGTGTTTCAGGCTCAAAATGTCGAGGGGCTACGACCTTGGGTATAATAAGTTTCCCCCATTAACGTTGAAACCAATTCATCATCAGGGGAATAATTGTACCAAATTTAACAGAAAACAATGCAGCAGTTTTTTAGATATTTTGATAAGAACAAAAGATGGTTAAAGTTGAAAGTTGAAGTCAAACACTCATCCTTTAAGGAACATGAATGTTTGAACAAAGTGTCATGAAAGTATTTGACCTATTTGTGACGATACTTCAGTCAAAACCAGTCGAAGACCAAACGTGAGACATTCGAACAATTCTGCTAGTTAGTTGAAAATTAGAAGGAACTATAATAAATATTTTTCTAATCTTTTAAAACCCTTACTCCCATAAACGTTGACACAAACTACAGAACTAGAAAGCATGTTAAGTATGTTCTTTGAGCCGTGAAAGAGTGTCTACTCCACAAAGACAACACGTTTCTATTCTATACGTTTTTATTACACTCATTACTTTATTGCACCAAGGACAAAAACTAAAATAAATCAATCCCTGAAGTACTTCTTCCATTTTGTGTTCTCAATAATTCATACACACAAAGGCTCATAGAGGACTCTGACAATATAATTGCTACATAATCCTAAACATGTTAACAACTGCATGAGAAAAACATAGAACAGTAATTATTTTGGGTTTTAAAGAGGAAACCGCCACCAAAGCTGTGTTTAAACATCGACCAGTATATTCTTTCACAAACGATTTCGCCCTCCCTATGTTCTCTCCTCTCTTTCGGGGGTGAGGTTTTTCTAAACATCCCCACTGGCTTCTAAAAACAAAACACCCACAATTGAAAATGATGCAGCATTATGTAATTGTGGGCTCATGTTAAAAAACACACACATCTTGGGTGTAATGTGTACTTGTGTTGAATTCACTTTCTACTGTTTCATTGAAAGAAAGGGTGTGAAGCAGCCAGAGAGCCACACTGGCTCCAGGGTTTTTTTCTTAACATGTGAAAGAAAAACAGTTTCAACGCCAAAAACGACACCAAAACCCATTTCAACCACATGTTTGTATATATAGTTTAACTGGGAGATAGTTCTCCATTTTGGGGCCAGACTGCATGACTCAGTCAACAGAAATATTTAAAATTCCTGCTAAGGTAACTACATGCATTTCCTTAAGGAGAGGAAAGTCAAAACCAAAATACAAACTGTAGGCGTCTACTGAAGTTCAATGGACCATCAAGCATACATTGAGTTATTTCCTGAAGTCCCATCAGTCCCAGTTTCCTAGAGAAAATCTGCTATTTTAAGCTCAAAAACAGCAAATACTGTACATCAAGTATTTTTTTTGTGCAGCGTAATCCATGCATTTTGTAGCATATACTTTCCCACAATATATTTTGAGTTAAACCCTCCTATTGTCTTCGTTTTATACCCCCCCTTACTTTGGTGTTCGCGGTCAAATTTGACCGGTCCTGTTTTAACTGCTATTACATTAACACAAAAACCATTAATCATCAGCAAATTTCATTTAACACCCTTTCAAACTGTAAATATTGTATCAGACTACTGGTATGAACAACTGCAGTAAATATACAAAGAACAGACACTGAACATGTATTGCGTTTGCCCGGTGTGACCCATGTGGGGGGATGGGCACATAAGAGCGGGAAATGTATCAAATTGTTCTGCGTGTGTGTGTGTGTGTGTGTGTGTGTGTGTGTGTGTGTGTGTGTGTGTGTGTGTGTGTGTGTTTTATCTGATCCGGATGGTTACTAATTCCTTTTCTTTATGGGACCGGGAACACCATGGGTGTTACAAAGTTGACTAAATCATCCAAAATTCAATGAAAGTGGTGATCAGCAATTTAATATGTTCAAATGTCTACTGTGAAGGATATCATAAAGCCTTAATGCAATCGAATGTAAAATAAAAAGTTATGATTGATGGAAGTAGTAAATCGGTCAGATTTGACCCGAAGACAACAGGAGGGTTAAGTGCACAAGCTTGCTTTTGTTGCCAGTATTAAGTAGAAGTACTTTCTTTAAATCTTTTACTTTGAAGAAATACTTAAAACGGGTCAGTTTACATCCTATACTCACACCGTTTTACCTTGAATCTTTGTAGAAACGTTGTTTTCCTAGCGGGCCTCCAGGGTGAGGAACCAAAATCTGGAGGAAAGTCTTGATTAAGTAAATCAGGGCTGCCTTTAACAACAGAAAACGGTATAAAACATGCATTAACAAACTATCACACAACTCAAAAGGTTTAGTAACATCAAAAGTAAAGACCATACAAGAAATGACACTCTAGGCACACCTATAGTTTAAATGTACCAACGCTTGTTAGCATAAACAATAGATTACTGCATCACCAACCTTAGACGTTGTTAGAATATTCAGCATTTAGCAAATAACATTAAGACATATACTTATTTGTTTCCTAGCTAAGAGTTAAAGGTGGGGTAGGTAATTCACTTCAGAAACACTTTTTGTTATATTCCATGGAATGCTCTTAACATCCCGATAGCAATGAATACATTAAATGCTTTGACAATAAATATATACAAATATTTCATCTGTGGAAGCCGTGGCGCTGTAAAAAGCACGACCAATCATCTGAGCCGGCCCGGGTAAAATAACTGTATGGCCTACCTGCCTGTCAGCCTTCCATCTCGTGCACAAACTTATCTCGTGCCCTCATTGGTCATGTGCGCGTTCGTGTGTGTTGGAGGAGGGGCTCTGTAAGGAAGTCTGAAGGAAGGGGCAGATTTTTTTTCGGTTGTGTACTTTCAAATTCTAGCGCACTCGAGCTGGTTTCTCCATTCTTACCTACTCGACCTTTAAATGGGATTGCTACCACTCACAAATATGCAACCCAGTCTCACGACATTTCGTGTTATTAGTCACAAATTTAATTTAATCTATTGTTTCGTGTCACACAGAACGATTTTAAAAGCAATGTATTTCTATTGGTAGTATGTTTCGTGCCTGCAACACGTCTTTTTGTCCAGTCGGGTCTTGGAAGACCGGAAGCTGTGTGGTTCATAAACACATTTTCTTACTCAATATCTTACCCTAAGCCTAACCCTATCCCTTTTATTTTAAATTGTATAATGTCGGAGTTTTTTTGCCGTCCGCGAGGAAAATAAATGGCTCAGAGCCTCAGAATACTGACATCTGTATTTTATGTCATCTTTTTTTCCTTCTAATTTGTTATTATTTGGTGCAGGCACAAAACATACTACCAATAGAAATACACTGCTTCTAAAAATCGTTCGGTGTCAGAATACTGAAATCTGTATTTTTAAAAATCTGTTTTTCCTTCTAATTTGTTATTATTACATTGCTTTTAAAAATCGTTCTGTGTGACACGAAAAAAATGGCGAAATCGTGTTGGTGAACACGAATCAATAGATTAATTTCGTGACTATAACACGAAATGCCGTGAGACTGTGTTGCATATTTAGATTCAATAAACATCAAACTGCAACTTCAGTAATATGCAAGAGCCAACACGAGTGTTTGTCAGTTCCACTAACCTGCTCATCATCTGCAGGATTTAAACTTTATTAGATAAACAATAAAACACTGTTTCCTGTGATCAAGAGGGAGGGAGGCACCTTGAAGTCTCACAAGGTTGAGCGTCAGAAGGGATAATCAGGTATGTTTAGAACTTTTTCTCCACCTCCAAACACCCAAAATAAGTGACCACCCACTTCTCCCTGGCACTGAACAACCCAAAAGAATATAACCAGATACAATCTTTACAGGGACCTCCTGGCATGCTGCTGATTTAATTTTAGAACCCTAATGAGCACAATGCCTTATGCATCTAAAAAAAAAAAAAAAAAAAGTCCACATTTTCCACATGTACATTTCTGAGAGACCTCGACTTTTGATTCCAGGTCATTAAGTCGAGCCGTGGCTTTAAGAGGGGCCCTAAACCACAGGATAGACGTTTAAATTACTAAGCTTTACATGCACATATGTAGGTTAGACAGAAAATAAAACAGTTTCTATATGTTAAAGAAACATCTGTGCCCAGTTTAGCCTTCTTGTCCACCCAGTATTTAGTACATTTTCTTCCATCTTGAGTGTAGTTTCCTCCAGTTCTCTCAGGTCACATCCACTGGAGTTTCCGTCTTCCACTGGGTGTTCAGAGGTGCCGGCTGAGCTTCTGCGCCTGCCTCTCCTTCGCATTGAAGGCATGTTTAGTTTCCTGCAGCTGATCTATAATCTCCTTGGCCTCCTTCATCTCCACAGCGAGCTCGTCGTACTTCTCCACCAGCTCCTGGTTCTCCCTGCGCAGCTCCACCACCAGCTGGCCCAGCTCCTCGCTCTGCTTCCCGCAGTGCACCTTCAGCTGCTCCATCTCCAGCAGCGTCTCCTCCATGCGCTTCACCAGGCTCTCCAGCTTGTCTTTAGACATCTCTGATACGTTTTGAATCAGGGTTTTTTCTTCTTCTGTGAGTTGCAAGCAGTAGCTCCTGTGTGTTGCTTTGTTGAGTGTCTGCGATTATGGTAGTCTAATCCTCGATTCCTTACCGGTCTCATGCAGCAGACGTCCCTCCCTGCCCTGTAATCCCCTTAGCAGAAATATCCTGGTGCTCAGGTGTGACCAGAAGCATCCTGAATAAATCCTTTTACACATGCAGGATGACGCTCTTTCACAGGCTGTTGTTCCTATAAATATTTTAATGTAATTCTAAATTTATTGTAATTGTATTGTTTATTTATTTTTAAATGTATTTGATTTTATGTTATTTGATTCTATTTCAATTGAGTTCATTCTTAAATGGAGCTACTGCTACGTAAGGTATAGATTCTGCCTCAATTCAATCTGAAGCTGCAAGGCAGTGGTACAAAGTAACTAAGCACAGTAACATGTACTTAAGAATAATGTTAGGTACTTGTACTTTACTTTAGTATTTCTAAATAAATGCATTGTTAGTCAGCAAGACACATTTCTAATAACTGGGATTCTTTATCTTGAGTTCAAGCTTATTTTAATGCATGTTTTTAATCTGATCCTAGCAGGTGTCTGCAGGAGAAGCTTTAAGGAATAATCTCTGCGGCCGAGCCTCAGCAGGACTCACACGCCAGGATGAGGCCTCGCCGAGGGCTCGTTAGGTAAGTCACAGTGTGAGGCTAAGCACTCTGGGTAAACTGCCAAACCGTGACACTGTCCCACACCGTCCCCATGACGACAGCTAATGCGTGTCCCCGGTGGCGAGCCAGCGGGTCGGCGAGCGCGGGAAATCATCGGCACGCCGAGGAATTCCGACAATGTTCCCACCGCCTGCAGAGACGCTGCGTCAAAGGAAGCTGCGGAGAGACGATGCCGGACGGACAATAGTGTGGCTGTGAGGAGGAGAAACGCAGCTCAGCGTGACCTTTGACCTCTGCGGGGGGGAATTAAGAGAGATCAGAGCAGATTTACAGAGGGAAGGTCTCTTATCTTACAGTTTAAAGCTTATGTTTGTCACTCAATGTATTTACTGAAGTACTTAAAGGGGCCCTATTCTGTTTTTGTTCCGGGTTTTCCCTCTCCTGTAGTTCTATAGGTTTTAGTGCATGTAAATGGTCTGCAGAGGCTAAAATTCTGTCTCATCCAGAGGGAGTTTCTCTCCAACACACTCCCCTCCCCCCGCCTGAATCGCCTCCATTGGACTCCTTTGTTTACTTCAGGAACATAGTGACATCACTATGTAAAACTCGTGCTTCTATTGGCTAGCGCTCCAACACATTGTACGTAATAGGCTAAGGGGCGGGACATCTCTAAACTGGTTAATTTCTTTGCAGGTGAAAGGTTGTTCCTCAAGACAAATCAAATGAAATGTTTCTAAACATTTTGACCTGATATCTAAATGTCAACTGAAATGAATGTGTGGATTAGAGTTGGCAGCATTGTACCTCCACGTGATGTTTGTAGAGATGCTAACTGCGCTCGCACTAAAAGCACCCAGAGTCACCACTTGGCATCAAAACAAAACCAACTATGATTTCACAGATCACCACTTATAGTGCGAGGTTTTGTCCACACTGGCAGAAAAAACAAAACACAAATTACAGTCTCGAGAATCTGAGAGCTGCACTTCCATTTAAAACAACATCAACAAAGAGTATTTTAACTTTCATTATTTATTAAAAAAACAAAATCTGAATTGAATAACCTTGCATAACACACATATGCATGTGAAGGACAGGAAAAAAAAGGCAGTCACCCGACATATTCCCTAAAAAAAAGCAAAGTTTCAGAACAGATATTTGTATACATTGTTCCCTTGGTTGATCTCTGCAAGCATTACACTCGAGTGAAACAATAAAAATCCATCAGTGCAGCTCGTTCTCCATCAATCTGCATTATTTTGTTCACATATGAGAAGCCACAACTCCATATCTCATAGAAGACCCTTTTTTAAATGTGGTTTGTTAAAATACACAGTTAATGCTGGATAACTGGAGATTATGTTCACATTCAAGTTTCAAATCAAACTACACTTCCCTCATTTATCAGCATTTTCTTCTCAAAACACACAGATCTGATGTTAGTTTCACAGACGCTCCTGATCTGTGTAGGAACCGTTACTCCGTGTTTGAAAAAGTACAAAGTTTCTCTTATGCATATTTTGGAAAAACAACAGTATCTGTGTTTAGTGGAAATAACCGTGGTGTTGGGTGTAGCACAGTAGGGGGCGGAGCCTAAAGAGAGTGAGAGCAGATGATCACAGGTTACTCTGGGCAGGTTGGAGAAAAATTAAATTAAATGTGAGTCCGGGAAGAGAATGAAAAGCACGTCGTTTCTGTCCACAATAACAACAACTACTGAAATGCCCTCGAGCAAGGCACGGCACTGGACCTCCAGGCAATCGTGTGTGTGTGTGTGTGTGTGTGTGTACTTTCCTCCCTCTGCAGGCTGTGACATCAACTGTGATTTAAAGCAATATTTAACCAACAAAATGACAATTTCCCTCACATGCCTGCCTCTGCAGAAAAATACTTTTAATAGTATTTTTTGGTTGAAAGGTCACGTGTTTATGAAGTAGTAAAACTTGGATTGTACTGCATGAGTTTTGCTTTTGTTAAACGAGGCCATGATTGACTTCATTTCCAGACTTTTCTATGTTGTTTGATTCTTTGTTTACCACTAAAGGCATGAGAGAAAAACTATGATTGAAGGATTGAAGTTACAGGCGGGGTTTTGTGATTATTTTGTTGGTGTTCCTTTAGTTTAAAATGAAGGGCAGGAAACACGGTGGAATATTAGAGTCAGTGGCCGTTTCTCAATGTCGAGTAAACCTGCTGCAGAGCCACTATTTCAAGTATACTACGTCATCGAGTGGCGCCGAAGGACTGTTTAAATGCCCAGCATTCGGCGCCACTCGATGACGTAGTATACTTGAAATAGTGGCTCTGCAGCAGGTATACTCGACATTGAGAAACGGCCAGTGTCACAAGTACACTGATATCTTAATGTCTAGAAACACTTTTTCTCAAAGAGAGATACACGGGCTTAAAACGTGATCGGTGTGTCTCTGCGGGGGTGAATCACTCTCAGAGATGTGTTTTTAAAGTGGGAAAACTAAACTTCTTTAAAAAAAGATTACAACTCAAGATTATATTCATTATCTAGAACGTGTTTGGTCCATTCATCGTTTGGTCAGAAACTGTGAAAAAGGTCTCAGGTCGATAAAGTCCAAGGTGATGTTTTTAAATATCTCTGTTTTGTCAATGCTAACTCCAAAGATATTCACTTTCATATGTTATAAAAGAGAGAAAAGGCGGAAATCTCCATATCAGAGAGGCTGAAAACGGCATCTTAGGACAATTTCTAATTACAAATGACTTTAATAATCAATCGATTTAGAAATATTTGGCGATTATCTTTCCGTCGACTATTTGTTACAGCTCTATTCTTCTCGTATCTTGATTTGATGGATAATAAATCCACTCTTTCCTGTGAAAAAGATTGAAAAACATCAGTGTAAATCTCTCGGGGTGGGATCGCTCATCCGTCAGCGCGTGTTAACCATTCGTAACGGCGGTGAGGAAAGCACGTGTGGTGACCGACAGCTCGAACACAAACTACACATCTATCATCAACACCACAGAGTGTCCGTTACTCAATGAAGGCTTTTTTCTTTCATAGGAGGGTTAGCTTTGGGGGGGGGGGCTGTAAAGATGAAGATGTTTGATTAAAGTCTTTGAAGGAGATTGAATGAAAAACGTCTCCCTTCGCTCCACAGCTACCTCTCAGTGTCCCTGAGCAAGGCACCTTCTGTAAAGTTGTAGAAGACTGTGGTTATTATTACTGTTGCTCCTGCAAAGCTTCCCTGGATAAATAAAAAAATGTGAAGATGAGGTCCCAAGTCGAGCCAGAAATGTCATTTCTTGGTTTTAAAACGCAAATAAAAATGTGGGGGGAAAACCCTCCGGGAGAGAAAAAGGCAGAACAAAAACAACATGTGTCCTGTCATAGTGGGTTTCTAGGTTTCTTTCTGGTCAAGGGGCCCCCGGCATCGCCCTTTTGTTCACCACCCGGCCGGTGACGTTGTGGCCGGAGGAAGTACGAGGGTGGAGGTTTATCGTGGTGTCGTCCTGCTAAATGTAGAACTGGTGCAGCGCCAGTCTGTCCATGAAGGGCTGCACCAGGTTGTCTGTGGCGAAGTAGAAGACTAGGCCGAAGAAGATGGAGATGGGCAGAGCGGGGAGCGCCTTCTTGAAGATGGCGAGGAGGAGCAGGGTCAGACACAAGCCCTGCGGGGGGGGAAAACAGACAAAACAGAGCTGTTATACAACCAAAGTGCTAGAGGTTTGTGTGGTCATATGAAGAAAATAGCTTAAAGATAACAGTTTTGAGTCCCTTAAAATTCTAATTTGGCCCAAAATACATCAAAATATGTCCCTTTTCTGGTTAACACAGCCATTGTTGATCCTATAAATGTCAGAAATGGATTCAGCTTTCTCAATTATTCCCACAACCACTTCAAAACATTTGTATAACTATTGTCTGCATATGCTAATCAATGCAACTTGTGCTAATCGTGCAAAATTGCCAACATATGCAACTTAGCATCCGGCAGTGTCTTTGTGTGGGGACCAAAATTATTCTATCATAAAACTTTGGGGTAGTGATCATTTCCGGGTTCACAATAGGACTCTATGAGGTAGCAACTAGGCTACCACAGAGTAATGTCATGAGACAGAAGCCCTGCGAGGGCACAGGCAAGCAAAAACAACAAAGCCGTTATACAAATCAAGTGCTCGAGGTTTTGCGGTGGCGCGACTTGGACGCTGAAATAAGAACTCACGATGAGGATGGCCACGAAGCAGGCGAGCGTGGTGTTCCAGTCGCCGCTGGCTGTGGCCGAGGCCTTGCCCACCAGCATGCTGTAGAAGATGAAGTCTCCGAGCCCCAGCTTCACCCCCCCTGAGAGAGAGAGAGAGAGAGAGAGAGAGAGAGAGAGAGAAAGAGAGAAAGAGAGAAAGAGAGAAAGAGAGAAAGAGAGAGAGAGAGAGAGAGAGAGAGAGAGAGACGAGAGAGAGAGAGAGAGAGAGCGAGAGAGAGAGACCACAGTCAGGGTGGAGGCTGATTCAAAAACACAGAAACTCACGCCCTCCCACCCCCACAGAGATCTGTACTGTAATTACTGTACAAACAGAAAAAGAGCCCATATTTACCCGGGCTCTCACTCACATGAAACCCGGCAATTGTCGTGAATAATCGCTTCCTAATCTGCGACTAAAAACAGGCTGCAGCCAAACATCTAGTCGCTCTCATTTCACAGAGAGGGCAGCTCATAAAAACACTCCCCAGATGTTTTATGATGTGTGCACACACACACACACACACACACACACACACACACACACACACACACACACACACACACACACACACACACACACACACACACACACACACACACACACACACACACACACACACACCACACACACACACACACACACACACACACACACACACACACACACACACACACACACACACACACACACACACACACACACACACACACACACACACACACACACACACACACACACACACACACACACACACACACACACACACACACACACACACACACACACACACACCACACACACACACACACACACACACACACACACACACACACACACACACACACACACACACACACACACACACACACACACACACACACACACACACACACACACACACACACACACACATCTTCTGGGTGTGTAAATAAGTGCCTGTTGTTGAGAATGTGTCAATGATGCATCTTAAGTAGCCTAAAGATCAATATATATATAGGGGTATCGGTAAAAAAAACAAAGCAAGGTTTAATTAACTACATGTTGCTGATTTACAACCCAAGTTTAACTTTTTTTTTATCTAAACAATGGCTTCTTTTGGGAAATGCGTTTTTGTTTGCCATGTCAACAAAGGAGAAATGTAAGCCTTATATTTACAGATGGAGCCGACAATCAGAGAGAAATTAGTACAGATTATTATTTTGAAAATAATTGTTATATCCCAACCAGCCACAGCAGCCACTTTCGCATTGTACGCAAAAAATGTAACATATTTATAAAAAAAAAATGTATTTGATCATAAAACTTAACATGAAACCTGGTGCTGTTCTATCCATTGATCCTGGTGTAAAGTCAACACATTGGTCAATTGGAAACGTTTACATTTGAGTCATATTACATTAGATATTCAAAAGGTGTAGATCCAAGCCATTTCAAGACAAGATAAGAAACCTCTCAATATGTCATTTTGAAGAACAGAAATTAGTTGTTTTTTTGCGGTTGTTATCAATACAATTGGAGAGAAACTTTAAATATGATATATTAAATATGGTTCTGTCAGCACTCACTCTCCTCGTCGTCGTCGTCCTCCACGGGGGGGCGGTCGGAGGGCATCTCCTGGATCTCCCGGCGGGTCTCCTCCGTGGTCTGCAGGGGGCCCAGCTGGTGCTCCTGGTGGTTCACCCAGTTGGAGCTGAAGCCCCCGTCGTCATTAGACAGAGCGGGGGGGGAGGCCGGGGAGGCCACGTCTGCAGAGAGCGACACCAGGTCAGTATGAGAATAATCAACACTGAGGGAAATGTGAACAAACAGACATGGATCTTCCACCTGCAGCACCTCCATCCAGCTACACTCGTATTATGAAGATAGTATCCTAACTTTATATCTTAATAGTAAGTTAGTCTATTATAGATGAGTGTAACACATGCGTCACTTCTGGGCAAAAATAACGGCCCCGCCCACTTTTGGGGGAAAACAACGCTGTCATTTGAACGGCGGTCAATACAAATTCTGATGTTTTTGCCAATCCGATCAGAAATGTAAGAAAACCGTGGATTTTCTGATCTTCAAAGAGCCCGATTACGATGGCCAGTCAGGCAAACAATTACATTAAATCATTGGAAATCGACGATCGGTCTCGATATATGGTTAAATTAAAATCAGTAGGCGAGGCCGTCATTTCGCCAGCTGTTACGGCCCGTCCACATAGCGGCGTGCGTTGAAGCTTGCTCCATTTTTTGGAATATGAGGAAATGACCTGCGGTGTGTCTCTCCCAGCATACACGCGGTTTGATTGGCTGCATAAACGGGATTTTATTGGCTGACGCTTCCACCGAAGCTTCAGAAGCTTCAAAAGTTGAACATTGCTCAACTTTTGCAGCCTGAAACGCCAGCAAAGCTCCGCTCTGCTTCCCACAATGCAGTTCGGCGAAAAGTGAGGCAAAGTGACGTCACCCCATTCAAAGTGAATGGGCAGAAGCGCTGGAAGATTTTTTTACCGCTGCTGTGTGGACGTACCGTTACTCTCATGAGCGAGGCGGAAAATAATAGTTTTATCATGCCAACAAGCTGCTGTCGTTTATTGCACCTCAAACATTCAAACAAATCCAGAGTTCAGTGTTTCTGTACTTCCTCTAAGAACAAAGGACAGTAACAGAAGAGCTCTGTGGCTTCAGGCTTCATCGCCATTCAAATGACAGCGTTGGTTTCCCCCAAAAGTGGGCGGGGCCGTAAAGTGACGTAGATGTTACTCTCATCTATGGACATCGATCGCCTACTGCTATATTTAACCATATATCGAGCCCGATCGTCGATTTCAAATGATTGAATGTAAATGTTTGCCTGTCTGGCCATCGTAACCGGGCTCTTTGAAGATCCAAAAATCCACATTTTTCTTAAATTTCTGATCGGATTGGCAAAAACTTCAGAATTTGTATTGACCGCCATTCAAATGACAGCTTTGTTTTCCCCCAAAAGTGGGCGGAGCCGTACTTTTTGCCCGGAATCGACGCATGTGTTACTCTCATGTATAGAGTAATCCAACTTATTATATTGTGTATTCTATAGGTAAGGTACGTTTATTTATAAAGCACATTTTCAGACACAGAGGCAATTCAAAGTGCTTGACATCATCAGTAACACTTAATAAGAAGACAAAAGAAACACAATGGAATAACAGGTTCATAAAAGAGATACAGAATAGTTTAAAAACAACATTGTAAATACAGTAGGTGCTAAAAAAAGTTAAAAAACTTCTGGGTAAGCAGCTGGAAAAAGTCATGTTTTTAGCCTCGACTTAAAAGACCTTAGGTTTTCTGGAAGTTTGTTCAATTAGCGGGGAGCATAAAAACTAAAAGTAGCTTAGATACTTCATTCATCTTCACTCATACCAGCCCAAACAGAATCACTTTCAAATCCCAAAGATATATATGACCCATAAGGTGGAGCAATGTAAATCATATCCCGGGTCAGTTTGAATAAATCACAAACCTTCTGGAGCCTCCTGAGGCTGAGGTGGAGGGGTCGCCGCTTCTGTGGAGTTTCTTTTTGGCGGCCACTCAGTGTCGGCCATGTTGACGAGCCACACCATCGTAGCTGAAGAGGAGGAGGAGGAAGAATCAGAGGAACAAATATTAAGGTTTAAGGATTCATGATACAATAAAATACAAGAAAAACTAGGAAAGTGCAGTTGTATGCATCAATGAACAAAACACTTGATTAACCCTTAGATGCACTTAGAGTGACTGGACCCTACACTCTTCCATAAGTGGGTCAAAAAGGACCCGTATTAGAATAATATGTGTTTTCATGCCATTTTTGTCATTTTGGTTAGAAATATTTTATATTTTATTTTTCACTATTTATAATTTTAGACATTTTTTTTACATTTTGAAAAAAAACATTTTGAACATATTGATGCAAAGATCTCCGCTATTCTGAGACCCTCACAGTATTCCAGTCGCTTTTCAAAACTCATCTCTTCTCCTCTGTCTACTCATAGCCCACCCCCCATCAATCCATGCCGGTTGATCAAGTTTGATAGTCCTATACCCCCCACCCTAACCTTCCCTTATATTGTAAAGCGATTTTGAGTTCTTGAAAAGCCCTATCAAAATAATATAAAAAATATAATGTATTATTATTATGATTATACTGACAGGTATCAGATCTTGCTGTGTAAAATAATCTTCCTGAGAGGTGTCACGTGTGATGTAGTCTGTGTGTCCTACAGTGAATGTATTCCTGACAGCAACAGGTGATAAGAATCAAAGGTTCCCATAGGATCCCATAGAAAATGCATGCGGGTCATTTTTGACCCACTTATGGAAGCTTGGGGTAGAAATACAAAAACCACAATTTCTTAAAATTTAAATTTAAAATGTGAATGGCATGATATCCAAAACATGTTTTTTGAGGAATAGCTGGAATATGAAATGATAAAAAGATGTAATTACAAAGATACTTCAAGAAAACCACCTCACCGGGTCAAAAAAGACCCACTTATGCATCTAAGGGTTAAGACAACGTGTAACCAAAGGGTTGTATTAATAAAGTAAGTGTACATTAATAATACAAGATATGTGGTTCCTTGTGGCTGTATACAAACATATTCTCTCATTCTTTCCACACCACAGCCAAAAGAAATACAAGAACATTTTCAATAGACAGAATTATCAATGCATATCAGCATTAAAAGGCAGAGTGCTGTGGAAGTCCTTTTAACTGCTCATTAGACTCATGGGGAGTGCAGACGATAAAAGAAGTTGAAGTGTTATTTTAAGTGGCTGCACTAAAGGTTATTAAAGTGTCAGATAAAGTGAAAGCGCTGAAAGAAGATTAGCTGATGAAAAATGTGTCACTTCAGTTGAAAACGCTTAAGGAAGTTAAAGAGCATGTGAGAGAAGTTGGAGTAGGATATTAAAGGGGAAGTTTTTTTGCCTTTTTGGAAGTGTTTTTCCATTGCCTCGTCTCTTTGTTGTATTCAGTATTCAGAGTTTCTTACATGAGTAGATGAGGGCGGGGAAGATGGGCTCATTCCTCTCCTGAGCCGTCTCCACCAGGATCCTCAGGGGCCCTTTGGGACAGAGCACCGCCAACAGATCTGAGAGGAGAGAAACCAGACAGCTGGAGTTAGACAACCTGAGAGAGACAGAACACCTGAGAGAGACAGACAACCTGAGAGAGACAGACAACCTGAGAGAGACAGACAACCTGAGAGAGACAGACAACCTGAGAGAGACAGACAACATGAGAGAGACAGACAACCTGAGAGAGAGAGACAGACAACCTGAGAGAGAGAGACAGACAACCTGAGAGAGAGAGACAGACAACCTGAGAGAGACAGAAAACATGAGACAGAAAACCTGAGAGACAGCAGACAACCTGAGAGAGACAGACAACCTGAGAGAGACAGATAGAAGCAGACAGACAACCTGAGAGAGAGAGAACAGACAACCTGAGAGAGAGAGACAGACAACCTGAGAGAGAGAGACAGACAACCTGAGAGAGAGAGACAGACAACCTGAGAGACCTGAGAGAGACAGACAAACTGAGAGACCTGAGAGAGACAGACAAACTGAGAGAGAGAGACAGACAACCTGAGAGAGGCAGACAACCTGAGAGAGAGACAGACAACCTGAGAGAGAGACAGACAACCTGAGAGAGAGACAGACAACCTGAGAGACAGATAGAAGCAGACAGACAACCTGAGAGAGACAGACAGACAACCTGAGAGAGACAGACAACCTGAGAGACAGATAGAAGCAGACAGACAACCTGAGAGAGACAGACAGACAACCTGAGAGAGACAGACAACCTGAGAGAGACAGACAACCTGAGAGAGACAGACAAACTGAGAGACCTGAGAGAGACAGACAAACTGAGAGAGACAGACAACCTGAGAGAGACAGACAACCTGAGAGAGACAGACAACCTGAGAGAGACAGACAACCTGAGAGACAGATAGAAGCAGACAGACAACCTGAGAGAGACAGACAGACAACCTGAGAGAGACAGACAACCTGAGAGAGACAGACAACCTGAGAGAGACAGACAAACTGAGAGACCTGAGAGAGACAGACAAACTGAGAGAGACAGACAACCTGAGAGAGACAGACAACCTGAGAGAGACAGACAACCTGAGAGAGACAGACAACCTGAGAGAGACAGACAACAGACCCCCCCCCCCCCCCCCCCCCCGACATGACGAGAAGCAGAGGCTTCAGAGGAAACACAGAGATCAGTCCACAGGTCTGGTGATTGGTAACAGATCTAAACGCTCTCTTTGTATTTTTGTGTGGTGGCATGTTTATGTCCCGCTTTCAATCAGTCTCCCCATGACTTCCCTTTTATCTCAGAAACGTGTCTTTCAATCCACATTTATGTTTCAGTTTTTGAAACACATCCTTCCTTTCAGTAAAATAAATCCTCACAATAAACAAAATAATTACAATTAACATTAAGGAGTTTAAGAGTTATTGTTTTAGCTTTTCTTGACCCACGTAGGCTCCTTATTTAGGGGGCGAGAGGGGATCACCTGCGAAACCATCTGATTCATTCATGCAAGCCCAACATTATTTAGAGGAAATATTCTAACACCATTTTTGGACAAAAAGCGGGGGGAAACACATTTTACTGCATGTGTTTAGCATAAAGCGGGCATAACTCTAAAGGGAAGAGTGAGGGTATCTAAAGAACCCAATTGCAACCAGATATCTGAAAGTGAGAGGTGAGGAACCCCCTGTGAATGTGACCATGCCAGTTTTTCCCTTGCCTAGATTTAGGGTAACTTTGGAGCAACATTTAGCTTCCTTACCAACAAGCTTAGAGAATGTCGACAGTTCAAATGGATTCCTAATGTTTCTTGACATTTCAGATGATATCAGTACATTTTATTTAATCATGCTACACCAGGGCTTCTCAAACTCCGGACCGAACTGCAAATCAATCCGGACCAGTACTTTACTGGCATTGATCCGGACCAGTGACCTTGTATAAAGTTCACAAGTGGACCTTTAATAAAAAAGTTTGAGTACCCCTGTGCTACACCCTTCTAAAGACAGTAATGTACCGCGTGTCTCAGAGGTATTATGTCTTTGTGCTGTATGATGTATCCTATTTGAAAAGCAATAAAAAGTTAATTAAAGTACTGTCGGTTTACATTTTAATATCTTCAGCTTTGGTTCCAAATCTATTCCTTTCCTAAAGATCATAAAATAATGAAAATTGTAAAACACCTTGTTAAATAGATCCTTTTTCCTAACGCCCTAATAGGACCCAGATGAACATAGGTGCAGAAAAAGCATCCTGCCCAAAGGTTGAAGGGTTCATCACCTTCTCTAAAGCAGCCGAATAGAGAGGAAGATTTACCGTAGACGGATATGACGGCTAATATGAGCCAGGCGGTCCACTCGGGCAGGTACTTGATGAAGACGAGGGCCATGAGGGCGCTGATCATGATGAGGTAGGCCTGCTGGAGCCGCAGAGGACCCTTCCAGTGAATACACATCATGCCCACCACCCCGAAGTTCCACACTATTATCGCCAGCGTGAAGTAGTCGATGGCCACGTTGTAGGTCTTGAAAACCTCCCTGTTACACAGAGCATGGTGAAGATTTAGACATCGGGACATTTATAAGAATATGTGGGAGCTGAGATCAAAGGTTGAGCTTACTTGAGGTAGATGTAGGAGAAGAAGAAGAGCAGGAGGAGGGAGGAGAGGAAGAGCCAGCCTTGGATCACCTGGGAGGAGAAGATCACAGTCAGCGGGTTTGTTAAAGCTATTTTTTGTTGTTTGTTTTGCACATAGTAATCATAATTTAAGTTAATTTTTGTAAGTTACTTATGCTTTTATTTGAAGTCAGCTTCTTGTAACGGTTGAAACGTTATTTATTTGTAGACAGGAGGAAGAGTTGTTAGAATAAGGTCTGCTATCTGGTTCCTCAGCTGCAGTTTGATTTTTTTTTGTTTGGGTGTTTTTAGTTGAAGGAGATATCATTGCTATAAGGTTTAATGCGTCAAGAGACCAATACCTGTAAATACTTGTTAATAGTGTGCCTGATTTAAAGGTCACCTATCATGCTATTTTTAGGCAATAGCATAGGTCTCAGATATATAAAAAAATATAAAAAAACATGTCTATGAAGTGTTTTGCTCAAAATACCAAACAGATCACCCATTCTAGCCATGCCTCATATCCCTCTATTTCACTTCCTGTTTCAAAAGTGCTGATTTTGGGTATAAAGCTTAAAAAAATTAAAAAATTGATAATAAATAAAAAAGGAGGGTCTGAGCTCATGCGGGACCCGGCAGCTACTGTCTAAACTAAATGCTGCCGTGATGAAACGCCATATCATGGATTATCAAGGATTATTTCTGAAACAGTATGGAGCTCAAAGGCTTTCTCTCTTGCCGGTTATACCACAAGGTGACTTCCTTTTTATTTCCTGCTTCTTCACACACATGCTCTCCAGTACAGGTTAGCTCTGAGTGTTAGCGATGCTAATGTAAACACAGACCATATTACGTCCAAAACAGTTGGGCATTGTTTCTGATAGCATTGTTTCTGATAGCAACTTTCTGATAGGGCCGTGGGTCCACATTTCCGATATTACGTCATATCGGACGCAAATCTGGATCAGCTCCGTTGTAGCCCCGTTTTTAGAGATTTGGGTACGGAGGAAAAGAGAGAGGGTTTTACTTTCTGAAGCTGCGCGAGTTCCCCGACACACCGGGGACACATATTTATGTATATAAGACATCAAAAAGTGCATTTTGCATGATAGGTCCCCTTTAAATTACCTGAACAGCTACTCTCCTACTAAAGCACTTGAATTAAAATGCAGTCATCATTATTTGAAATATTTAAACCTGTGCTTTTCCTACTAAGTCAGGTCTGAAGGCCTATTTGAACCTGGGGTAAACACACATTGTTAGGATATTTTCCACACATCTCAAAACATTCTCTTGCACAATGTTATCTGTTTTATTTGTTGTATGTCCTAAATATATTCATCATGTTGCACTGTTGGAGGAGCCTGGGACTTCAGTTTTTCATTGCCATATCATCACTGTAGCTACTGTGCACATGACAATAAAGCCTTGAATCTTGTAAAAACTAAGTTGTGCAGTGAGTGTTTCAACAGGATGTGTTATTTTTTGAGAAGTACCTTGTAGCAGCGGTACTTGTAGAGCAGTACCAGCACCAGCGTCATGACGATGATGACGGTGATCATGATGGCGGCGTTCATGACGGAGTTCAGCGCTCGCTGTCCCAACGTCACCGCGTCCTCCGGGAAGGGAGTGTAGATCCTGAGGGGGGGGGGGCAGAGCAGGATATATAATAAATACAGTAAAGGAAATACAGAGGCTCTTATTATGTAAGGGATAATGTGCAGCGAGGCGGTCATTATGGGGAAAAGAACACCCGACAGGCAGATCAGGAGCCCGACGCGAAGCGAAAGGATCTCGATCAGCATGAAGGGTGTTCTCCATAATGACCAAGTCGCTGCACATTATCCCGCTTATTACACGGCCACATTCTCAACAAAGTAACGATATGACTCCCAATATTAATTGAAATGCTTTTATAGATTTAGAAAATGTTTTTATTGATTTAAAAAATAGTAGGCTATTATTGATTTTAAATGATATACATCCGCTAAGAAAAATAGTCCGTTGTTACTGTTTGAACTACGTAGCAACGGCAGGAACTGCTTCGATAGCGTTTTTGCGGACCTTTTTGATTACAGATTTGAAAACATCGTTGCTTGATTTAAAAGTAGCACAATTCATGATGTCAAACCTTGGGAAGTATCTAGATATCCCTGCCCTAATGCCAAAGTAACTGGCAACTGAATATGTTTTGCCGTTTGATGTCTATGTCTGGACCGTTGTGTAAAAAGGAGGGTTTCTGCCCCGTTACTTCTCCGCTGTTTTCTTGTCCCAGTTCGGCCAAACTGTATACAGTTAAATCGACCGGACTTCTTTCTGCAGATGTAAGCGTCCTTAACAACGGTCAATAAGTCCTTGACAGCGGTCTGTCTGTTCTGGATTAACAACGTGTCACGTGTTCTGAATTGACCAATCAGAATCGAGTATTCAACTAAGCCATGTAATAAAGTGAGATAATTCTGCTTCAGGGGGTTTACATTACTCTGGATATGACTTTACTATATTAAATATGATGTTTTAATGCCCTGAGCCAGATCCAGACTCTGCTTTATGATTGTTTGCACTTACAGCACCGTCTTGGTATTTAAACTATGCGGGTTTATTACAGCTCCATACATTACATACTGTCTGGAGGTCTGAGGAGGGAAAACATAAAAAACTGATCTTTATCATACAGAAATTAGATTAAATTAGAGCTGCCCAACTAATATGTTATAATATTGGACTAATAAATAATATGAGACAAGTATGATGAAAATTGAAACCTACGGTATGAACACTAATGTGTATAGGATTTTAATTTTTTGAGTTTTGGTGTATAAATAATATACATACTTTTGATTAAGTTTCTTTAATTACACAAAAGTCAGTTTAAACTGGCATTGGTTTGTCAATACTTTAGAAAAGTAATACTTTTTGAATTTGTTCTATGTGTATCTGAGTTGATAAGACCAAACGGCATCAACTAAAACGGGTCTGATAAATATTGCATTAACTCCATCTAGTGGCAGTACGGCTATATTGCGTTTCATTCAAACACCAGACATAGTGCTGAAGATAACGATTATTTATTTACATATCAATTAATTGTTTAGTCTTTTAAATAGAAGGGAAAAAAACTATTCCATCCCAGTTTTTTTGGTCCATGTTGGCATGTTTAAATGTCTATAATCAGTGCACAACTCAAAGATATTGATTTTATTTGTATACAAAGAAAAGCAGGACATTTCCATATTTGAGAGATTGAAAAAAAAAGTTGTCCTGATATTTTTGCATAAAATAAACACAGAATATTTTACTGTCCATTGAAAAACCATTAGAAATGTACTTGGAATCCCCCTGCGGTTATATTTGATATCAGAGGTGGGAAGTAGTGGGGTACAAATACTTTGTTTACTGTACTTAAAGGTCACCTATCATGCTATTTTTAGGCAATAGCATAGGTCTCAGATATATAAAAATATATAAAAAACATGTCTATGAAGTGTTTTGCTCAAAATACCAAACAGATCACCCATTCTAGCCATGCCTCATATCCCTCTATTTCACTTCCTGTTTCAAAAGTGCTGATTTGGGGTATAAAGCTTTAAAAAAAAAAGAGGAGGGGGCTGAGCTCATGCGGGACCCGGCAGCTACTGTCTAAACTAAATACTGCCGTGATGAAACGCCATATCATGGATTATCAAGGGTTATTTCTGAAACAGTATGGAGCTCAAAGGCTTTCTCTCTTGCCGGTTATACCACAAGGTGAGTTCCTTTTTATTTCCTGCTTCTTCACACACATGCTCTCCAGTACAGGTTAGCTCTGAGTGTTAGCGATGCTAATGTAAACACCGACCATATTACGTCCAAAACAGTCGGGCATTGTTTCTGATAGCAACGTTTCTGATAGGGCCGTGGGTCCACATTTCTGATATTACGTCATATCGGACGCAAATCTGGATCAGCTCCGTTGAAGCCCCGTTTTTAGAGATTTGGGTACGGAGGAAAAGAGAGAGGGTTTTATTTTCTGACGCTGCGTGAGTTCCCTGACACACCGGGGACACATATTTATGTATAAAAGACATAAAAAAGTGCATTTTGCATGATAGGTCCCCTTTAAATACATTGTCCTGGTATCAGTACTTTACTCCACTACTTATTTTTCTGACGACTTTTTACTTTTACTTCTTACATTTTGAACACAAATACCTGTACTTTCTACTTCTTACATTTTCCAAACAGGCTGGTTACTTTAGTTTGAATGTGTGTTTGGTGGCGTGATTATTATTATTTAGAGTCATTGCGTGCCTATTGATTTGAACACGATCCGTGTATCCATCATTTCCTGGTCTTCTCTAAAGAAGAGGGACCAATGAAAATGTTGTCATGTTGCCGTTGTTCAGCATGGAAACATTCATTAGCTAACAATGACATTATTGTTCTATTAATATAAAGGGAGGTCAGGTACTCTTTAAAACAGCTGCTAGTTATGGGTACTTTTTACTTAAGTACATTTCAAAGCCCATACTTCTTTACTTTTACTTGAGTAAAGAAGTTTAGTCAGTACTTCAACTTTTACCAGAGTATTTTTAAACACGAGTATCTGTACTTCTACTTGAGTAAAGGATGTCTGTACTTTTGCCATCTCTGTTTGATAGTAAAAGTATTTTCACTCACAGTCTCTGGCCGTCGTTCTGCGTGTAGAAGCTGACCGACTTGATGGTTGCCACGACGACCACCATGCAGAGCGTCACGGGCACGAACAGCATGATGACGTGTTTGGCTCCGTACTTCAGGGTCAGCTCTTCATCGTCGTCCTCCTCCGCCTCCACCACCACCCGGGGGGGTCGAGGGGGGGGCTGCCCGTTCTGCTCTGGACCGCTGCCGTTACCTCCGGGACCCCCAACTCCTCCATCAGCTCCTCTGGACCGGGCCCGGACCCCCGTTGCCTCCTGAGGGGGGGGCTCAGAGGCCACGTCTGTCTCCTGCTGGTCCTAAACAGGAGAAGAAGGCAAGTTTATTTATATAGCACTTTTCAACACAAGGCAAGTGCTTTACAAAAATGAAAGACATTAAAGGTCCCCCATTATACTGTTTTTCATCAATATATTACAGGTCTCAGATATATACAAAACATGTCTCTGAAGTGTTTGGCTCCAAATACCAAACAGATCATTGCAGCATCCCATAATCCCCTCTGTTTCAGCCCTGTTTCCAAAGTGCTGATTCTCTGTCTGTTACTTTAGATGAAAATAAGGAGCCCCTCCCCACGCCCCTCTGAGAGAGATTTGGTTAAAAAGAACACAATGGTGCTCTAGGAGGAGATTCAGGTGATAAGGTGGGGGGGGGTTACCTTGGTTGCTGATTGGCTAATGGTTACACAAGCCAAAACATCGTTATGACATCATAAAGTGGCCAAAATCTGATCAGCTCATTTTCAGACAGGTTTTTATATAAATGGATCAGGACAAAAAGAGAGAGAATCTTTGTTCCTGAAACTTTCAGAATCTCTTTCCACAGAGGGGACACATGTTGATGTAGAAGAGACATGAAGAAGAGGGGACACATGTTGATGTAGAAGAGACATGAAGAAGAGGGGACACATGTTGATGTAGAAGAGACATGAAGAAGAGGGGACACATGGTGATGTAGAAGAGACATGAAGAAGAGGGGACACATGTTGATGTAGAAGAGACATGAAGAAGAGGGGACACATGTTTGATGTAGAAGAGACATGAAGAAGAGGGGACACATGTTGATGTAGAAGAGACATGAAGAAGAGGGGACACATGTTGATGTAGAAGAGACATGAAGAAGAGGGGACACATGTTGATGTAGAAGAGACATGAAGAAGAGGGGACACATGTTGATGTAGAAGAGACATGAAGAAGAGGGGACACATGTTGATGTAGAAGAGACATGAGAAGAGGGCACCGATGTAGAAGAGACATGAAGAAGAGGGGACACATGCTGATGTAGAAGAGACAGGAAAAAGTGGATTTTGCATAATAGGTGACCTTTAAGAGCATAAAACACATTAGAAACATTAAAAAAGCAAAGATAATAAAACATGAATAGCACAGGTACATGAATACAAGTTGCAGTGCAGTGTGAGATATGAATAGTTCAATTAAAAGCAGCGGCAAAAATAAAAGTCTTCAGCCTGGATTTAAAAGTAGTCAGAGTTGCAGCGGAGTTTGTTCCAGATATTTGACAACACCCCTAACCAAAGTCTCACATTCCTCTACCCCTAGTCTTCCCGTGACACGTTCTTTTGACACTTTTCTAACCTTTTTATATTCCTTTCATCCCTCTTGAATCCCCAGACAACACATGTTCCTGTTTCACTGTCACCCGAACCCATCTTTGACCTTTAAACCACTTTTCCCTGTGTTCCTTCCAGAGGGAGTTTCTCTCCCACACACTTATTTTTCAAGTATTGTTAAGCTTTTGATGTTTCGGTGGGGGACTCATATTATGGAGATGACAAGAAATTGTTGGTGATGATTGGGAATGGCATGCAACAGAAATATCTCGGGACTGACTAGAGTTATTCGACCAAATCTGCAGAAGGGAACACAAGACGAATTCTTGAAAGTTGTTCTTATTTTTCTTTAGTTTGGTTTTGTAAATTGGCTAGTGAGCCCGTTTGTTTTGAGTTATGAAACAATATCTTTTAATTTTCAAATCCTCTTTCTATTTTTTCTCCGGGTTATTTTACATGTTGTTGCTTCCCTTTTACTCCTAGACTTTTAAGGAACGTAACACCTGTTTCGCTAAATGTAAGCAAGTTTTCAAAGAAAAGCCAGACTTGTGACAACAGAGCAGGTTTGCCTCCACAGTTCTGCTATCTGCAGCTTGCGGTGTTGCTTCAGACACAAACAGAGACATTGTGGTTCGCAGTCAGCACATGAACCTTTTTTATATCTGGCATATACATTCTATGTTTATTTTAAGAAACCAGAGATCTTCTGAAAGTCTGTCAAAATATCTTTCTTAATTTATTTATCTGCAGAAGTTCTCAAGTCAACACCCCCATGACATGATGAGTTAAAAACAGTCCTTACTAAATGTGTTTGTTTGTTTTTATTGGCAAAAGAACCATGGAATTGGAATTGCACAAATATTACAGCAATCTTATCAAACTATCCATGTTTTCATTGCAGAGATTAGCTGGCAGGTTTGAGTTCACTAGACAAGTTCCTCTGGGGATAAAACGCTACCCTCATCCCAAAGATCTGTCCCGTCATGACAATAAAAGCAGGAGAACTGTGTGAAATAAAACGAGTCAAGACACAAACATCACCCAGGGCTGCAACTAACGGATATTTGTATTATCCAGTAATCTACCAAAGATATTTTCTAAATGAATACATTGGTCCCAAACCAAAAGATTCTCCCTTATTTACTTATATAAAACACAGAAGAAGTAGCAAATGCAAATGCTAGTTATTGGATTATTTTGTTTAAATCATTGCAACGCTGTTATACTCAATTCTAGGGACAATAAATGACTTTACTTCTTCCAGTGAGAAAATAACTGCAGCTTCAATACACTTTTTTAAACAATCAACTAAAACCTTTGTAGGGTTGAAATGCAGTTTTATATCCAGGGTTCAAATATTGGTTAGAATCAATTTCCACAAATGAAATGATTACTTCCCCCAGTACACATTGTTTTATCTTTTAGCAGTTAACAAAAACAAACAGAAATTGAAGTTAAATGTCATGTTTATCAATGATAAAAAAGCCTCCCCATCATCCTAAAGACATGTGCCGCCAAGACAATAAAACGAGTCAAGACACGTGTCAGAAAAATGAAGCAGTCTCACCAAGAACACAGAAACATGACAGATACCAATCCTTAGTAATATTTCTTTACTTTGTTGGATAAAGGTTTGCAGCCTGAGGCGAAACAACATTGGTACAATAAAAAGAGAGGAAGCTGGGAACCCACAAAGGATTTTCTAATGACTCAGGAGTGGATTGCTCTCAGCATGAATCACAACATGTGTACCGAGAGGATAATGAGTCGGATTAAAGTCAATTAATCTGTTCGAGAGTTCACTGACGAGGACTTTTATGGATGATTAGGAATTAAAGTCAACGTATGCAGTTTTAACCCTTATACTAGTGATGATTTGTTGGCTTTAATTGGGTTTTAATGCTTTGTATGACTTGCTTTAATGTATTCCTTAAAGGGGACCTATCATGCAAAATGCACTTTTGTACGTCTTTTATACATGAATATGTGTCCCCGGTGTTCCAGGGAACTCACCAAGTGTCAGAAAACACAACCCTCTCTATTTTCCTCCATACCCAAATCTCTAAAAAAGGGGCTGCAACGGATCTGATAAAAACTGATCCAGATTTGAACACTTTACTGACGTCAGGACGGTGGCACTACGGCTATTGGGCCAACTCTCCACCTATCAGGGGAATGTGGGGTTGGGCCACAGCCGGCCATTGCCGCTCGAAAGTGCTGGAGACGCTGTAGTACATATCCAGGCCTGTAAGTGGCGCTGTAGTCTGCCACAAAAGCAGCGAAGAAGACTTCCCGCCCATAGTTACCATGGTTACCCTTCTGTTTATTCTCCGCTGTGGCTTTTTTTCTCCCTCCCCGAGGCAAGCGTTTGCTCCCGCTGCTTTAATTCAATGCAATCCCTCCCCGTCGAGGCAAGCACTGTAATTCTCTCCGGTTAGTCCACCAGCAGATGACAAACACCCACCTCTCCGCCTCTTCCAAGGAACGAGGGGACCGTGCGGCAGAGTTTCAGTTTCAGTTTCTTTCGCCGGTCAAGATGTCCGTTAAAGTTTAAATCTTCCGGACAAAATTAGAAAAGTGCCGGTCAAAGGTCTTCTTTGTTATTTATTGAGCTTTAAAACAAATTAATAACGACTCTATAGGCCTATTATAATATAATAAAATAGATCTTTTTTTCTCCCCCTCTTGACTTGATCAGAGCACGGCTCCCCTCTCCTGCAGGGGGGCGTGGTCAGCTGCAGCTCATAGAATCAGCCCAGTAGACAGCAAACAGCACATAGAGCAAAATGAGGCATGGCTAAAATGCATGATCTGTTTGGTATTTTGAAAACAGAAACGTATAAATATACCTTATATAGGTATGGCCCTACAATATATCATTTAAATATAGCATGATAGGTGTCCTTTAATGGCGCGTTTCCACTACAGCGCGGAGCATGGTTTAAGAGGGCTGTGACGTCAGCGGCCCGTTTTTGGTTGCGTTTCCACTTGGCCTAGTACCGGCCGGCGGGTCCTAATTCACAGTTTTTCTGGCCTCATAAAATTGTGGGTCTAGGGCCAGAGACAACGAGGCTGAGTCAGGCTGAGTATGCTAAACTAGAGAGAGCATCGCTGGCAAGGGGGCTACAACTACAACAAGATGGACATATTTGACCGTGATTTAATTGTAATACACGTTTCAAAATGATGCCGAAGTAACAACATACTGATACCGGTTAGTAAAAACCATGAATTAATGCTTTGTCAAGTCTGCAGACAGACGGCAGGCGAAAAACCTTTTAAAATGCGTGTTTTCTAAATGGAGATTGGCTAAGCTAACGCAGTATATGCTCCGACCGTCCACACTCACAACAACGGCCTATACAGACATAAATAAAGCAGCGACTGTATTCGCCATGACACAGGCAGTCTGTGGTTTGTACTTGTTTAACTTTTGTCTAGTTTCTGAACATATATGAGGAGCTGTGAGCTCTGAGTGCTAACAGCTAACGGCTGTGTTGTTTTTCTGGGGTTCTCATTGAAGATGACGTCACGGCTCCGCCGACACTGCGTTACTATAGATACTACCCCAGTTCCTAAACTGTAATGGAAATGCGCCATAAAGTGAGCCAGTCCTAACGAGGCCTAGCCATACTGAGCGAGGCCGAGCGAGGCCGTGTAGTGGAAATGCGCCATAAGTAAATGAATCTGTAGCTTCAACCATATCCTCTAATGTCACCCAACTAAACTCATGTTTCCAGGATAATGAGAAGCAAGGAAACTGTTGTGTTTAATTGTAGTTGCTAGATTTACTAGCCTCTTATGGCATTGTACAAGCAAGGAATCTTTATATTGAGCCCTGATATGATGAGCATTAACCTTCTTTTGAACCTCAGCTGCTCTACTGCAGCCACACTGTCCAGGCTAAGCTTTTCTGACCTGGCTGACATCATACAGACCATAATATGCAGCTAAAGACAGAAATTAAATGTTTAGCAGCTCTCCAAGAAAGAGACATACTGTTGAAATGTACAAGCACAGCTGTTATGGGATAAACAAGGCTTAAGGTTGTGACGTAGACAGTGAAAGAGACTTTGACTGCTGGACCAGCCACACCTTTATTTACAGTGAGAGCCTAACAGAGAGCAAAGAACACAATACTCATTTACTGCATTAACATCCTGATGACACCACAGTTATCAGACTGCTGCACAGTGTGTGGTGTCACAATCTGACTCAGAAACACACACACACACACACACACACACACAGTGTTAGAGCGCTGTGACACACACACACACTGACCATGTTGTTCTCGATATCCTCGGCATTGTTCGCCATGTTCGGCTCGGCTCACGCTTGTCCTCACATGCACACCAGATTCTATTGCCCTGTTGAAAGAGAATAGGAGTTTAATATTAAGTTGTAGTATATTAAATGTGCATAATAAAAAGGCATAGAATTAATTGACATTCAAATCAAAGCAAAGGTGGCATATGTTTTATAGCCCTGAGTCACAAATATGTGATTTGAAAATTACCTGACAGTGATTTAAAATCAGAAAAGACACAAAGAGAGCATCTTGACTAATATAAATAACATGATACTTTACAATTGTGTTAGCTGTTATTTGGCCCTTCATAGTGTTTCATAATTTCAACATTGTTCTGTTTTATTTTGAGATGTTTATATTTTCTAATCATGTGTTATGCCTTGTTTTAACATGCTGCTTTGATGAAAACATTCCCAATTTGCGATCAATAAAGAATATCTTCTTCTTTCCTCTGAACTGTAGTGGAGTAGAAGAACAAAGTAGCAACACATGGAAATACTCAAGTAAAGTACAAGTACCTCAAAATTACTACTTAAGTAAAAGTACTTAGTTACTTTAGACCTCTTCTGATTCTGATGCCATAACGGCACAGCTTATGTTATTCCTATTAACAGGTTACTAGTTAGTGTTTGGTGGTGCATACAATAGAGATATAAATACGAATAAAAAAAACATAGGGTTATAACAAGATCTAGAACATTAATATAGAATATAAAACAAAAGGATAAAATGCAAAAGAGTCTTTAAAAACCTTTAACATGTATGTGCAGCTGTGTTACTAACAGACCATCCATTTTTATTGTACATTTTTTGAATAAGGGGCAGGCAAAATAAGACTTTCTTCTCCATGCTCCTTTCCATCATAGGCTACAAAAACTGCGTTAAGTGTACATGTTTTGTTTTCTAATAATTGCCTAAACTAATAAATACATAAATAAAGTAAATCTTATCTTATTGTGATTCTAATTAGCTACTAACGGCTCAAACAGCCATTAGCCAATAATAACGGCAGAGCAGTTAGCGGCCGTTGGGAGGCTAACGGCTAATTCTCTGAAACATGGCTCAAAATAAAATGTAGTTCCTGAAGAGTGGAATGATATAATATATGATTTAATAATAGTAGTTTAACTCACCTACTGAGGTTGACAGCTACTTTCCTTGGTTTTGTGTTGAGGTGTGTCTCCTGAAGAGGTTTAAAGCCGCTCCGCTTTCTCCTCTTTGTTGTTCCTGTCTTCACACCTAACTTCCGGTCGCTTCCTCTGCTTTTTGCGGTAGAGGCGGTTGGCATCCAGCGTCGGTGCTTTACCGCCACCTAGTGTATTGGAGTGGGGAGCAGAATAATCTCCAAGAAATACATTGAAGATACAAATATATGTATTCTTTTATTTATTCATTCATTTATTTCCTTATTTATGTACGCATAATTTTTTTTATTCATGTATTTATTTCCACATTTATTTATTTATGTACTTATTGCTAAATGTATTTATTTCTACATTTATTTTGTCTTTTATATATTATTATTTTATTTATTTTTTCAGCTGTATTTATTTCTGTATTTATTTCCACATTTATTTATTATTTTATTTATTTATTTCTGTGTTTATTTATTTCTGTATTTCCGTATTTTGTTATGCATTTATTTATTATTGTATTAAAAATATTCCTCTATTTATTTCCACAGTTATTTATTTATGTACTTATTTCCACATTATTCTTTTATTCTTTTATTCCTCTATTCATTTCCAATTTATTTATTTTTTATTATTTATATATTCCTGTATTTATTTATCTATTTGTGTATTTATTCTTACATTTATTTATGCATTTATTTATTACTTTATTCATGTATGTATTTCCACATTTATTTATGTATGTACTTATTGCTAAATGTATTTATTTCTACATTTATTTTGTCTTTTATATATTATTATTTTATTTATTTTTTCAGCTGTATTTATTTCTGTATTTATTTCCACATTTATTTATTATTTTATTTATTTATTTCTGTGTTTATTTATTTCTGTATTTCCGTATTTTGTTATGCATTTATTTATTATTGTATTAAAATATTCCTCTATTTATTTCCACATTTATTTATTTATGTACTTATTTCCACATTATTCTTTTATTCTTTTATTCCTCTCTTCATTTCCACATTTATTAATTTTTTTATTTATATATTCCTGTATTTATTTATCTATTTCCGTATTTATTCTTACATTTATTTATGCATTTATTTATTAATTTATTCCTGTATTTATTTCCACATTTATATGTTCTATTATTGATGTATTCCTCTATTTATTTATGTATTTATTTATTTATATATTCCTCTATTTATTTATCTATTTCCGTATCTATTCATACATTTATTTCTGCATTTATTTATTTATAATTATTTAGTGTTCTGTCCTCAATACTTGTGTACTGTTTAATTTTTTAGTATTGTTTTCTCCTTTATTTATTGTCCGTTGGTTTGTTTGCTATCTATGCGTCAGTGAACTGTTACCTGAGCAAAATGCCATGTGACCCCAGTAATAACTAGCCGGTTGTTCTTCCGGTGTCACAGTCTAACTCCTCCGTGAAGAAGAAGCAACGAAGAAGAAACGGACCTGCTCTGAAAAACTATCAAAATCATGGTTAGTACGTCTTGAAACTATATTTAGATCATATATGTCTTTGTTTTCTTGAAGGCCTTTGCTAGTCTGATCCACTGTGTCGTTTTTATTTTATATGAAGACGTTAAATAGCTAAATAGCTGAATGCTAACGTTAGCATCAATGTGGTGGACGTTTGAGCAGCTGCAGAAAATAAACCTCAATTTGAGACTGATAAAAATAAGATGTACTGCTACATACCTCTGTGTATATTTCACAGTTATTATACTATTCAACTACTTCCTTATCGCTTTGAACCAATGTCGGCTAACAGCTAATGTTCATGAAGATTCAGCTCAGGTGTGCGCAGTACTCAAATGATGTACTTAATTAGCAATGCTAACGTGTCAAAGTACTCTGTAAAAGTCATGCATTCAAATTAGCACTATCGTATTTGTATCAATATATACTTTAAGTACCAATAACTTGTTATGCACAATGGGCCATTCAAGCACTATATATTTTAATTATTGTATTATAGTTATTGATGCATTTATGTGTTCATCTCTTCAATGTTGCACTTGGTAAATGTGGGCTTTATTGGATATCTTTTTATACTAGTGGGTAGCTTAACCTATAAACTATATAATCATCTATCAGTTGATTTATATTCTGTATAAATAATAGTAGTAAGTAACTTTACCTGTAAAATAATTGTAGAGGAGTAAAAAGAACAATCGTTGCCTACAAAATGTAGTGCAGTAAAAGTATAAAGTAGCATACTGTGAAAATACACAAGTGAAGTACCTCCATTTTTACAGTACTTTAGTAAATGTACTTCGTTACATTACACCACTGGGTGTGCATTTTTTTGCTTAGTGATCTGGAAAAACACAGATTTGTCTTGGGTTATTGGCTATACCCTTATCTTACAAGGGTAGCTACTTGTTAAGGGAACAACATCAAACAAAACGGGACTAATGGAGGTAATCGTTAATTATTGAACTGATAATATTCCTCTGTAAGACCTAAAGCATCATCAGTGGTGGAAAGTGGCTGAGTATATTTACTAGAGGTACTTTTACTTCAGTATTTCCATTTGCTGCTATTCCTACTTCACTGTTTGAGGCAAATTGACTTTTTATCCAGATACTACTTTTGCTCTAGCTACTAGCTACTTTACCGATTCAGATTAATACAAAACAAAGATCAATAAACTACAATAACATATATTTTAGGTGTGAGTTTTAAAAGTGTGTGTGTGTGTTTTCAGTCCCACACCATCCTGCTGGTGCAGCCCACCAAGAGACCAGAGGGGAGGACGTACGCTGACTATGAGTCCGTCAACGAGTGCATGGAAGGTGAGGCGATGGTGCTTCCTGTTCTTTTGAAGAATATGTATATATATATACTTGTATACCCATAATCGTCCCACAGAGGGGACATTTACATTCTGCATTTGACCCATCCTAGTGTTGGGAGCAGTGGAACTCGTTCACTCCTACAGTCACCTCTAATGACATTGCAGCATGATATAATATCCATTACAGGCATTTACTTTATGAATAAAAAGGCAGATTTACTTTTTATTTGTGTCTTGTGTTTGAATATGCCCAAGCGTTCTCTTTCTGTAAAAGCCGCAACGGCAATCTTATCTGAGTGTTCCACTTTCATTGAACTTCCAATCTAGCCTGAGTCTGAATTTTAAACACTTTTGTATGTATTTGTTCAGCTTCTGTATACTTGCATAAGGGTGTTATGGTTATTTTGGGGAAGACGGTATGAATGAAACCACCCACCAGGCACGTTCATATTCCAAGTAATTTGAGAAATAAGTAATTACATTTTTTAAGTGATTTTTAATTTCTTCTAAATCTGGATTAATGCCAGTGAGTGTCTGCACGGCCAAAGTGAGGTTGCACCCTCTTACATTCCCCTTAGCTGTTGGACTGTGCAGCACAAGCAGAGGCGCGGGAAGGTATTTTGAGTGGGGGTGCTGAGGTGCTGTCCGATGTGCTAATTACGCACGAGGGGGGGGGGGGGGGTGACGTTGACATACACCGAGCAAAACCACACACACACACAGTGCATAACAATGGACTCCAGTGCACGCTATTACGGGCACTATAGAGCACACACAAAAGCGTGAGCACACACACACACACTATTAAGATGTCAAATGTTATTTTACCAACAATGTGGAATTTACATTCATTGAAGTAGGCTATCAAGGCGTTGCTATTTCCTGGCTACATATTACACAGATTCTGCGTAATAATGCCCTGCATCTTCTATTTCAATCTTTTTAGCAGATTTAGCGTTTTTAGTGAGAAAGAATTCCGAGATACGTTTTTGCGCCATGTCAGTTACTCGTCACTTGTGTTGTGCGTCACGTTAAAAGTAGCCGACTAAAAACGAACAAAACACTTTTTTTCCACATCTTTTTTATTTTTCTTCCCTGAAGCTAAATAATTAATTATATAGTTTAAAATTATCATTTCAATAATAATATAAAATATATCTCGGGCACAATGAAATGAAATTAAAAAAAATAAAATTTGCGGACAGAGGAGCTCTGCCTGCCTGCCGCTAGGGGGTGCTGCAGCGCCCTCAGCACCCCCCTTCCTGCCCCCTGAGCACAAGGCCAGACAATTCATATATGGCATTTTGCAAAATACACATTTGCAAATGGGAAAAGTAAATTGAGTACTTTGAGGGGCTGATGCCAGAAGTAGAATACCAGCAAGCAAAGACCAGCACAGAGTATAACATATTGAAACATTTCCCTGTAAGCTCAGTCTGTGCAGAAGGTGTAAATGTGGCTTTACAGTTATTCTCCACATAAATGGATAATCTTGTAGTTATTGGAAGGTTTTGGAGAGCAGCTGTAAAGCACATGTCAGCTGAAAGCAAACACAAAAACAAAATAAGTTAATATCAAACACCTGGGAGACGTTACTACAGTTTTAACATAATCATTAATCAGCATAAGGGATCAAAACCGTATCCAGTTAAGTAATCCATTTGTCTTTTGAAATGCTGATGTTTAACATTGATGTGTGATCTCTTGTATCTCAGGTGTGTGTAAGATGTACGAGGAGCATTTAAAGAGGATGAACCCCAACAGCCCGTCGATAACGTACGACATCAGCCAGCTGTTCGACTTCATCGATGACCTCGCCGACCTCAGCTGTTTGGTGTAAGTTTAACAAACGGGTGACATCATCAATCTGACTGTAATTCAACCCTTTGATTGTCTCCCAGAGGCCACTGATTATATTTTAAAGTCATGAACAGGTTTAGGATATTGGAACTGAAATACTTGTATTTCAAAGCCCACCAGGATACTCAAGTCTCTTGTATAAAAGCAACATTGAAGTCTCATGTCTTGTGTTGTAATTCATGGATTTATAGACGAGGCAATTAGTAAAAATGTCATGTTTATATGAATATTGTATTTTAATGTTTTATTGTATCTTTATATTGCAAATTAATACTTAAACTTCTATATGGTTTATATATATATATATATATATATATATATATATATATATATATATATATATACACACACACACACACACACATTAGGGTGGTCCTTAGTGCCATGTACATTTTCAAATTCATTTATTTTAAGCTCAAGCTCCAACCACCGGAATTCGTTATGATAGTCAAGAAAACTCTCCTGGTGAATTTTATTCAAATTCCAACAACATTTACCCCTCCCTCATCAACCTTGAAGTTTAGCCTCAGTAGGGTGGTCCTTAAAATGTAAAGTCTAAGCTCCAACCCCCAGAATTCATTCTATTAGTCAAGAAAACTCTCCTGGTGAATGTTTTCCTCAATCTGACAACATGTACCCCTCAATCTGACAACATGTACCCCTCCCTCATCGACCTGGGCTGCCACACCAGCAGCCACGGTGCTGCAACTGAGGCTAACCTTCCAGGTCGATGAGGGAGGGGTACATGTTGTCAGATCGAGGAAAACATTCACCAGGAGAGTTTTCTTGACTAATGGAGTGAATTCTGGGGGTTGGAGCTTAGACTTTCCCACTTTCAATTTTAAGGACCACCCTAATATATATTAATATGTTTTTATTATTTAATCTTATATTGGAACATTTTACCCATTTTCTTCCTGGTTTTAAATAAAATATTCTGATAGATTAAATATGATATTCTGTGTGCAGGTACCGCACGGACACGCAGACGTACCAGCCGTACAACAAGGACTGGATCAAGGAGAAGATCTACGTGCTGCTGCGTCGCCAGGCCCAGCAGGCGGCCAAGTGACGCCTCTGTTCTGTAACTGCTGTTCAAATGGTTCAAGTGACGTGTTTTCACAAGTTTTTAACAACGTTTTTTAAAAGGTTTTTTTTCTCATGAATCCGGAGGTGCATTTTGTATTTTAATGTTTGCCTTATTAATAAAGATTTCGTTTAAATAATGAAAGTGTCTCTTTTTCTTATTGGGCCCAATGTATTCCTTCTATCCTCTATATAGTCTTTTTCTATATTCCTAATTTCTCTCCATGTTTCTGTTTATCTCTTGAATAGCTTGTAGAAAAGTGCTATTTAGATTTTGATATGACTGCCTGGTAAACGGGTTTAGTTTCCTGGAATATTTAAATATCTATGAAATGATATTTCTCTCTAGAGATTCTTTAGTGGCTTAACTTTTCTTTTTTCCAAGCACAATGTTCAAAATGTGAAATATGCTTTTAATGGCAACAAATCGCTCTAAAAGAAAGTACAGCTTGTAATTTTCCGCTCAATTCTTCCAACTGGGTTATTGACCCCTGTATTCATTTTTTTGATATGGAGAAAATATTCCGTTTTCTGGGCTTTCCAAATATCTTAAGGGATTACAATAAGATAACGTTTTAGTTATAGGGGTAAATGTGCTTGCAGTCTTCCTCCTTCTGGCACAAACACAGTGGCCCATTGGCTCGTCTTATAAATATTGATTTCAAACAAGTCTGCCTGAGAAACTATTTACAGTTGCCTTAAGGGCACAACAGAAACAAATCAATAAAACGCACCTAAGAAACATCTGGATGAAAGAGCTCCACACTGAAGAGCGGGACATTTGAAGACTCTCTGCCGCCTAAGGAGCTCCCTCCTCGGCCAGCGTCCTCTCATGCATAGCCTCCTCACGGTACTATTTTTTTTACCACCTTTTGTGTTATGATCGGCTCTCCCAGTCTGTTTCTCACACCCACCCTGGTACCCCCCCTCCTCCTCTTCCTCCTCCTACACCCCCCACCTCCCCCTCTCCTCCTTTAGCATCTGAAAGGACCGCTGAGTGAGAATCGATGGCGCAGAGGCCCGCTTGACAGGACAATAAACCACAAAGAAGGGGTGAGTTTTTCTCTCCTCTTCCCTCCTCTCGCTTTGTTTTTTCTCAATTGCGGAATTACTCTTAACGATGAAGGGGAATGGCAGCGTGGAAATCATATTTATCACAGGGCATCTTTTGTTAGCGCGATTTGATTTACACTAGGCGACACACACACACTCTCTCACACAGTCTCGCAGATAATCATAATAAACAGCAGCAGAAAACAGCGGCATCCTGCACCGTTTGGAGCGTTAATCTCACTTGGACACACAGTCACCTTACGTAACCTACAGATGCACCCTGCTCCATGCTGCAGCTTCATGGATGAGGGTCGTTCTGCTGGATCTCATTGGGCGATGCGGGCACCTGGAGGGTGTCAATGCGGGGGTCGTGGTGTAAACAGAAATGTGTCAGTAGTAGCGGGGAAGGAGCAGAAGGATTGTCTGTTTTTGCAAAGCACCTCCCCTGCAACATTTGCGCAAAACAGTGCGTAATGCTGGGTTGAACACATTGCGTTCAGCCATGAGGAAGCACACATCCAAGACGCATGGGAGGGGGGGGGGGGGGATTGTTTACAGCTCATGTCTGCAACAATAGCTCTCATTTCCCCCGTCAATATGATGAGATATGTCTGGAGAAACCGGATGTATTGATGTAGTGTCTCACCGTGTTTGGGCTGTGGTAACCTCAAGTGACCTGCTGACAGCATGTGGTGTTTGTGCCCCCCCCCCCCCCCACTCCATCATTTCCTCCCCCTCACCTGCAGGCTCCCCATCCACCGTGCCCAGCAGCAGCAGCGATGTCCCCGCAGCAGAGGGGGGAGGACCCGGGCCTGGCAGCAGCCCTCCCCCGCCTCCTGGCTCCGCAGCCCGGCCACCTCCTCCCATGAGGCCGCCACCAGCTCTCCGCTCTGCCGCTCTGTATGGAGCCTCTCACTTATGAAGTAGGTCCATTCACACTGTGAGGGAGAGAAAACATGAATGAGAGAGTAGAGTGGGTGGGATGATGAGAAATGAAATCTTTGTTTATATTTAAATTGTCCACTGATTCCTGTCCTGAGACTACCCTTTATTTTATGTTTTCATACTGAAAAATGTACACTTTTCTCAGTTTTATACCATTGTAAATTGAATTCCTCTGCTTTTTGGATTGTTGGTCAGCAACATAGAGCAGTTTAAAAATGGCTCCTCAGGCTCTGGGAACTTTGTTTACTTCCCTAACATAGTGACATCACTATGTAACACACCTATTGGCAGGCGCTCCAACACATTGTACGTGATAGACTATAAAGTAGAGACACTACATACTGATATACACCTGAACATCAGCAGGAGAGGACTCTTTAAAGTAGAGACACTACATACTGATATACACCTGAACATCAGCAGGAGAGGACTCTTTAAAGTAGAGACACTACATACTGATATACACCTGAACATCAGCAGGAGAGGACTCTTTAAAGTAGAGACACTACATACTGATATACACCTGAACATCAGCAGGAGAGGACTCTTTAAAGTAGAGACACTACATACTGATATACACCTGAACATCAGCAGGAGAGGACTCTTTAAAGTAGAGACACTATATACTGATATACACCTGAACATCAGCAGGAGAGGACTCTTTAAAGTAGAGACACTACATACTGATATACACCTGAACATCAGCAGGAGAGGACTCTTTAAAGTAGAGACACTACATACTGATATACACCTGAACATCAGCAGGAGAGGACTCTTTAAAGTAGAGACACTACATACTGATATACACCTGAGAATGAGCAGCATAGGGCCCCTTTAAACTTGAAAAAGCAGCATGTTGTTATTGGAAGTTTTACAAATTTAAATGGCCAACTATGATAACTTAAACCCAAAAAATATCAAATGTTATTTGCAGCCATATTAACAGTAAATATGTGTTTAATGCTGAATTATCCTTTTAATCAAATGATTAAAATATGATTGAATTCTCAGTTGACATGGAGGATGAAGATGGGACTTGTCTACTTGATGTTTTGTGGTAAGTCTGTCTGAACATCATTCATAAGTATTTATTATTATTTAGTTATATAGGATTGAACGTGGTCTAATGTCCTCTTAATCCATAGTTTGCACAGAAACAGATCTTTACTCTGACTTCTCTCTGCGTTCGCAGTGACCCCCAAGCCCTGAACGACTTCCTTTATGGGACCAATGAGGTAACAGAGGAGAGTTAAATAGAGAGCGACTCAAATAAAGAAATCAATAAGTGCAAATGAAGAATTGGAGATGGGATATTTCTTGGCCCGCCGCCGTGTGAAAGGAGGGCTGGCGCTGGGAAAATGTGAAAGAGAGTTGTAATGTAATACTGCGATAATTTCTCACCCAAACAAAACATATAAACGTCTGATTTCCTCCCCCAGCTGCAGACTGAAGACCTGCTCATTAACCCCTCCTCTGGGGGGGGTTCACTCTTCACAGACGCCCCGGTGAGGATCCAGACAGCAGCGTCACTACAACCTGCTTCTGTCCCGGGAGAGGACTTTATTTCTGATTCTGTGCCAGGAAACTGACAAATGTTATTTCAGAAATATAATACCGAATAAAAAACAGATCCAAATTTGCGATACATAGAAAACCTGTAATACCTGTCTCATTATTATTACCTTACTGTAGCGTTTGAGCAATAATCTGGTTTACATCGGTATCTTTATTAATACTCATTCACTACCATATCAATTGTTATATAAACATACATATTTATTGTTAGATATTATAGTACAAAGCGCACATTATTACGTAACTGCTCCTGTTAATAATGTATACTTTATTATAATGTATTTTGTGTTCGTATTGCAATTTTTTCTTATGATTACAAAACTATTTGTATCAAAATGTTTTTTATTGCACATTTGACTTATATTTACTTATAAAACTATGTTTATAAAATATGATCCTCCTCCTCATCCTGCAGAGCCCCGGCTCTCTGCTTGGAGATGGCAGCGACCCCCCGGACTCGCCCCCCCCCCGGCTGTGTGGATCTGTCCTTCCTGGAGGAGGCGCTCCTGTCCTCTCCGGAGGGTGAGGAGGACCCCGAGGAGGAGCTGGGGGGGACGACACCTGTGCAGACTGGATATGAGGGGAAGAAAGGGGGGGTGCAGTGTGACATCCTGCAGCAGAGCCTCCAGGAGGCCCAGATCACGGAGCAGACCATGGCTCTGGATCCCGGGGGGGATAACCTGTCGCTGTACTCGCCCCCCTTCATACCCAGGGACACCCAGGCAGCGGTGGACCCCCCCCAGCCCTCCCTGCTGGCTGTGGGGCCCAGCTGCCCCTCCCTGAAGCCGGCCGCCCAGCTGATGGGGCTCCTGCCTGGGAACGTTTTCCCCGAGACCTTCTCTCTGAGCTCCATGATCCTCCACAGGGCCGTCCCCAGGCCCCTCCCCACCCCCCTCCTGAGGGCCCCCGTCCCCCTCCTCATCCAGTCCAAGCTGCCAGTCAGCATCCAGCCCCGTCTGGTCCAGATCAGCCCAAAACCACCGGGGCAGAAACAGAAACAGAATCAGGCTCCGAGTCTCACCTTCGTCCCCGGGGCCGCCTCACCCAACATCGTACTCTCCCCCCCCCCCTCAGAAGCCTGTGGCCCCCCCGGCCCCCCCGCAACCCCCCCTCCCCAAACAGCTGAGCCTGCAGCTGGTGAACCCCGGATCCTTCCTGCTGCAGCCTCACATCTTCCAAGGCCACAACCAGTACCTTCTCCAGGGCCGGGCCCCCCGTCACTATCTCCCAGCATGCAGCTCGGCCCCTGCTGGGGTCCTCCGCCGGTGGCCCTCAGATCCTCACGGTGCCCCCCGCCTCCACCCCTCAGATCCTCACGGTGCCCCCCCGGCAGCTGAACTTCAGCTTCACCTCGCCTGCAGGGCAGCTGGCGCTCCGGCAGGTTCTTTCCGGACCCTTACAGCTGCAGTCAGGGGCCCCGACTGTCTTCCAGATGCCAGGGGCTTACGCTGCGGGGGGGCCGTGTAGCACTCTGGTCCACGGCCCGGCGCTCGGGAACCACATCACCCTGATCAACAGTTCAGGGGTTCTTCCCCCCGACCTCACCTCCATCTCCATTGTTAACGGACCCTCGGTGGTACAGGGGCGGCCCTTTGCTGCACGGGCCCCTGCTCTACAGACTGAGGGGCCCCTGAGCCGGCAGCAGGCCTCTGTGGTGCTGCTGCCTGAGAGAGCGGTGCAGGAGGAGAGGGGCCCCGAGGAGATGGGCCCCGAGGAGACGCTGCAGCAGATCCTACAGGTCAGAACAAATAATTAGTAGTTCACATTGGTTTCGCTACACATGTCAGAGTAGTCTGCCTTCTTGGAGACCCTGAAAAGAGTCCTGTATGGGGTCCTGTATGGGGTCCTGAAGGGGACTCCTTAGTCTTGCTGGGAGACTTCAACGCACACGTGGGCAATGATGGAGACACTTGGGGGGGGGCGTGATTCGGAGGAACGGCCCCCCTGATCTGAACCGGAGTGGTGGTTTGTTAATGGACTTCTGTGCTAGTCATGGATTGGCCATAACAGACACCATGTTCGAACATAAGGATGCTCATAAGTGTACGTGGTACCAGAGCACCCTAGGCAGAAGGTCCATGATCGATTTTGTTATCGTATCATCGGACCTGAGGTCATGACCGAAAGAACGAGGTCGCGGATACAAGTGGCCGAGATGGGTTTTCTCCGCAGGGTGGCTGGCGTCTCCCTCAGGGATAAGGTGAGGAGTTCAGTCATCCGGAGGGAGGGACTCGGAGTCGAACCGCTCCTCCTTCACGTCGAAAGGAGCCAGTTGAGGTGGTTCGGGCACCTAGTAAGGATGCCACCTGGGCGCCTCCCTAGGGAGGTGTTCCAGGCACGTCCAGCTGGGAGGAGACCGAGGGGTAGACCTAGGACCAGGTGGAGGGATTATATCTCTTGGCTGGCCTGGGAGCTGGTTGATGTGGCCACCTTTAATGGCACCTTTAGTCAAAAGTCCAAGGTGATGTCTTCAATATCTCGTCAGTCCAAAACTCTAAATATGTTCACTAATATAATCAAAAGCGTGTAATACAGTCACATCATGATGCCCTGCTGCCCACGATGTGCTGCTCAAATATTTGACATAAACACTGATGCTTGTTTTCCTTCAGGTCCTGCAGCCGGTGACGGTGCAGCCCCCCCCTGCAGAACTACAGTCCCCCCGCCCTCCTGCAATCACCGTCCTGCAGCCCCCGTCTGAAGCCCCGCTGCCCCCCCACCCGGCTGAGGAGAAACTCCTGATGCCCCCCATAGATGTGACCACCTTAGAGGAGGAGGCGACCCCCCTCATGAGTCAGAACGAGGCCTTTATCCAACATCTGCAACAGGTCAGAGCCCAAACCCGTCATACTGATCTGATCAGTATATATATATATATATATATATATATATATATATATATATATATATATATATATATATACTGATCTGATCCATTTGAATATTTAGGTAAAAGTACCTCTCGTGTTTTTTTATATTTGGTCTTTGAGGGGAGGAGACATGACAAGCTCTTTAGTCCCTTAACGGTTTACAAATGTAAATACTGTCATCATTGTTAGCACTTATTTTATGTATTTTTTATTTCCTTTTATTTTTATTCTAGTTATTCCAACTTATTTTGAATACTTATTGACTTATTTATTTTATTAATAATATCATTCTTTATTTGTTATTTTGTTATTATTCATTATTTGTTATTCTCTAATTGATTTAAGTGTCAGAAAATGTGTCTCTCCTCCACAGGCAGCTCTGAGCCCCCCTCTCTCCTCTGAGCTGTTGGCTGCAGACCTGCCGATGGAGACCCTCTCCTCCCCGGACAGAGAGACCCCCCCCCAGAGCCAGGACCCCGTGGTCCAGAACCTGGAAGCTTCTCCGATCCCCCTCAACCCCAAAGACACGTCTCTCAGCCTCCCCCCCTCCCCCCTTCAGGACGCAGAGAGGCAACGTTTCTCCCCCCTCGTCCCCCCTCAGAGTTTAGACCAGATCCAGATCCATGTCTCACAGGCCTCGTTTCCCCAGAACCAGCTGCAGGTCCAGTCCTCTGTCTCCCAGCCTCCGTCCCCCCCCCCAGCCTGATCCCCAGTCTTCAGGTCTCTCCACAGGAGGAGACCCCCCCCCTGTCCAACAGCACACACAACACAGTGAGTATCAGTACATGCAATCAGGATTACGCAATCAAATGATAAACAATAAACACCCAAGCTAACATCTTAGTAAATATGAAACTAGACTACAGTTACTCTCTCAATGATCAGCTGATCACATGAGGTCTTCAAGGGGGGACGCTACAGGTAAAGCATGTCATGGATATCACCAAGACAAATTGCAACGTATTGAAACTCCCAAAACCCACCAGAACATTAACATTTTATTATTTACTCACCTCAAAATATGGCAATTTTTCCTTCTAACTAATGCTGTTAGTTTTTATATTGAAAGTGCTTACAGAGGAAGTCTGAAGACTTCCATGTCATCTGTAATATAATCACCATCACTGTGTCTCTGCAGAGCCAACAGCTGCCTTGCTCATGGAGCCTGAAGCGTTTCCTCTCCAGCCGTCATCTCCTGCAGCCTGGGGTCATGGTCAGGGTCAGGGTCAGGGTCAGGGGCCCCCAGAGCCCAGAGAGCGGACCCCCACCCTGAGGAGCCTGCAGACCTGCACCAAGGTGAGAAACAGAGGAGACACTCTGTCAGTGTAATAGATATGACAAGTCATGGTTGATCCCCATATTAGGGGCTTAACATCAGCAGGACTATGAAATCATTCAACTTAAAAAAATACTTTTATTGAATATAGCTCATCAGTGCTTCCCACACTTAGACTATTTTAAATATATAAATAAATTGAAATGCTTAACTTAATATTTGGCAACTTAAAACACAATGAATGCTCGTGCAAAAGTTAGTTTTGAATAAAAAGTGTTTGTTTTCTGTCAGCCTGCAGATCCTCCACAGAGAGAGAGTCTCACACCAGCAGCACGCAGGCACCGGTGAGAGGGTTATTCATATACTAATAATACACTTCATTTCTAGAGAGCTTTCATACATGATTAGCATTTCAAAGGGAAAACATAAGAATCATTCATTATTATTTTATTTTATTATCAGTGTTTTTATTTGTTAAAGCTGTGTTTACTCCCCCACACACGCAGACACTCAAATCCAGCAGCAGACACTCTTTACGCTGCTATGGACAGTCTAATGTACGTTCTCATAAAATTGAAGTGACTGTTATTTTGTACATTTTATTTAAGTCTTAATGTGTGCACATGTACAAATGTGTCTTTGTCTGAGTATATAATACATATTTGCACACATATTTTTATATACATTTGTTTTTATATTCTGGATTGTGGGAAACAGTATTCCGGTCTCTCTGTCTATACACACAAACGGGAAGATTGACAATAGAGTTTTGACTTTTTGACTTTTATCCATTAATCCTACGCGACTGTATGTATGTTATGTGTCGATGCCGTGTTGCATCACCTCACCAGTCTGCAGGTCCCAGTTCATCTCACTTAGTTTCTGTGTTTCTCTCCAGGTTCCAGCAGCGGTTGTGTTCGGACCAGGCCTCGGTTCAGGCCTCTCTCTCCGGGCCGGCCTTCCCCTCGCTGCAGGACGCCGTCTCTCGCCTGCTGCCGTTCCACTGCTGCGCCGGAGAGCTGCCGACTCAGCAGCACTTCAACACAGGTCAGGGAACTGCTGGGGACAAGGATGCTTAAACATGTATAAACACATGTAGCCTTTGCTGTCTCTTCAAAATGAACCATGTGTCTAAAATAGGGACAGCAGCTGGCAACTTAAAGGTCACCTATTGTGCAAAATCCACTTCTTCATGTCTCTTCGACATCAACATGTGTCCCCTCTTCTTCATGTCTCTTCTACATCAACATGTGTCTCCTCTTCTTCATGTCTCTTCTACATCAACATGTGTCCCCTCTTCTTCATGTCTCTTCTACATCAACATGTGTCCCCTCTTCTTCATGTCTCTTCTACATCAACATGTGTCTCCTCTTCTTCATGTCTCTTCTACATCAACATGTGTCCCCTCTTCTTCATGTCTCTTCTACATCAACATGTGTCCCCTCTTCTTCATGTCTCTTCTACATCAACATGTGTCCCCTCTTCTTCATGTCTCTTCTACATCAACATGTGTCCCCTCTTCTTCATGTCTCTTCTACATCAACATGTGTCCCCTCTTCTCCATGTCTCTTCTACATCAACATGTGTCCCCTCTTCTCCATGTCTCTTCTACATCAACATGTGTCCCCTCTTCTTCATGTCTCTTCTACATCAACATGTGTCCCCTCTTCTTCATGTCTCTTCTTCATCAACATGTGTCCCCCTCTGTGTAAAGAGACTCTGAAAGTTTCAGGAACAAATATTCTCTCTCTTTTTGTCCTGATCCATTTATATAAAAACCTGTCTGAAAATGAGCTGATCAGATTTTGGCCACTTTATGATGTCATAACGATGTTTTGGCTTGTGTAACCATTAGCCAATCAGCAACCAAGGTAACCCCCCCCCCCCCCACCTTATCACCTGAATCTCCTCCTAGAGCACCATTGAGTTCTTTTTAACCAAATCTCTCTCAGAGGGGCGTGGGGAGGGGCTCCTTATTTTCATCTAAAGTAACAGACAGAGAATCAGCACTTTGGAAACAGGGCTGAAACAGAGGGGATTATGGGATGCTGCAATGATCTGTTTGGTGTTTGGAGCCAAACACTTCAGAGACATGTTTAGTATCTGAGACCTGTAATATATTGATGAAAAACAGTATAATAGGAGACCTTTAGGTTCCTAATTAATGACTTAAATGATAATTCAGTCCCATACATACTTGATGTGTCTTGATGAAGATACCAGCTCAGGGACTTCTCCAGATTCAGAATGTTTTTGTGACTGGAGATGTTTGTGTGCTCTCAGTGGATCAGGAGTTTGAAACGGTGTCAGGCTTCCTGCTGAAACGCACCAAGGACATGGTGAACAAATACAGGCAGCTGCTGGTCCGAGAGGCTCAGGTGAGACCTTGCAGTTATACAAAGCTTTCTTCTTCTACATCTGCACACAAACTGTAAATGTCCCAATTTAATCTCTTTTTCTTGCAATGTATGAGTTTATAATCTCAAGATATTCTAGTTTTTGTTTTGTTAATTTACCTCTCTAATCTCAACAAACCTCGATGGATACTTTATGTCGACCTAACACACTGTCGTATAACAGATTTAGTTTTCTGAGGACTGTTTGGAGCAAATCTAGATATTTGTGTGTGTGTGTGTGTGTGTGTGTGTGTGTGTGTGTGTGTGTGTGTGTGTGTGTGTGTGTGTTGTGTGTGTGTGTGTGTGTGTGTGTGTGTGTGTGTGTGTGTGTGTGTGTGTGTGTGTGTGTGTGTGTGTGTGTGTGTGTGTGTGTGTGTGTGTGTGTGTGTGTCCGCAGCAGGAGAGTCCGTCTGCAGAGATGGTGATGTTGGAGCGTCTGTTCCTTCAGGCCGAGCGCTGTGCGTTAGTGGAGGACAGACGGAGGGTCCGCAGAGACCCCGGTCAGTACACACGTACACACGTACACACGCACACACACACACACACACACACACACACACACACACACACACACACACACACACACACACACACACACACGCACAGAGAATCAGCACTGAAAAACAGTATCATAGGGGACCTTTAAAGTGTGTTTGACCTCCTGCTTCCTGTCCCTGCAGAGTCCTTCCTGTCGGCCATGACCCCCTCCTCGTCTTCCCTCCCCCCCTCCTCCCCCCCGGCCTCCTGGTCCCGGCTCTCGGACCGGCCCCCGGGTCTGAAGACGTACCGCTCCAGCTCCCGCGGGGCCCTCAGACTCACCATCAAGCACGAGTCCGGCTCCAGGAAGGTGGTGCACAACTCCGCCTGCGAACAGGGCCTCAAACGGGACCACAAGGGGCAGCTGACCAACGGGGGGCCCCACCCTCTTCTTCTGGGCCCCCACCCTCCTCTTCTGGACCCCCACCCTCCTCTTCTGGCCCCCCAGGAGACCCCTAACGGAGCCCACCCTCCAGAGGATATCCCCGACACAGATTCCAAACTAAAACCTCTCCCCACACCGCAGATTAAAGGCTCTCCTCACAGAGAAGTCAGCGCCCCGAAGGTAAAATGCTCCCGTCCGGAAGCCCCCCTCCCTCGCCCGCTGCAGGAGGACCCCCTGCTGAACGAACACCTGCAGAGCGCCATCGACAGCATCCTGGAGCTGCAGCGCCTGCAGGGGCCCTCAGGAGCCCCCCCGCCGGGCCCCTGCCTGGACCAGGGGGTCAGCAGCGCTCTGCAGCTGTGAGGTAGAGAGAGACTCACAGGAAACACTGAGAGGAGTTTCAGTCGGACCCCCAGAGGTCACTGATTGGTCCGTTTGTCAGATCGTAGAGTCCTGGACCCAGAAATGCGGAGTACCCCAACGTTTTATGATAGAAATGTATAGTACGAGTCCCAAGCTCATGGAAACTGCCGGATGCTAACTTGCATATGTTGGCCAATTTGCACAATTAGCACAAGTTGTGTTAATTAGCATATGCAGTGGTTTTGGCGATTATTGAAAATGCTGAGTCCATTTCCTTTTGGATCCATTGGCGGTATTAACCAGAAAGAGGCCATATTTGTAGTCCCTAGGGGCTGATTTTGATGAATTTTGATGTTGATTTTGAAGTTTTAGTGGACTCTGGATCGTTTGGATTGGACAGATAATAATCATCTTGTTCTCTCCATATCCAATGGTCGCAACACTACTCATGGTAGTCAAAATCAGCCCATTGAGAGTACAAATATGGCCGATTTCTGGTTAAAACTGCCATTTTTTATACTGAAAATGTAAGAAATGGATTCAGTATCCTCAATAACCCCCACCACCATTCCAACATTGTCCAAATCGGACAAGCCATTTGTAAACTGTAGTCCACATCGGCTATAATGCCATTAATGCAACTTATGTGTGCAAATTGCCCAACACATGCAAGTTAGCATCCGGCAGCTTCTATGTGCTGGGGACCCGTACTGTACATTTCTGACATAAAACGTTGGGGTACTCAACATTTCTGAGTTCACAGTGCTGGCAACTAGACTAGATTGTGTGAAAGAAAAAGAGGCGCTATGGAGAGACGGCAGCTCACATGTTACATACTTCTTTTAGATGTGCACTTGTGGAAAAAAGCTCTATGGTTTCAGTGGTAGTTTGGTCCTTCAGAGGTTTTTACGACATTGGTGTGACCTTCATCAGCAGACAGAATATAGTGAGGACACACAGGAGTAGTCTGAGATTATTCAATAGTTTTTTATAAGATTTCTTTCAAAAGTGAAGTTTCTTTAGTGCCAAGCTTCCAGGGTATTTATTTTGATAATCTGTGCCAACGTGTGTGTGTGTGTGAGAGGATCTGAAGAGTGTGTGTGTGTGTGTGTGTGTGTGTGTGTGTGTGTGTGTGTGTGTGTGTGTGTGTGTGTGTGTGTGTGTGTGTGTGTGTGTGTGTGTGTGAAAACATCCTGCTAAATCCCGCAGGCTCCATCGTCTCGACTTATCGAATGAAACTCCAAAGACTTGCTTCACCCTGAAAACACCAGCAGCAAACGCCCGTCTCTTCCCAATAACTGGAGTCTGTGTTTTTGTTCAAAAAAGAAATTCAGCAGTCGTGCTTAGTGTGTGTTTTTTAAACGTTTGGATCCACGCTGGAGTCTGACTGTGAAATAAGGGGGGAGAGAAGTTTATGTATTAACATGCAAGCAATAAAGACTAATGGTTGTTAGGAGAGGAGGAAGAGGAAGAGGAGGAGGAAGATTGTTTTTCAGGATTGAGAGAAGCTTGTTTTATCATCGAAACACGTGTAGTTTAGATATTGCAGTTCTTTTCTAGACAGACAGCCTCTCTGCATCATCAAACAGCCTTTGACCAAAAAATCGAAAGGAATAATCCGCATTCACGCCTTTTATTTATTTATTTTCACGCAGCCATTGTGGAGCACTATGTTTTTTTTTTGGCAGCATCTTAATGTGACAATCTTATTGGTTTGTGTGAAAATGTGAATTCTGTTGATACGAGTCACGGAAATATTCTATGTCGTTGGGTTTTACCTTGAAGGTCAAAAAGTTAAACCTGCAAATTCATTTTTTTGTAATATAAAATTGAGATTTAGCTTTTTAAAGGGGTCAAAGTTTTGACTTGCAAATTGTAAAATGTTTAGAATATGCCTTATTGTTAATTCAGTGTACCTTTAAGGAAATGTACGGAGGCCGACAGGTGCAAACGAGCTGAAGCGACCTAAAACTCTTCCACTAGGAGAAACTGCAGTTTTAGAAACAATACAAATATAAAAACACAAATGTGCCAAAACACATAAGCCTCTTTCACACCAAGTACTTTGCCGTACTTAGTTCCCTGCACTTAGTTCCCCCATGGAACTAAAGAGCAGATCGCGTTCACACCGGAATAAGTTCCCTGAGGGAAGATTAGGCAAATGAAGCCGCTGACGTCACTTCTTCTCCTGCTTTGGGTTTACTGGCAGGCCGCAAACAACTTCACGGCATATACTGCCACCCGAAGTCCCCGGTCGGAAGTCCCCGGAGTTGGGGACTGGCTTCAGTAGAAGCTGCTGGGACTCCCAGCAGCTTCTACTGAAGCCTTCCGAGTAAATCGCCAGAACGCCGACACCTCCTCATCCCCACCGCTCCCATGTTTTATTTTGTGTTGCCATAAGTTAGTCTCTCTGCGTTGGTGCGCGGGGCTAATGCTAATAATGCTAATGCCAGCAAATACAATGGCGGCTTCAAAAAACTTTTCAGAGTTTTACGGGGCGTGGTTTGCAATTCGCCCAGCCAATCGAAATTGGTACTTTTTTCTCCCCAGGATAGTACCACCTCTCTAGCAGGCACTAAAAATGGGGGTAAAGTTTCTCTGAACTAAGTTTCTTTTTGGTGTGAACGCAAAATTCCAGGCACTATCGGAACTAAACGGGAAAAGTACGGGTAAAAGTACTCCGGTTTGAAAGCGCCTATAAAGAAACATCTTCACCAACTTGAGGAAACATGCGCAGCGTTAAATCGGGGCATTAAAGAAATGTTGCAATAAGCTAAGAAAGCAACAGATATAAACGTATGATAAAGTCGGTCAACTGTCTCTACCTGAAATGTTTTATGGGCTTATTTTAACAATGTGATCACATGACTCCTTCTGATGTTACTGCAGATCTGCTGTAAGCTAGCTAGATAACGTAGCTAACCTTCAGATATACTGACCAACACTTACAGTTATGAGACGACTAACTCTGAGACAGAGACAGTTGTTCAGCTTTATGATCCTGAACGTCACCAAGGTCCCAGCTGTGTGCGTCACTTTTTAGTGTCCCCTGGGCCGTTTCTCAATGTCGAGTAAAGCTGCTCCAGAGCCACTATTTCAAGTATACTACGTCATCGAGTGGCGCCGAAGGACTGTTTAAATGCCCAGCATTCGGCGCCACTCGATGACGTAGTATACCTGAAATAGTGGCTCTGCAGCAGCTTTACTCGACATTGAGAAACGGCCTCGGAGTGTTTCTCAATGTCGAGGACGCTTGCTTGGTAGCACATGTCCCTCCGAGTCAGGTCCTTCAGAAGCGAGGCAAGAATCCTTCCTAGTCTCGGAAAACGAAGAATTGTGGAACAGGCTAACAGGTGTGCAGGTGTGCGTCATATGAGAGGCCCCGCCTTAAATGGAGCGCGTTTTCCGCCAAAGATTTGGAAACTGGTCCGTGCGCAAAGCATTGTGGGGATTTTAAGACCGCGGAGTCTACACATGTGCAACCTCGAGATTTCTCGCTACGAAGTACGCCGGGCTCGGTAGAATTCCAAGTATGCTGGACATTGGAACAGTCCTTCGGCGGCACTCGATGACGTAGTATGCTTGAAATAGTGGCTCTGGAGCAGCCTTCCTCGACATTGAGAAACACCCCCTCGGTCTCCCAGCTGTGTACGTCACTCTTTAGTGTCCCCTGGTCTCCCAGCTGTGTGCGTCACTTTTTAGTGTCCCCTGGTCGTTGTGTTTTGAGCTTCTTGCAGCGTTTGGTTTCTGCAGCTTTTAGTAAACGCTGCGCATGTTTCTTCAAGTTGCTGAATGTTTTCTAAATGCTGCATGTGTTGTCAAGTCGCTGAAGATAGTTCTTCATGTGTTTTTGGCTCATTTGCGTTTTTATTTTTGCATCGTTTCTAAAACTGCAGCGCATTTCTCCGAAGTTTTTCGCCGCCGTTGTAGTGCGTCTGCACCTGTCGGCCACCGTAGAAGCAATCTGCAAAGAAATGATCATTAATGTGATGTTTTGATTAACTAACATCTGCTAACTCTTCAAAAACATCCAGATATTTGGGACTAAATCAACAGCCTTGTAATTTCTTTGTGATTTTTCTATATGTAAAATTGTCTTTTTGTTGCAAAGAACAAAAGGAGTAATAATATGCAGTAATTTAGTGTTGAAATCCTCTGTAGTAGTTTGGGTGGACACACACCAGAAGATTCAAAAAGTAGTATTTTGGGAAATACACGTTGATACCACTCATGTTTGTAAGCCGCTAGTTAGCTTAGCATAAACACTGGAAACGGAGGGAAACTGCTAGCCTGGCTCTCTCATGTTAAACGGAGAGACATAAGAGAGGTATCAATCTGTGTTTTAACTATCAGACACTTTAATGCTTTGACAGAATTTGTCCCAAAGTAAATACAGATCTTCGGTGTGTGTGCGCCCTCAGAGGTTTCAGTGTAATGCAGTAAAGATGTCAGAGTGTCTCTCACTCACACTTCTTAAAAAAGGGGAATTTCCAGCAAAATGTTTTTATTTTTTAGAAAGTATTTCCCAGCGTTTGCTCTTATTTCTCCTCTAATACTTTAAAAGTTGTTCAAGAAGAAGCAGCCTCATGTGCCATTGTTATGTGTCAAACACTGACGTTAGAAATGTGTGTTTTCAACATTTTAGGACAAGATGACATCTGCGTGTTGAGCCATTTTAGTATTTATTTGTAAATGTGTTTCTTAATTTATTTTCTGACTGAACTGTGAAACCAGGGGAGATCATAACTCTACACGAATTCAGATACAAAACATTCGACTGACAGATTGTTCTGATGCCAAAATCAAGAGGCCTTAATTCAGCAAGAGTAGATTGTAAAAAAAATAAAGTCATTCTTGACAAAAAAATCCAACTAAAGACTCCTGAAAGTCACGAGTAATTCATATATGAAATGTTAAGAAAAAACGCTTTTGTACTCATTTTTACAGACTATTTATTAAACTGTGATTTTGTAAGAAATAAAAAAATAAACAGTGAATGT